GTATAGCTAAATGTTTGTTTTTTTTCACTCTCCAAAAATGTTTAATTGGAATGACTGAAATAATTCAATTAGAACCAGATTAGTATTTGGAACCAGCACCAGATACAGATTTGATTAAAAGGACATTGAGGGCTCTCTGCTATCAGATGCTCTTAAGCTGTGTCTGGATTTGTTGGGGGATTGTCTGGCTACATTCGTGCTGTCGGTTGTGTTTCAGGTAATTGTTCATCAGCCATAAATGTAGCCCAGTTTGAGGCCTGTCCATGTGCCATGTACAGTATGTTGCCATCCCACAGAGAAATAACTCTCCTAATACAAAGATGTCTTTGCACCAAAGCTGATTTGGCTTGCTGATGTTGTTTGTAGCCATGCAGCCTTCATTTTCAGTGGACAGTGGCGAGGCATAGCTAGGATGAGCCCCCTTAATAGCTGCCCAGTAATTATGCGATATAGCCACGCATGACACAAAAAAAACTGTTTACACCAATCCAGCATGTTATAATATTTAAAAAAAACAGAGAAAAAAATCGAACTTTTCTTCTACATTACGACAATCTAATGACATGAGTAATGCTGGCAGTTGACCTTTACTACTTGTTGTGCAATTGGATGGTATCGGTTCAACTGTGGTTGAAAGTGCAGGACAGCAAACCTACCTTACTCCAGGGGTCTTCAACCTTTCTTTTTTGGGAGCTATTTTGAAAAGATTAAAGGAGCCGAGAGCTTCTTGGATCACATCGCTTACATTCATTCACATACTATAAGGTATAAAAACAAAAGAACCAGCTGAATTAAGCTTACTTCTTTTGTACTTTTTGTACGCGTGTCAAATTTGGAAAATGCTCAATATTATGTTGAGAATTGTTGCATCTGCTACTGTTTTTACGCTTTAGGTTTTGAGACTTTCCCAGTTGTATTGTTCTCATGAGTGATTTTGTAAAACAGAAGGCTTCAATAACAAAAGAGAGGTAGGGCGTGCAGGGATGGCTCTGCACCAAAAACATAGAGAAATGAGAGATTGCTGGAGTCAGTGTTGCTGCATGGGAGGAAAATAACTGGAAATACATGCTTAAACATGACTTATAACTCACAGCCCTGATAGCAGCATCATCAGTCAGATATATTTACAGCAACACACAAAACACAAAAAATCTTCCACTCTAAATTATGTTTATATATCAACGTCTTCCTGAACTGCCATTTAACGGAGGCTTCCCGTTTGAAAAGCAGCTTCTCCATTTGAGCAAATGTCTCAGCTCTACAGATACACGCAAGCAATGAACTGAAGATGCTTCCCCTGATGGCATTATAATAGCTCATAACATTCATCAGCAGAGGCTCAGAAAGCGCATAACCTGAGGCCTTGATTGATTTTGCGACGCTCTATATTACTGAACCACTGAGGCCTGATCTGTTGTGTATATGCTGCAAGTATACCACAGAGTGAGCTCCTATATTAAATGTAATGTCTACTTAAATCATACACAAATGGATGCTGCAATGATCCAGCGATAAGATTAAAAGACAAACACACTGAATACAGTAATGACATTCAGGGAATGTGTCAGAAGTTGATAATCTGTTTGCTGAAAATAGAATAAAAAAATAACATTGTGTAAGAGACCATCACGGGACGTATTTCCAATAAACTGAGATGCAGGAAATGAGGATACAAGCAGCAATGTGTAAGAGCATGAGAGCTGGTATTTGGTATGTGTAAGTGTGTGACTGAAAGAGAGAAAAAAAGAGAGGGGTGTGTTTGTGTCACCGCATGTATGGGCTTTGCGCACTCTTGGTCCACAAGATGGCGTAGAAATACAATTATCTCAGGAGAACAATTACATCACTATCTAGAGCTAAAGTATGTGTTATCTTTTCACACAAGATGATGGTATATAGAGTATAACACTTCACCTTACACAATATTTACACCTTTACATAAGCAGCAGAGTGTGTGCAATATTTTACATTCTGATTCATTGTCCTTTGTTTGAAATGTCATGACCTGAAAAATGTTTGATAGATTCAGATTCAAGAAGAGTCTTTTGCCTCCTCCAAAACAGTCTGAGGAGACTGTGGACAAAAAAACATAGAAATGGAAACAACAGTTTACTTCAACATATTAAATCATGTGCATGAGGTCATCTTTTTCAATATGCCTGCTGTAATACTATACTAAACAAATCCAGAGGAAAGAAGAAAACACTCATGTAAAAAAACAAGACAACAAAGAAACAAATAAAATAACAATGCAATAACTTGAACAAGCATGCCTGATTAATGTACTACTATAAATACATTTACCTCGCCTGAAAGAAACATGTTCAAAGCAGCATGAGCCGGGGATCCGGCCCGAAGATTTCTGCCTTTTAATAAGGCAGTTTTTTCTTACCACTGTAATTTTTGCTGCTTTGCTAAAGTGCTCATGATGGATAGGCCGGGTTTTTGTAATATAGCAATGAGTAAGGTATTTTACCTGCTTTTTGTAAAGTGTCTCGAGATAACACTTGTTATGAGTTGACGCTATACAAATAAAAATTGATTGAAATTGATTGATGATGTTAAATTAAATTCTCTCAAACCCCGTTCAATCGTGATAGTAACTTATCTTGTTCGAGTCCCCTTTTCCTGGGAAGTTTCTATTTAACACGTTATTTGATGTAAAGGTGTGAAGTAGCATGTTTTACAGCTCTGTGGATGAGTGCGGCTCCTGTGGCGATTACAAACACAAACATGAGTCATTGGACATTTATCTTTATTGACATTGTCAAATGAATTATAAATATTGAACGTTCTATTGTTAAACTCAAGGAAAGTTACAAGTTGATCATTTCCTGGTTACAAGGGGCTCTAAGATCCTCAACTACGTCTACGTGGAGATCGTTTTTGTTTTTGAAATGAAGGGCCCGCACAAGTTAGGATTCCAGAAAAGAAAGAAGAAAAGAGGAGGGAGCTGTCTCGGGCATTTGACCCCCAACAAGAACTTGGCAAAAAAACGTCTTTCAGACAGCTCCAAAGGCCGATGGGAGCCAGGCAGAGGGAACTAATGTTAGCTAGGAGGCTAGCGCTAACAGTACTAGTCAAATGTGCATACGTTTATTTAAATCATGTCCTGGGAGGGCCCATTCACTGGGCCTTTCAGGGGCCCACACATTTTTGCAGGCTATACAACACCCAGAGACACGTAAGTCATCGGTTTATCAACCCACGGGGTCTTCCTCGCCACAAAAACATCAAAGTTCAGACTGAGTGTGAGCTGATACTGAGGGAAGACTAAGGAAAGGAGCTGCAAGGTGATGACCAACTCCATCAACCACAGAAACCACTATCCCACCAACAAGATCCCCCTTGAGAAGTAGACTGAGTGTGTTGTCACTTCAAAGCCTCCAACTTCCCCCTCTGTGGTTAAAGTGTTTTTCTGTAACAAAGTATGATTTGATGAGTTTTTCTCATATAGCATAGCAATATCTTAAAGTAATACTGGAAGCGTACACTTTTTGTCTTAAACAAAAATACAAAATTAGTATTTAATATTAGTAGTATTAAGACAGTTATGAGTCAATAATTTAAAAATCCAGTGTAACAATGTAAACAAAAAACATGTCTGCCTTTACCACATTATGAAATAACACGGGTCAATTAATGAGGACAGACAGTATAAGAATATTTCATTAATACATGACTTAATAAAGGTATAAAAAATGAGTTATCTGCAGTGTTTTGTTACATAATTTCTGTTGGCTCCTTCTCTTATTGTCATAATGATCAGTGTCCTTGCCAATATTTTTCATGATGATTAATACTGGACATAATATCTCTACTTCAGTTCTTTGCTGGTTATAAAATAATTCCACTTCAGTGTGATCAATAAATATCAATGGTAAGAAGCAGGCCAGTAAAAATGATTAATTCTCATTGCGACCATCTCTGAGGTTTAAACAGGGATATCTGTGCAACCATGTTGGATTATTAGGGAAATTATTCGTATTTGCATTCTTACAAATGCAGTAACAGCAGCTCTACTAAATTGATGTTTGCATGTCGTCTGTGTTTGTCACCTAGGATCTCAGGAAGACGTATTTCAAAACATCTGCAGACAAAACTGACAGTTACAGTCTAAAAATAGCTGAAAAAACAAGGTTTTTCTTTGTAATACAGGGGGAACATACCCGTAAGAGTTTCATGTTGACTGAAAGAGTAAACTATTGTCAACTGTATGATTACTTTAACATTTGTGAAAGACTTCCCCTAAACATGACAGAAACTAAATTAACGAGTTCGAGACCTGCCTGTTCGAAAATTATGAAAGTAGAAATCTTAAGAATAAAGTTGTTATTTTAGTCTATATCAGAAGAGCAGCAGCATCCTGTTCTCAAATGACAAACATGGTGCATCTTGTCCTAAAGGTTTCACTAATAAGGAAATAGGCTACTTCCATGTGTAGTCGGTAAAAACACTTCAAGAGAAGTTTTCATTTCAACTTGCAAGACCTTGTTTATCTGTAAAATGATGTATGAACAGGACAAAAAACTGTCTCTGCACATGAGACACTTTAACAAGGCAGACCGATAACACACACAAATAGTTGTTTAGGAGCTTTACTTATGCAGATATGAAACTACACATGCTTTTGGCTCATCATCATCTTCACATTGTCATAAACTATCAGCACCCTGAAAAGATACTGCAAGAAACTGTGGCTTTTCCGAAGAAAGAACCACACTGACTTGGAGGAAGTTGTCTGCAGAGGAAAATACTTAAAGAGTTCTACATCAGCATTTTGAGCAGACAGGACTCAAACTTGTTAATATACGAGATTATTCTCGTCAGTTTAACGTGGCTCTAATCCTCCATCGTAGGCTCTTGAACTGAACTGAGTTTCTCACAGTCTTCACCACATGTCCATGACTCTCTTTGTACTCTTCCGTTACAGGAGGTGCTTGTGATACTGTATGTAGATTTTTTTTTTTTTTTTTTACAAGTTCCTGCCTGCAGCTTCCTCCTAGGCACACAAATTGCTGCTTCAGTAGAAATATCAAACTACCACGTACTAGAGGATTGTATAAGTGTATAATAAGACTCGTGAGATCACAAACTCAAGGGCCATCTTAACGAGGCATGCGATTAACATAGCTCTTCTATCATGGTTCACAACATCATCACAAAGTCTGTTGGAATCTTTTTGATCGTCGCAGCTCACATGGTTTTTATTGGTAAGTCTTGTTCTTGTGGTGGATAATATTTAGACTTTCTAAGAGCTTCATTTTTGGTGATTTCTTCAACTAATTTCTTTTATTTCTTCATTGTTCTGCTAGTACCAAGTAACCTGATGCTTTTATGCCGCTGCCTTTTCTCCCAACCAAAATAATCTTTACCTTTATTGAACCGTGATTAGGAGTTCCACTGGGTCATGGTGTTGAGCCATTTATTTTTTCCCTCACTGAATTTCTGAGATGATGTGTAGTCAGTTTGGCACTGTTGGTGTTTATTTTGCCAGTGCAGAAGGACATGATGACAATTTATTTTTTAAAAGTAAAGTACTGTTATATTTAGGACTAAGTTTTCACATTATTTTTATTAACTTTAACTTTATTAACTTGGGCCATTACTTTTTAATCTAAACATGCTTCCACTCGGTACAATCATACAGAAACATAACATATCTTACCATTAATACGCTGACGACACACAGTTGTACATCTCTCTTTTCTGAAGATCTTAATCCTATAGATAAACTTACAGACTGCTTTAAAGATATCCACTCCGGGATGTCCAGCAACTTCATTAAACTAAACACAGACTGAAATACTCATCGTTGGTCCAAAAAATCAGAGACTGCACATCCAACTTCACCTCAAATAGATGTCCATGAAATACAGTGAGCAGGCCAGAAATATTGGAATTCTTTTTAGATCAAATCCAAAGAGGGGGCCTGTAGTTACTGTGGGCTTCTCTCTGGAACAAGCTACTTGCTGACCTGAGGTCCATCAAACTATCTCTACTTTTAACGCAAAACTCTGTACACTGCTGCTGTGACAACCTGTTAGATTTGAGGTTGATGCAGATCTGATTTTCCACTCAACATCAGAGCTTTGCTCTACATGTAATGCTGGGGACTTTTCAGATGACACTGATTAATGTTCATTTGTATTGATACAACTCTGATGTTTCACACATTAAAACAGATAACCTAAATAAGTAAACCTGTCTGTCTGTGTAAGCACATTGAGTTTATCTGTAATGAAATGTGCTTTATAAATAAAATTGTTATTGCTATTAAAAAAATATTTATAGGATATGTAAATCTATTTTGTCCAACAACAAATAGCTTGAATTCTTCTAAATTCAAACGTGAAAGCAGTTTATGACACTGCTACCGCTATTGTTAGTTTCATTAGCCATACCACAAATTAAGCTAGCTTTTGACGGTCCTTTAGTCACGTTCTCATCCGGATATGTCAGACAACAAACTGAATCACCATGATGTAATGTATAATTAGAACACTCATTTTTAACCAAGGATGACAGCTTTGGTTTTAGCCGTATCGCAAGCTGGTAGTGTACAGTAGTGGAGTGTTGTATCATTAGCTAACTTTTACTTGAAATAACATCAAGAGAATTATAAAGTCAGAGAGAAACTAATTACCCAGCCTTCAGCAGCTTCTGCTTTCTTGTGATGTCCATCACAGTTCTGTGGTTTCCTTTTTATTTGACCTTGTAGTCATGGCCTCCTCTTACTAATCTTTTCTTCCTCACACAGACTGCAGCAGAACAAATGTCATCGGGATCCTCGGGTCAAACATCACTCTTCAGTTCACATTTAACATCAGCATCACAAACAATAGTCATTTTGCTATTTATAGAAATGTACCACCAGACAGTCAGAAGAAGATTGCAGAGTACACATGGACAATCTAAGTCAGGGGTCCATTTTAATACTTATCCTCAAAATAATTATGTATTTTGCCACATAAAGAATCTCAGTCTAAGTCACGGTGGGCCTTATTGGGCCAGTTTCTTTATGGATTCAAAAGGGTTTCCTACAGAAAGTGAGAAGGTGCTGCTGATCGTGCTAGAGGAGAGCAACAACAGCACAGGTATGATAACATTTCACTGAACTGATCCTGTTAACAAGTACTTATAACTAAAGTTTTGATACTGTTGTTGGGTTGGCACTAGAGGAAAAGTTATGGAATAACTTAAGTCAGTAGGATTCATCCTCCTGCCACAATGGATATCTGTTGTGAGAGTACATTTAACATCCAGTAGTTAGTCAATAGACAAATCAAATGCCCATGTGTCTCATATGAATGAGGTTCGTACGTAAGAGTGATTGCATTCTAATTTGACGGTTAAAATTGTAGCTTATGATTATACTTTATATTTATTTTAATTATTCTAACTAGAATTGAAAAAATAACAAAGTCTATATTTGGAGATTCTGTATTCTTTTTTTATTATCAATTATTGACATGACACCGTTTTATTGTGTCATAAGGAAAAAAAGAATGTGCAGTCATGAGTTATACTTTCCTGTTTGACTCTCACAGTTCCTACAGGTCCTACAGTGCAGGATGACAGCCTGAAGATAGATGGGGGAAATTCCAACATCATGACTTCTGTCCTCGTGGTTTCACCTGTGGTGCTGCTGGCTGCAGTCCTTACCGGGCTTATCTGGTGTCTCGTGAGAACCAAAGGTAGGGAAGCTTAAAAATAACTTCTCAGTATCTTTTAAATCTACAAAAACAGATTTCCACCATGACTGTTGTCTGGTTTGGACTCAAAATATTATCTGCATCAATTTAATTGCATGGCTGCTTGTATACGGCTAAAATAGGAAATCATTTTGTATGCCTATTTTCATGCAATACTCAAGTCTGCAGTGAAGAATCTGCTGTGTTGTGAAAATATAATGAAAGTGTTAACCTGATTCTAGGATACCTCAATTTTGCACTGAATCTAAGTTGTAAATAATATTTAGTTTAAACCAGGCCAGTGTTAAATGTCCTTGTTTAGGGCTATAGTCAGAAGTACTTTCTAACATTTTCTAGTAAACAAAGTGAAGGTGTTATTCTGTTATTCTGTGGAAAAAATTTAATTGTGTGGCAAGATGCTAAATATGCAAAACCAGATTGCAGTTTCATTTCCTTTTGATGCATGTGATGACTCACATGTTTGAAAGGAAGTGTTCCTTCAGTGCAGACAAAATGATAATTTACCTACTATCAGAGAGGGAAGAGTGGAAATTAATCACTTGCATTATTTGTCAACTGTACCCAATGTGCTTTCACTTCAAAGCCCAATGGCATACTTAGAGTAGAAGAAGTGCCTCGGAAATCTTTTGACAGCTACCCTCAGAGACCACACATGATAATTTCCCCTGTCTTTGTACTTTGGCTAACTACACTTTGGCTGACTGTGCATTCCTGTATCACGTCATTCTAACCTGGTTTGAACATCCACTGGTAGCATTACTCAATAAATTCACATCTGCTGACCAAACTCCGATAATGTCAACAGAACATCTACATGATGAGGATACAACACAATCAGAAAGACACCACATGATGTACCCGTCTGCTTTCAGGCCAAGTACAGAGTTCTTACATCCAAATCCTAATGCCTTGTAGTTCAACATAATTGACAAAAATTGAAAAAGTATCCAACACTTTGTATTTAAATAAATAAAACACAGTTCAGGTTGTTTTATCCTGACGTGGTCACAGATTTGAAGAAGCAGAGGATTTTCTGGCACAACTTCACCAACTGACAAGGTGCATGAAGAGTGAAAGGCCTGAAGAGGTCAAAAAGCTCCAGCAACACTGGTAGCAGATTTGAAATATTCCAGTGATTTGCGTATATTACTACCTCCCTTTTCCAGGTCAGCTCAATAACATGATCAGGCCAGGACACAGCTGCCAGGATAAAAACCCATGATCTCACTGATTCTTTAAAGCAGAGCCACCAGGAGCAGAGTAGAGCTTAAAGTCAATGAAAATCAATGAGAGGGTCAGACTTGTTCAGTTTCCATCCCATCCTATGTCCTTTCATGATTAAACCTGAGCAATCATCAGTGTATCTGGTTAAAACAATCAGTATCTTGTTGGTTTATTTTTTACAAAAACAAAAATATGAAATCAACATTATTCTTCATTGACATACTATGGTACATATGTTCATCTTTACCAGCGTAAACGGTGATATAACCACCGAGTAAAAACAAGTATTAGCAAAGATTTTTTCAAATTCGTAATAATACCAAACCTTGCAAACAAACCTAAATAAAAAAGACTCCAGAAATTAAGGCAGTATCAGGTTTGTCGTGTTACCATCGCACAGAAACTGTGTAAGCAATTATTGAACAATGACAAACTTCTGTTGATGCCGCCTTCATCCTCAGCTCTCCAAATCTACACATTGCAAGGACTCATTTCATTATTTTCCTCAACTGACTCATTATTTCGCCTACTTTGCTTCTTTTACAGACAAACAAGAAGCATCAACTCATCAAAACTTCAATCCCACAATACAAGTAAGAGCGCACTTACACTAACTATTCCTTATCATTAAAGATTTAAGCGCAAAGTAAATGTTTAACACGTGCAGAAGAGCCTCCGCTTGACTTTGATGATCTTTGCAGGAAACAGTTGATGCGTCCATCCCCGTTCCTCCATCCTCACTGGTCTACAGCGTCCTGGACTTTCCCAAGAGAACTTCAACAGTTCTAGAGATTAATTCAAGTGATACAGAGTATGCTGCTGTCAGTTATTTCACGGAAAAGAGACCGGTGTGACGACACTTATTGTAATCCAGACTGTCTCTCTTGGTTTGAGTAAAGGTGGGCAAGAGTACAAAGAAAATTTCATCTTTTGTTTTGCTTTTCTGCTCCTTGAAAAATGTTCTGAGCTCGGACAAGGTCATACCCTGGTCTGTGTCTTTCTAATTTTTATTTTTATTTTTTTAAATCTTATATAAATATCCCAAAAAGACCACAATCATCTGGTTTCCATTACGATCAACATTGAAACTGTTATTTTTTTTCTTCCAGTCCCACATTTACCGTCCTGCTGCTTTACATTTATTCAGAATTACCCCCAATGTTTATTTATACTCCTGAAAAAATATTGTCCTAAAAGTGCACTTTTTATTCATGCTGAAGTTGCCGGTATTAAAGTGCCTAACTGTTCAAGCAAAGTACTGACTCATTTTGATAAAGTCTACATGTATGTTTTCTAAAGATTGGACTACACTATTTAGCTGCTTAATTGATGGACATTTAAATATTAAAGGATGAAAGACCAAACTGTTGGTTTTGGTCGTTAAATTGTAAAAACCCTAAAATACCCTTCACTGACATATTATCTACATTGTTGTGGGTGGAGAGCGATGACAAATACAAGACATTTCGAAGATTTCCAGAATAAGATAAAGTTAATTTTTTCCATTCAACCTGTCCTCTCAAAATTAAATTCCAATCCTCATTTCCATCTTTGACTATTTTTACATTTCAGTTTGAAGGTGTGAGTTCTTTAGAAACTCTCATTTTCATCCACTCTGTCAGTGTTTTCCTTGTGGGGTTCATTGCAGGTGCCCGTTTCTAAAAGACGGTTCAACAAACCCTCAGTCTAACCCTGAGCTCTGAGTTTATTTACTCTCTGCTGGGAAACTGAGTTTTCGGTTCCAGATCAGCAGATTTCAATTTGTTAAATCAACTCTGAGTAGGTCCACTGAGATAAAAAGCCAACATGAATTGAGCCCCAATTTTACGATTCACCATGGCAACAGGTGACAAAAAAGAGATCCTCCTACTTTAACCATCTCAAAATATATCAATATCTTCATGTGGCCACAGGCTATGATGAATATGAACAGGTTTTTAAGAAGGAAAAAAAAAGTAAAACTGCTGCTGTAAAGTCTATTAACTTAATATTTAATCAGAATTAGGCCTATTTTGCAGGTCAAAACTGGTGGAATGGTCGGCTATTAAACCTAGGCTATACAATTTATTTTCATTAAGATGTAATCCAGCAGAAGAAAGAGACTTTAAAACAGCTCAAAATGAAATAAGAACATAATAGGCTCATAGATTTAAAGTTAACTTCATTCAGAGTTTATTTGAATGTGCATTAACTTTATCCCCAACATAAAGCTGTATTCAAACACATAGGCTAAATGTCCTCTCACCTTTCTCCATTTTAGTTTATTAATCAACCCTAATTAAATTAATATCTCCCGACGTTAATGTAGGCTCTAATTCCCTACGGAGTAATGTAGCCCCTTCATACCAACTAAAAGACGCCATGTTGGATTAAATAGCCTAGTTTGTTTTATACTCTGTTGTAGGCTATTGCCACCCTAACATATCATATTAAAACAACCTGGATTTTTATTCAGACAACCGGTGAATTTTCACACGCGCATGATACGGACTGAAAGAGTGAATGAGGAAACGAAACAGTGTTTCTGGCTCTGAAAGAGGGAGGAGACCTAGAGAAACTCGGGGTTCATTGAAGAAAACCTGCTCCTGACCAGGTTAGGTTCACAGACTCAGTTACCATATAAACTGTTACCATAGTTACCAGTTACCAGTTACCATAGTAACTGAGTCAGAGGTAAAGTTACCTCTCCCTCTGGAACGGGCTGGAGTTACCCCTCTTTCTCGGGTTTGAGTGACCTTCTCCTCTGAAATGGAATACCCAGAGTTTCCCTCCTTTCAGTGGTAACTGACTCAGAGTTTGCACAAAACCTTCTTTCAGAAACGGGCCCCAGGTTTGACTCTCTGCCGTTCTCCTTAAATGAAATAAAACAGAAGTGAAATGAAAGTCTTAGAAATGTTGGCTTCATGTTTGTAGAGTATACAAGTCTTGTAAATTCACAGGCAAAAGTGTGATTTCCATTTACTGTGTCGTGACAGTTTGACTCATATCTCAGACTGTCTGTGAGATGTTTCCCACTGGATGTACTCAAAAGTTCTCCTTTTCTGGTGCTTAATAAAAGATTGTTCTCAGTTGTTAATGTGTGTTCCTCCTATTATATAGAATTAAACTCAGAACTATGAGCTCAAACAGACAAGCTGGTTAATTATTCAGAATTAAGTGTTGGTTGTTTCTCTGGAAGGAAATTTACCCGTCAAACTAGGAAAATAATAACCGTTATTTTAATTATGTGGCCTCAGTTGCACGACACAAAGATAAACTCAAGTTTCATGTCTCCTCTGAAAACTTTGTTTGGCACATAACTTTAGTCTGAAAACTACCAAGGTACCAAAAGCTGTTTGTGCTTGAAATGCATTAACGTATGAATGATAAAACACAGTAAGAAATGGGTTTTTTTGGTATGAGAAAAAGGTTGGCTTATTTGTGTTGGATCTCTGATGGCCCTAAAGCATGATTAAGGAAAGTTGTAAACTGAAATGAAAGGACATTGATCATGCTTTACAGAGTGTTATAATTATAAAAAGTTTTAAGATATAAAGAGGATTACAAGATATTTAAGAAAAAGGCAGGAGTTCTAAATTAGATGTTTTGTAAAAGGTAGCGCTTATTCACTGTTTTGCCTTTGACTTCATAATCAATCAATCTAGCTTTAGTTGTATAGTGCCAATTCATAAATTTTATCTCAAGACCCTTCAGATAAGATAACAAAAAGCAGGTAAAAGACCGTACTCATTGCTTCATTACAAAGTCATAAGTCGTCTGTAGAAGATAAAACTAACCTCATATAAAAGTCAGGGGTTCTGGCTGAGTTAAATTTCATTTACAGACTTTGTCGGTCCTTCCAACTCTTTCAAGCATGCAGCACGTGCATATGATATGGTATTTTTCAGTAGAAAGGTAGGGGTGTTACTTTCTGTCGCACTTTACTGTGTGAAATAAAACAGAAATGTGGTGTCTCCGCTCAGTATTTTAAAAAAAAAAAGGCCTTAACTAGATGATGACCTACAAAGGCAATCATTCAAGTTAACTGTTGCACACTCATCTGAGGTGAGGCTGGAAGTCATTATCATCTGCATGTTTGCTGCTGCTGCATTTATCATATTCAAACGCTATTGCTGCACTTTGAACCACATAACACCTACCTCTTCTGTGTCTGGAGGCTTCTCATCAACAAACATCACGTTACTATTATTACTGTGCTGTGAACTGTTGCATCAACTGTGAGCATCAGTTACATGATAAGTGCAGACCAGGACAGTGCAACTAGCGACGGCCCCCGTGACCGCAGAGACCACACATGATAATTTCCCCTGTCTGTGTACTCTGGCTGACTGTGCATTCCTGTATCGTATCATACTATTCTGGTTTGAACATCCACTGGTTAACATTACTGAACCAGAGCTATAACTCAAAAAAATCACATCTTCTTTACAAATATAAATGTTTTTTTTGTGTGTGTGTGTGTGTGTATTTGTGTGTGTGTGTGTGTGTGTATTTGTGTGTGTGTGTGTGTGTGTGTGTGTGTGTGTGTGGGTAGGGATCTGATGAATTTTTTTACACTAACTTTGGTGATTGTTGTAACACTGTACATTTTTGTGCAAAAACCAATAGAAAAAAGTTTGGATTAAAAAATTCACATCTGCTGACCAAACTCCGCACTCGTCCGTACTCTGCATCAAACTCGTTTGTATCACCACATCAGAAAAGATGATACTTTTCTCTTGTCTTTTATTTGTATAGTTTTGCCTGATAATATCAGCAGAGCATAATACCTCTACATGATGAGGATACAACACAATCAGAAAGACACCACATGATGTACCCGTCAGCTTTCAGGCCAAGTACAGAGTTCTTACATCCAAATCCTAATGCCTTATAGTTCAACATAATTGACACTTGACAAGTATCCAACACTTATTTAAATAAATAAAACACAGTTCAGGTTTTTTACTGACGTACAGATTTGAAATATTCCACCCTGTGGCCGCCTTCTTGGTTGCCAACAAAAATACATCAAAGTTATTCCTCCCAACAGTCATCATACAAGCCCGATCTAGTTGACAGAATTCTTTCTATTGGCCAGGCCAGGTCAAAAATATATTCTTCAGTGGCACCTGAAGAAGACCTCTGGTTGAAACACTGTGATCAATTAAAACTTTTTGTGGCACTTTTTGTGTCAGCTTTCAGGCTGATCAGTGCCAAGTGTGATGACTCCTTACATGGATTCCTCTGAAGAATTAACAGAGGAAGAGGAAGTGCAAAAATGAATCAACATTTTGTTCAAACAGTAACTGACAGTAATTTTTTTTCACCTTTTTGTCCCCTGGTCGGGAGCACGAGGAGAATAGCTCACCACTAGCCTTTATGCCTCCTTGTTTCATTTGCTTCTCTTCACCCGTGGGTCTTGTATAAATGCCTACCTGATGCCTAATCCTGCTCTGAATAGCAAACCAATGCTGTTCCTACTGTTGTGTTATAAGTCCAGTACATAAGCAATACATCCACCTGTCCTAGTCATTGGATACTATGAAAAAAGAAAAAAGAATCCATGTCTAACATTTGCAAAGAGTTTTAAGGAACAAATGGTGAGTATGAAATCATTTACTCAATTTGCCAAATGACCAAATAACCACTGACCATTTTATTGGCTGTGTATCATTGCTTTTCAATTCAAATAAAATCATTTTTTTTGGTATAACTTATCAAATGTAAGTTTATACATGTAATATGGGAGTTTTAATGTAATATTTCAATTCAAACATCTTTATTAATCTCTCTTGGGTCAACTGGTGTGGAGCAGCTTGTACACATGAGAAAGAAACACAAACAAGGACAAGTTGACGTACAAGCCATAGATTACACAAGTTAAAACATAGATAAGACCTGAAGGAGACACTGATATTAGACAGACCGATTCAATTTTTTTTTCTCCTGTTTCTACATTTTTTTCAATTCTGTTTTGTCATTGTGCCTGTCTGTAAATTGGCCTACATGGTTTATTACAATACTGGCAACCAAGTGCAAATTGCATGCATTCTAATTTGCTCTTGGTTGCTAGTCTTTTAAAACTAGCAGAATTCATAAAAAAAAACACATTTCCTGTTTCTGTTTGGGTTGAAACCAGAGTGGCATGAAAAAACACGCCACTGTGAGTGTGTGGGTGTGTGCTTGCATGCGTGTGTGTGTATACACTGCTGATGTGGCAAGCTATAGATGTGGAGTTGCTACCGATTAACCACAAAAATAAGATAAAAATACCTTTTAAATATTTCAGCTTCTAGGAAAACCTCCTAGGAGTAGTAAAAAAACGACCAAAAAAGTTATAACTTGGACTCTTAGATATTAAGATTAAGATTTAAGATTTACTTTTTATTGATCCCGCAAGGGGAAATTCTGTTTTTTCACTCTGTAAGTCATGCAACACACACATAGGCTGAAATATACACACATGCACAAACAGGATCCTATGGACACGCACTAATGGAGAGATGTCAGGGTGACGGAGCCGCCCCTGGCAGGCGCCCCTGAGCTGGCGCTCCTGATGTGGGTGGGGGGTTTGGTGCCTTGCTCAGGGGCAGTGCTCAGGAAGCGACCTGGCAATGTACTGTGTGTTGGTGTAGCTCTGCGTGCCCCGCGATGCTCACAGTCATGACAGCAGAGAGAGGAGCAGGGAAAAGTAGCTGCAGCTACATCAAACGCGCTTCATAGCGCGCCTGCACTCTCTTGCGCGCTGTCTCTCACCCGCTCTCTCTCTCTTGTGCACACAGCAATTTTATGAATATAAAAAATGAATCCGTGGTGGTCCTTGTCGTTAATGTGGCGGGCCTCCACAGATTAATCAATGTATTTGAAACACTGCATTAATTTTCCACTTACTAATCATTCGCTACTCTTGAACATGTCATGAGGAATTATTCACTATCAACCCATTACTTAGTTGGTACTTAGTGGTTACCTAGTGGTTAGTTCCCATTTCGTTTACCACTAGCTATGGAAAATTTGTGTAAAGTGTTACCGAAGAAGAAACTATGATTTGTAGGTTTTTTGGGGGGTTTATAACTACTTTAGAATGGTTGAACATGAGCTGGGTCAAACTGACCCAAAGGCGAAGACCCTATGAGGGATAAGTATAGCCCTATAAATAAGGACATTCCAATGATTTTGTATAGACAATGCAGGCCAGCCAATTTGATCATACAATGTACAATGACAGCATTTCTGGAGCTGGACAAACATCCTCAACACACATCATATCAAGTTAGTATTATGTCTCTCAAAAAATAGTTTAGTTATGCCCCTCAGAAAAGAGAAAAAACTTTTGCTAAATTTCCTTTATTTAAAAAAAATCATTTATCTAAAAATATTCTGAATTTTGTTATTTGATCAACTCTTGAGTTTATTGCTCCACTCAAAGGTTCTTCTTAAGAGTCCCAGTTTGCCCAAACAGAAGGTAACACTGTCCTCTGGTGGAATTCAGCCATAGTACAAGTGTGATACCAAAGCAAAGTGAAGCACTGTGCTTTTATTGTCTCAACCAACATACTGACAGAAAGATATTTAAACTGAGACAGTGTTCCTGTTGCAGAGGCACAATACTGATGGGATCATATGGTGGTGAATGTTTCTTTAAAGAATGAGATGGTAGATGGGGATTGAACAGAGGAATTGTACAGTCACAGTCAGTGGCGATTTAAGAGTCTGGTGGAGCTTATGGGCCTGGTAGACTGCCTTGAATGGGGGGGCAGTAAGAAATGTTAGTTGGTCACCAACGACTAAACTTAATACGACTGTAAACTACAACTCGGATTGTTTTGTTTTTATCTAAAGCTTAATACCAAAGTAATTAATGCATAACTTTTATACTTGCGCTTGTAGTTTATTTAATTTGAAACCCACCTGCGTCTACCGCTCAACAAGCTACACTAACATACAAGTAGGCCGTTTACAGTTAAGTAATAATAATAATAATAATAATAATACATTTTATTTGTAATGCACTTTATATTTTGGGAAGAAAATCTAAAGTGCGAACTTTGAACGCTGTTCTCCATATTTTATATGGCCAATCCCACCAATTAGTTATTAGAAATAAATATTATTTGGACAAAAAAAAAAAATCATTTCTGAATCTTGAAAGGAGGATATTTGGCTTTAGTGGGGCAGAATGAGCATTTGGGGGGCATTGCCCCTCCCTGCCCATGCCTAGAACCAGCCTCGCTTATGAGTCAATTTCCAGAGCAGAAGATCTGATCATTCCTCTCATGAAACATTTGAGGAAAGTCATCTACTGTATAACGCCATCTGTTGGACAATCTGTGTTACGACTTCTAACACAAAGTCGACCCCTGAAGTATAACAGGTTATTTATAAATGGTGGGGAATAAAAGAGATTAAACGGCCCAAAAATGTATATACAAGTACATAAGAGCTCAAAGGATAGTTGTATTTGAGACTACACTGAGGGTGAGAAACATTCATGTCAGTGTATTATTGTTTCATTGTGGTTCCAAGTATTGTTGGAACCACAATGAATAGGACGGAAGTTTCAGTTTGTGTGGTGAAGACCGTTTCTTTTTGTCACACCCATTGCTAATCTTGTGGAAATGGAACCATATAATATTGAAAAATAAATCAAATTGATCTTGATGCATGTGACTGTGGGTGATTTTATATCCAAATAGGTTTTAACAGCAAGGAAGAGTTTAACCATAAATGTTGTTCCCATAAGTTCCATGTGCTTACTGTACCTATAGAACACTTACAAAGAAGATCAATATCAGAAGGTTTTTTTTTCTTTGCCACACATCATGTTTATATGATCTTAGGTTGCTGGTCAGAACAGATGGTTTCGATACTGGATACTTTACCCCATTCTGAACGAAAACAGGAGCAACAACAAATGTGCATCTCTGGTCGTTGACAAGCTGTATATTGAAGGACAATTATTCCCGAAACACAAAAATCACACCATGGCTTTTCTGAATGAACGGATTTAATCTGATTTAAACATTCCTAAAATAAAATAAATAACGCTCTCTATTGTACTCTAAGCTTCTTACCCAACATCCTATGACCTACCCATGACCCCCTCAGATTTTCTCCCTTCTGTCATTTGTGCTGAAGTTTATGTTTTGTTTTTGTCTTCACCCCTCACTCTTAACACGTTTATGTCCTAGTAAATAAAAACATCCCATTCACACATACCTCATCTCTCACTGACCCAGATGGAAGATTTGTTGTCATTAATGGATCAATAAACCAAACAACATTCACACTTTGCAAACATTTACGGGCCCCAACAACGATGACCCATCCTTCTTCCAAAATTTCTTCTCACGACTAAATAACTCATCCAATATCATCATAGCTGGAGACTTCAATACTGTTATCAACCCCACAACTGACCGCTCGAGCACCCCCACTAACTCAAGAATCTGGCACTCCACTGAAATAATTAAGCAATACGTGAAGGATCTTGGACTTGGTGATAGTTGGAGAATGAGAAATCCATCATCCAGAGGATATTCTTACTTTTCACCCCTCCACCAATCTTCCTCCAGAATAGATTTCTTCCTCATAAGTAATTCACTCTCCCGACACACATTATAGAAAATACAATTCATACCATCATAATCAGTGATCACGCTCCAGTCTCCCTGGACATCAAATCACACATCAAGCCGCCCACAAGATGGCGCTTTAATACATCACTTCTACGAGACCCTGATTGTATGTCATTGATTAAGAGAGAGTGGGCTTTCTTTCTGGAGATGAACGACTCTCCAAACATTTCACCATCACTTGTATGGGAAACAGGCAAAACAGTAATAACAGGAATAATAATATCATATTTATCACACAAGAAAAAACAGCAACAAATATTTTACAGCAACCTGTACTCCCCCGATCATGAACCCAACCAATCAGAAATAGACACCTTTCGAAATAACCTAGAACTACCAACCCTGCATCAGAACAAGCCAACTTTTTAGATGCACCCATCACCACTGAAGAACTACACAAAGCCCTACATAAAATGCCAAACGATAAATCTCCCGGACCAGACGGACTCCCTGCAGAATTTTACAAACACTTTTGGGACATTTTATCACCACTATTCCATAGAGTAACTACAGAAATTAAAGCAACCACCAACATACCCACACACATGAACACCGCTGTAATGACACTACTTTTGAAACCCAATAAGGACCCAACCCACCCCTCCAGCTACCGCCCCCTCTCACTTATCAACACTGATTTAAAAATGATTACAAAAACACTAACAACAAGAATAGAGACAGTCATTCCAATGATCATCCACCCTGACCAAACTGGTTTTATCAAAAACAGACACGCTTCAGATAACATCCGCAGGCTTTTCAACTTAATCCACATATCACAACAAAAACAGGACAAAACCACGATCGTCTCATTGGAGAAAAGGCCTTTGACAAAGTTAACTGGACATTCTTATTCAGCGCCTTACGCAAGTTTGGTTTTGGAGAGTCGTTCATCCACTGGGTAAGAACACTGTACACATCACCTAAGGCCACAATAATCACAAATGGGATCACTTCACCGAACTTCACACTACACCAAGGGACCAGACAAGGATGCCCACTCTCTCCATCCCTATTTTCATCGAACCACTCGCAGCAGCAAGACAAAACAATAACATTAAAGGAATCTACAGTGAACAAGCAGAGCATAAAATAAGGCCTTTACGCAGATGATTTATTATTACACCTACAAAACCCTTCAACGTCATTACAAGAAACCTTCAATATTATTACAAATTTTTCTTCCATATTTAATAAAACCTGGAATCCATTCATAATTCACCTCAACCTCAGAAATAACATGTCTTAAACTGAGGCCACATACATGACCACAAACCCCTGCCTGCTCTTCTTCTTTACGACATCTCTATGATCTTGATACACCTATGGATGTACATGTGTACGTACGTGTGTATGTGTATATTTAATATTATATATAAATGTATTACCATCACCTCTCTTTTTATGATGGTCACATTATTACATTTATATAATTTTATCTTCTTTCCATTAATGTTTTCATGCATATATACTTTTTTTTTCTCTAACTACTTTTTCATTTATTTTCCATTTATTTATATTTTTGTTTGTTTTCTCGTTACTCCCCACTAAGTTCAGTCCCAGCTGATTTAACTCTCCTTAAGCGGGCCACAACAGACCTTTACCAGAACAAATGGGGAATTAAGAGTGGTGCAACATGTTCTAGTTTGAACAATGTAGATCAAAACACCACAGAAGTCTCTTCAGTTATGAGTAATCTAGCTTTATTCCTTGCGTGTAATACCCTTTTTTTTTAAGGTCATTGTTTTTTGCGACCACTTCCTGTCACATGTTCTCCTCTCAGCATGCGTACTGTAGTGCTCGTCAGCCATCACATCCACTGGTTATATGTTTATGAAGACTCAGGTTTCCTCTTTATACCCTGACCTACAAAGGCCAGAACTCTTTGGGGAAAAGCTGACATTTGATTTTGGTTTTGATGTGCTGTCAAAGAGAAAAAAAATAACTGCTTGACTTGAAAAAAAATAGCAAAGGAAACCCCAATGCAGTCAATCCAAAGTGTTCAGGTCTTGTGCATCTACTCTCTGTCAGAGATGATCTCTCTTTCAGTATTTAAAGTGAGGACGTATGTATAAGTAAGTATATAGAGAAGTAATTATTGGTGTCTATTTCAATGGCTTCATGTGTGTTCTTACAACAAAACAATCTGTATCTGTGTTTATATGTCAGACTTTCAGTGACCATGGCTAATACTCTCAGGATTTGTTACTTCTCCAGATACACTTTTTAAGATTGTGGTTGAAATTGTCTTCAGGCCCTTACAGAAATTAATCATTCATGTGCTCTGAAAAAGGAACAAAGAAAATCTGTAATCGGTAGCAGTTGTAAGCATGTAAAAACTTCGACCAATGTCTGCCTCGAGTTACCAATCTCATGAACCAATCATGCCTGCCTGCTAGTTCTGTACTCCTTGCGTGCACTAGCCAACAATCAAATTTCATGGACTACTTTTTTAACTTTCTCCGACTGTCTCTTGTCTCCTTAAGATTGAGATAATGTCTTGCTTTCGTTGCTTTTATGGTGCTTTCCTGTACAATCGCAGGTCTGCACCGGAATTTGCGTTTTACAGTTCAAAACATCTTAGTCGTATGTCGCTCCTTCTTACATGCTTTCATGCACAGGTGCATCTCCTTATTTCAAAGAAATGAAACGAAATTCAAAACAAGAACATCGTATATTTATATTTAAATCAGGAGAGACTTCATTAAGAATGAACAACAATTCATTTAACAATTTAGAAAAGATCAATGTGGAATATCTTTGGCGATTAGAATCTGTCATGATGACTTCATGTGCTCGGAGGGTAGGATACCCCCCTGATGTAGTCTGGACCCTGGTGGTGGTGGTGACAGAAGAATGCAGGATGTGATGAGGAGTTGGTTTGTGAGGCTGTATCTGAACTCTGCTGAGTGGTTGGTTAATTACTAAACGCCCATACACTGAGCTCCATTAAAACAAGGTGATTCAGCGGATAATTTCCATCAAAAGAGACAAAAAAAATCATACATTTTGGAAAATGAAAAATTTAATCCTTCCAGGTTTAAGTGTACAGTGAGTCCACAAATAATTCAGCCGAGGTATGTTTGTGTAATCCTTTGCTTCGAGGCAGTAAGACCCTCTGCTAGGTCCATTTTAAGATGAGTCTGTCTTCACATCGAAGACCAAACCATTTCTGTATATCAGCATGGCAAACTCGTTTTCTAGCTGTTGGAGATCCGTCATCTCTGTCTCTCTGGAGCTCCTCAGTGCATCATCCACACAGTCGGGACCCTCATCACTGATGTCTCCTGACATCCTTGAATCCCCCCTTTCATTCTCCATGTCCTCGTCAGTGCCATCCCACTGTCCTCTGAGGACAGTCATCCCCTCTGTCTCCTCTGGGACAGTCTTGTCCTCCGGGGGCAGCACGTGCAGTGTCAGTTGATGCACCTCCTCCTTTCTGACCTGCATTTCCTGTTTCAGGTCAAAAAAGCAGAAGAAGACGTTAATCCAAACTTTACTGCCATTTAAATTTCAAACACTTTTGTCCTTACAAAAATGTGGATTGCTGTTAAAAGTTTAAACAATTAAGTTAAACTTTTACAATCTACAATGATCCATATAAAAATAGTTTCAGATGAAGTTGACGTAGTGGAGATCTAGAGTTCAACGAATACTTCAGGCCCGTCAGTCATAAAATTTAAATCAATTATTTTAGTTTCATTAATCTCAGAATCCATTGTCCACTCTATGATGTGCGGGTCTAATTGTACCTGTGTTTTTAAGCTATTTATAGTTTTCGTTAAATTACACATTGATATCTGTTTTTATTCCAGCACAGGTTATGTAAAATGTATTTGTATAGGTCTAATTTTAATTGCACAGGTTTAATTTAGATTCATTTAGGGGATTCTTTAAATATTTTAGGTTGAATAAGTTGTTAATTCTTACCTGATTCTTCGTTGGATAAGAGTTGAAATCAATAACAGGTGTCGGCACAGGAGGACAGATCCTGATTTTGATTCTAGGTATCGAATGAATGAATGAACATTTTATTTTCATGTCAGCTCATTCACATGACCCATCCCACATGGCATTATTCTGACACATTGGCTGAGAGTCAATCAAATGTTCCAGCATGTCATTTAGCCAACATCACAACAGCACCATCAACATGAACCAACCCCATAATAATAACACTCCAAGAGGTAAGATATACAACCGATACCAACAGAACAGAACTGACAAGAACCAGTGTACAAATCTGTCAGGGTTAACAGCTGATGAAAAGGGAGATGGCACAACAGAATAATAGTCCTTAAAGCAGCTATGTAGGCTAAGGGATGAAGTGTTTAATTGGATAGGACAGTGGATAGAATAGGAAATCAGGAGAGAGAGAGAGAGTGGGAAATCTTATACAGGAAAGGAGTCACAGGTTGGACTCCAACTCCAAGCATCTGCGCCCCAACGACAATTTGATTTTTAATGTGACTCTAACATTAATTGTATTTTTGCATGTATAAAATTAATAGTAGAGCATAACATACCTCTTAAAAATAAAGGCACACATTGTTGGGAATAAAAAGAACAACAACAGCAAGCCGAGACTCCACCACACTGATTTCAGGGAAGAAGGACAATATGGAAACTTGTTAGCACACATATGCCACATATGGAAAATAAAAAAACACTCAAACGCAATAATTTTTTAAAAACTATGATACCATTAAAAGTATTTTCTGGCAGTGTATTGATTGTGATCGTGGCTTTAGGTCCTTCTCCCCCCTGTGTCACTCCAGCCAGGCTGATGGTGTACTTGGTTGCGGGGGTCAAGTTTTCCAGACGGTATATGATCAATGAGGCAGAGATGTTGTGGCACTCTGGTGAAGTGAGAAGAGAGAGATCTAACATAGATTTGTCTCCACAGAAACAAAAGCAGCTGTGTTGTTGTTTCATTCTCTAACATTCTACGTGAAATTTTGTTAATTTGTAATTAAGATGAGTCACACATTGAAGGAGCGTTTTGTTTGCTTTGCCAGTTCTGCAAAATGTTTCACTTTGTTAAACACTACTGATGAGTAAAAGTGACTTCATACCTTGGCGTTCATCCTGAGAGCTGATTTTCTCCCTGCAGAGGCTGTAGTGTGTGAGGAAACCTCGCTGCTCCTCGTAGGGAATCTCTTGCCAAGACAGGTTCACAGAGCAGTGTGTTTCATCAGAAGCACTGAAATGCTGCGGCTCTGTGAGGGGAGCTGGAGGAAAAAAATCCAAAATGCATTACTGTCTTTTGACTCAGATCTGCAATCGACCACTATTTGCAATATAAATCATCTAATGACCTGGTTGCTGAAAACTTGAAACTGATTACATTTTTGGGTAGCAGTATTTAAAGTATGCATTGGTACATACTGAATCAATGTCAAGATCCATTCCATCCAGTGAGATGAGATGATTGTGTTGGTTTAAGAATTTTAATTTTGAAAAGAAAAGTATGTACATTTCCTACAGTATTATGGTGAATATACTTTCTCATTTCATGTATCTCTTTACAGTCAAAAACAACAAGGCAACAACCATCTATGGCAACTTATGTGATTGTTGTTGAGATTTGCAGGTATTCACTGAAGAGCTGAACTGACAGATGTTGCTATCCGTAGAGCTACACAGCTAGCATGGCTCAAAAGAGGCGTTCAATATTGAACACCTGAGTTTAATCAGAGTTGGAATGTGCAAAGGTGTCTCCCTCTGCGATACACTTACCATCCTCTTTTTTATAAAAGAGACACATTTCAACTGTCCGTGGTTTCCCGTCATCACATCTGTGCTCATAGTAAAGGTAACGAACAAAGTCCTTCAGGTCTGTCAAAAACAACAAGGCAACAACCATCTATGGCAACTTATGTGATTGTTGTTGAGATTTGCAGGTATTCACTGAAGAGCTGAACTGACAGATGTTGCTATCCGTAGAGCTACACAGCTAGCATGGCTCAAAAGAGGCGTTCAATATTGAACACCTGAGTTTAATCAGAGTTGGAATGTGCAAAGGTGTCTCCCTCTGCGATACACTTACCATCCTCTTTTTTATAAAAGAGACACATTTCAACTGTCCGTGGTTTCCCGTCATCACATCTGTGCTCATAGTAAAGGTAACGAACAAAGTCCTTCAGGTCTGTAACATAAACTGGAAGAGAGTCAAACTTATTATCTTGTTTTAATACAAATTTGTCACATCTAAGGAACAGAAAGAGTTAATGACACAAACAAGTGATACACAGCAGAGAAGACTGGAGGCCAATAGATGTGTTGGTTTTGCTTGCAAAGTGATCTTTTTTTAATTTTCTATGACATTGTTACTGCAATCAAAAAAACAAAACGTACCCTTTCCTTTTCTTTTCCTGGTCTTTTTCTTCTGCCCTCCTGTTAAAGTGATCACATTTTCTGGACTCGGAACTCCGTTGTGAAGCTCGTACCATTCAAGGCAAGTCTTCCTGTCTAATTTTTCATTCAATAACGTTGCAGTGCATGCTGCCCAGAAAAAAGAGACAATTAGCCTTGACTGTCTGAGTTAAATATTCATGATACTGTACACTCAAGTTCACACTTCTACAAACCTTTTAAATCTGCTGCAGTCACAGCAGGTAAATGAACGACAGCTGGAGGAGAACACCCTGCTGTGTTGTTGGCAATGACAGAGACATTGACATCGACAGCAGAGTAGGGTAAGTGAAAAGTTTTTTTGTTATTTTTGATGAGCTGGGTGCTCTTCACACAGGGACAGCCGCGAGAATACTGCGTGTTATTCAGGATGTACGTCACTCCTGTGACTGCTGTGGCAGAAGGCATCCGCTGAAGGACAGACGAGATGTGAGTTCAGGAAAAAGATGTGAAAGTAAACCAACTAGACGAGAAAGCAGATAACAAGATCAACTTTGAATGGTACGGCCAACTGTATCTGCTGTCGAAAGGGGGTGTCGATAACAGTTTAATCAAAGGCCAAAAGGTTCAAGCAAAATAAGTAAAAGTCACTTAAACTATGTGCAAAGTCGATAATTAGCAAAGTGAAGGCGCAGGAAGTACGCCTGTTTCTCTCTGTTTTTCGTTGTTGTCACTGCTAGATCTTTTTTTGTGATACATTTTTTATTTAGAAATGTGCAAAGAAATTACATAATTTGTTACAAATGTTTTCCCCTTCTCTCTTGGACTTGCTTAGGACAATATAATAGGGGGCTGGCCGGACAAACTCTAGGTGAAGTCAGAGTGAATAATTCGACTGTTGGCATTCACACATACAGCTGTATGTTTGAAAGCCCTGTGTGACTGTGATCCGTCAGCAGCATTATAATGGACTTCTTAAAATCCTTCAGTCGCCAGATAAATTACATCAAGTTTCTCATAAAAGCCTGGCGCGTGTTGACTCCTGCTTTGCAAAAACAGTTCACTTGCACTTGCCCATCAATGTTTAGTATAGAGTATTTTTAGTATTTTCCTCAAAGAATCATTGTCAGGGACTGTAAGCCTTTGTTAGCTTGGCTTTTTATACTTGACCCACAGAGGGGCAGTATAAAGAGGAGTGCAATTTGCACTGAAAGGAGCCACAGGTGGGATTTGAACCTGGGCCGCCTGCTTGGAGGACCATAGCCTCCATACATGGGGCGCGTGCACTAACCACTGCACAACTGCGCCACCAGCGCCCCAAAGCCAACACTTTCAAACATATAATGCCCTTTCCAAACCACAATTACTCATGCTGTGATGTTGTTTTCCCCCACAGGTTTACCTTCCAAAACAGCGTCACAGTTAGAGTGCCATTCACAGGTTCTGATGTCATCTTGACGTCAGGTTTTTCCTTAAGTTCTAGAGGGAGAAATATTAATGTTGAATGATTTCAACCTCTTTTCAGCTTCTTTGTACTGTTTTACCTGTTTTACAACAGACTAAATGTTCAAGATGTATTCAATCTAATACATTTTAGAATAGCTTTAAATGTGTACAGTAGACTAAGTCATACAGACACATCTGTTGACATTCTGAATATTTAAGTCTATGCTTTCTGATAAACAGTTTGCATCCAACATTTCAGGCCAGAAGTCATTAGACAGTTTAGAGAGTATAGAATCAGTTAAAGATTTCAGTCACAGGGCGTCTGATGCTCTTTTCTGTTAAAGTGACACATTGTTATTTAAATTTCAAAACTAGTAGGACTTTAACTTTGGGCATAATGCAGCTCTGAAATGTTTAAACGCTTACTAGTAGCCTGCAGTGACTTTAATCATGACACACAAATGACTGAAATCAAAATTACGGTTGTTACATCTAAAGTGCAAAGCAGAGACATATTTGACTTTACCTGCAGGAACGTCCACAACTGGAGACCAGTTGCTCCACAGTGGTTTACGGGCTTGAGTGGACTTTTGTCTGATCTGAACCTGGTAAGCAGAGTTACTCAACAGACTGACCGAATCTGTACAGACCAAAAGAAAAACTTTTACATAGCCTTTCCCTCTGCATTTGCCTACTAATGTAGAGTATTATGTCGTCTGATGAAGATTTTGTCGTTGCAGCCTGCTTTATGATCATGCTGAGTGCAACAGATGAGAAGTAAGAACTGCACTGCACCTTAACACATAAAGAGGAAAGAGACTGGACAGAGACCTACATTTCGTGACCAAGAGTAAGGAAAAGGGAAGTAGCCATGGCGGATGATGAAAGGAGAAGCTTGGTATGGAGCATCAAGAAAAACCTGCTCAGTCTATCTGCTGATGAACTGTTCCAAATTGTCAAGTCTTTAGGTCTGATGGCAGTAGCGGACCAGTCTCGTCCCAAGTTGGGTGATGAGGACAGTTGCTTCGAGTACATCAGCAACTTCATGTACAGTAAGCCCTTGTTAGAATCCAAGGATCAGGGTTTGTCACATTTAATGGATTTGAAAGATGTTGTGAATGAAGTCATTCAGAGTCATGTTTCTGATTCACAATTCCAGACAGCAGCCAAAGTCAATTCAAATGATCAGCGAAATCAGCTAAATGATGACAGTATTGAAAAGAGTCAAGCTAATGGTAATGTCAAGTTAGCTTTACATGAAGATGATGATATTGAGCCTGCTTTTGGTAGTATAACTCACCACGCAGATGCTAATGGTACAGTTTCAAATGACTCTGAACTGCAGAAAATACTTAAAGAGTTATGAGGAGCTCAATCAGAAAATTATGCAGTATATGCCCACATCAACTGATCAGTCTACAGCTCAGCCACCTGTAATGACACAGTCCAGGTCACAAAGTAGACAAGAATCACAACATTCAGCTAAAGGTCCTGTTGAACACTCAAAACATGTAACGCATGACAATGTGGCTTCCTTAAGAGACTTATCTTACCTCCAGCGTAGAGAGTTTAAATTTCAAGGGGGTCAGATTGGAGACCAGGGGTCAGACATCAGTTACAACAACATTTGTCGCCAGATCGAAGAAGCTTTCAGAGAACAGTTTAGCGATGCTGAGATTGTCAGAGCTGTCCTCAGAGTCATCAAGCCTGGTAATTTCAAGGACATGCTAATGCTAACAAAGATGAGCTAACAGTAGAGGAGCTTAAAGACTTTCTCCACTCCCACCTTGGTGAACAAAACAACACCGAGCTTTTCCAAGAGCTAATGTGCACAAAACAACGCGACAATGAGACACCCCAACAGTTCCTATAAAGAGATATAGGACTGAAACAGAAGATCTTACTTGCTTCAAAACACTCAGACTCAGATGTAAAGTACTCTGCCAGCACTGTTCAAGATGTTTTTCTCCACACTGTGTATCAAGGCATAGGGCACAGACATGGTGACATTTGTAGGGAGCTAAAACCACTACTTGAAGATACTACAGTCACTGACGAAGCTATCCTGAAACAAATGAAAAAAGTGATGAGTGATGAAAGTGAAAGACAGCGTCGCCTTGGTCCTGTCACTCGCCAAAAGAACACATATGTGCACAGTACCCAAGTTGAAATAAATGCAGCACAGTGTCCTAATGTGAAGCAGGAAAGCACAGGAAGAAAACCTAAACCAGACATGATACAGCAGTTGGCAGAGAAAGTTGAAAAGCTTGCAAGTATTGTTGAAGTAATGAAACAGTCACTACAAACACAAAAGCCATAGCAATGCAGTCAATACAGAAAAAGCAGAGTAAACTATCAGAGAGAAAAACCATATGGATGTGAACGGTGTGTTGAGTTAAATTGTCCCGGGTGTCCTCACTGTTTTCACTGCGGTGAAGAAGGACATAGAGCAGTTGGTTGTATGAAGAAGACAACGCGTTAGGGAAACTGGAACCGGTCTCTGCCTGGGGACAAACAGTGTCGCTGTCCCAATCTGAAACAAGTAACAGTCACAAACCTGTCAGTGAAAGTGCATCAACATGTAACATTCAAACGAACGACGATGTGACATCAAACCAAAGACTGAAAAAGTCTTTTGGTTTACGGTCATTGACAAGAGTTTATAAGGGAAAAGGTTATAGATTTTGGAAATGTCAGGAGCCATGCTTTATTTTTGTCGGGGAGTATGTGACACACCGAAATGTGTTGTCACATTTTGTTATTGCATTTGGTTATTTTGTATGAATAAACGTATCTGTGTTTTGGTTAAAGAAGTTATTTTGAAGCTGTTCCTGTATATGCCACAAGGGGGCAGCACCTCCCCTGCTGAGCGGGCTGTTTATTGTCTTTGCTGCGCTATGCTTCAGTTTGGCAGAAGCGAGAGAAGAGTGAACAACTACAGTCGACTCAGTGTGTTTTCTTTGTCTTTTACAGGTTAGTAATTGAAGTTTAAAACACAGAACTTTCACAATATGATGCAGATTTAATCCCACAAAAGTTTTTTTGTTGGTCTTATGTTTGTAAACAGAGTAAAAACGGGTTTGAGTGCTAGCATGCTAAGAAAAGTGCCTTGTGTGACCGTCACTTTCAGTTTTAATTCCCTTTTGATTTTCAGTTGGTTAAAAAACGCTTATGATACTGTGTAAAATAAATAAATAGATCATTCATTCTGTTTATGTACAAAAGTAAGATTGTTGCATCAGTTAAATGTTATTTGTTTATCTGGTAGCTCTGTCAGTTAACATGGGTTTTTCCCATTGAAAATCTTGCTAAGAGGCAAAATGCTAGTTTAGGTAATTAAACCATAATGAGCTTGTGTTTACATGGATGTTAATTTGAACAGTAAAATTAGATTTTGTATTTAGTGAATTAATCAGATTGTCTGAAATGCACTTAGAGAAGTAACATATTTTGTTGTTTTGGTATTTAATAAAAGTTTGTCAGAAGTGAGAGAAGAGTGAACAACTACAGTCGACTCAGTGTGTTTTACATACTTTAAGCTGTAAGCAGGTTCCATCCTGTACCTGTTACAGTTAGCATGGGGAATTAGTCTTAAAATGGATTGTATTATTTTGTAATTGGTTATCAGATAATGTAAGAGTTAAAAAAAAAACATACAAAAAGCCTGGTATGAGATATAACTCTCTGGATTCACAAATTAAAAAAACAAAACAAAAAAACACCAAATCTCATCTAAATGAAGTCAGGCTGTATGAACACTGCATTCAAAAACACTTTCATTAGGAATATGCATTACATAAAACTACTTACACTCTGAAGTCCCTGCCTTGGTTTTTGTTGAATGCAGTGTCTATGAGAGCAAAATGGATGAAAGGTATAATATTTAATTTATTGTAGAAAAACACATTGAGATATTCAGAAAATAAAGAAAGGTCTTACGTTCACCCATGATACATTGGGGTGTCCATGTCGACGGAACCGGACCTCGGCTAATGCTGGATAGTTCTCTGCTGCTTTCCATCTTAATTTGAGGTTGTCTTTAACCCGTGATATCATAATCTTCTGTGGAGCTTCATACTTAACTGTGCAGGAAAAAGCAAAATATTTCAAGTATGATATTCCTTTAAAGACTTAATAAATCTATTTATTGTTCTTCTTAATCTGTAGACAGTGTAGCTGTCAATGTATTCTGACTTAACTTGACGAAACAAGTGAACGTAGTGCATTGGTCTTGGATGTTGTTTTAGTGAAACGAGAGGAGCATCACGTTCCTACCTATGTCGGCCAGGACAACAAAACTCTCGAGTGATGTACAGCTGGACTTTCCATCATGAGCCTCCAGCCAGATGTACACAGTTTCCAGTATGATGAGCCGTTCCATGGTAAACTCAGCTGAGGTGTTATTCTTTATGCTCTCAATTTTTGTTTCACTATGAATGAAAAAGATGAGCGTTGAGTTCAGTGAAAAGACAGAAACTGATAGCATCTTAAAAGTCATTGTCATCCCTTAAAGGTATACTTCACCCATTGAAACATGAATGTGTATTGACATTGGGTCATATATGTAGTAGAAATGTGAAATACATTTTCAACTTCTTGGCCTATAAAAGGCAGAAAGTGTCTTTTTGGCTGATGTGGATGAAAGACAACAAATCCCAGAATGCACAGCACCACAGGCCACTCCCACTAAGATCCTCTAGTTCAGAATCAGAAATACTTTATTAATCCCAGAGGGAAATTCGATCGTTACAGTTTCTCCAAAATATACAATATAGCAGTAGAAATATATTAATAAAAACATTTACAGACATATTTACTTCAACACATGAGGCCGTTTCCTCAACTGATTCTGAGATTTCTTCAAGAATTGATCTTGGAAATTCCTGGCAGAAAACAGACTCTATGTCTGTGTCCATAGGCAAATAGTGAGAGCACTGACTCTATCAGTCCTCCCCAGCTCGAGCCGGCCCGGGCTCCTCGTCCTCACCGCTGCCGACAGGCAGGCTTTATGTCTCGGCTGCTGAGCTGACAGCCGGTGGCGGCCAGCAATATAGCAATCTAACTGCAAGATGGCTGCTGCCGACAGGCCGGTCTTGTGTCGCGGCGGCCCCGGTGGCCCCAGCCAGCGGCCGAAACACAAGACCAGCCTGTCGGCAGCAGCCGTCTTGCTGCTATATTTATATTTTTTCGCCATTATCAGCTTTCTCCATAGAGCCTGTTAGCATAGCTTCCAAGCAATATGGCGGACGTTAAGTTTCGATTCTGGGAGTGAGTTCCCACCCACTGATCTGTGATTGGTCTGTAGCTTCAGTGGTCGAAAATATGAGGAACTAGCGTTGTAGTTTCACACCGCTAACCGCAACAGCTTCCAGTGACGCAAAAATCGTCATTTTGCGTCACTGGAAGCTCCTTTTCAAACTTAGAAATACAAAGATTTCCCATCTCAGGGGAAAATGAGGGCAGGATGCACGACCATTCAAAGATACTACCAGGTTTCTAATGATACAAAGATTAATGCAAATGGGTGAAGTATCCCTTTAAGTTGCTTTACAATTGCTAGTAATTGGAAGAAAATGTCTAGCCTGGCTCAGTACAAATATACCACTGAGCACACATCATTATGTGTAATCTATATTTTGTTGCAATTGTTACCTTCAGATAGAGCCAAGCAGACGGTTTCCTCTTGATTCTTGTTTTATGCTAAGCTAAGCTAAATATTACCATTATTTACAGGCAAGAAAGCTTACGAGCAACATTCAAAACAAGTTCATTGTCACTTTAAAACCATTTAATACCATGCATAATCAGAGATATATTTCAAATGTTCTCTTATCAAAGGTCCTTCCTGAAATCAAGCTTAATATATGTGATATAGGAAACTTTGGGATCTCCTTTAAAGGTGCACTATGTAGATTTGTAGAAATTTAAAAATTGGGAAGTGAAACAATTCTATGCCATATTTTCTATGAGAAAAAATGGGTACATTTTGGGAACAGAACATTGTTTGGAGCTAAAAAGCTACCAGGAGAGCTACGGTTTCACTGTTTCGGCTCCACCATAACTTCTCGCATAGAATTTTATCTTCAAACAGTGTTACAACGACCACATTTTCCTCTGAGGACAGTTTGTGTATAGAGTTATAAAGATTTACCATATAATCTGTACATTTCTCCAACTGTCACATTTCTCTACCAAAACTACAAAGTGCACCTTTAAAATTAAGTTTGGACTAAAAGTGTCAGACCAAAAGACAAGACACATCAGTGAGTCTTACAGCAATACACATTCTCATGATACTCAAAAGTCACTATTTGAAAATATTGTAGTTGAAACAAAACTCACTTAAGGTAGAAGTCAAATGTCACATCGCTCTCTGTTGTATTCATGCTCCACTCACACTTGAACGTGTTTTCATAGGCACCTCTTCTGAAGCACTCAGGACTGGAAGGAGCTTCACATGGTGACCCTTTGAGAAACAGATTTCAATAATATGCCATTTATTTATTTGAACATGTATTCATATTGAAAGGCTACAGCCAACCCTTTGTTATTTAACCTTTATATGCAAGTCTACCAGCAACAGCTGAGGCCTGAGTTTGAGAAGTTTGAATCCACTTGGACACAAAGAAGATCTGATCACATTTTGTTGGTCAAACGTCGCTGTGACCTCAAATCCCCTCCATACTTACTCAAAATACAAACATAAATCCTCAAGCAGAGTTTTGTTTTAAAAAATCACAAAAAGGAGGAACTTATCAGAAAGGGCAAGCCAGTGTCGGAGCCACATTTATTTTACTTTTATTTTCATTTTCGTTTGTTCATTTTTATGCATTTCATGTGTGCGACCTACGTAGGAGGTGAGGGTGACTGTCTATATATTGGTTGAGCATAGGACACTTTGTCATGCTGATGGTGCATACCGTTACGACTGCAGGCTCAGAATATACATTTTAATAAATGACATTTGCATTTTTATAGCTTCAAATAGTGACATTTTTCTATTTAATTTTTCAATTTTTACATCTATCAACTGGATTCATAACTCAAGAGGTAAAAAAGTTCCAGCAACACTTGTAGTTTAAAAGATCAACTTTAACAGACGGACACGTTTCGGCTTATGGCCTTCAGTCATAACTCAAGAAATTATGTGTTAAGAAAGACGCAAGCCCTTTTCACACTTCTTCCTGAGATGCTAGTTCACATTTCCTCATGGCCGGAGATTTTCCCTGTCTGATGGATGAGGTCTTGGAAGGCAAAAGACATGACCTAAAAAGAACACAGTGGAAGACACTTTGCAATATTTACAACAAAGAGTCCAATGTAAAAGTGCTTTTCACACTTCTCAAATTTCTTCTCATATTTTCACTCTGACTTTATTTGGAGTTTCTCCTGCCAGCCTCCTAGTAATTTTTCTGCAAAAAACTCTGAGTGAGCTAATGTGGGAACACAGCAGGATATAATCAGTAGAATTCACCTTGAGCGAGAGGGAGGAGGTGATGACATTTATTCCCTGAAATCAGTGCACAACCAGACTGTGTGCACGCAGACTGGTACGATCTCCTTGCCTTAAATAAACTACTGCATTATGTTTTTTGTTTGCCAGTATGTTATACTCTGCTCTTCTGTTGATATGGTGAATCTGTTGAACTACACACAGCGATTATATAAAGGCAAATATTATCATTATGTTGCATAGTGGACTTTGTTGTATCGTCTGCCACTTCCAAGTTGTTCTTTTTACATCACATCTTGCCTCAGGATGTACAGGCAGTCCTCCAGAAATGACCTTGAGATTTTCCATCCAGCTTTAGGTGACAGTTTTAGACTTAAAATACTTTCTACTTGTAATTGGACATACAGTGTAAACAAAAAAGTGAAGAACAATATACTAATGTTTTTGTTCTTCTGAAAAGCTATTTGTTCAACCTTTTAAATTGTATGAGCTCTGTTATTCTGAGAACACAAGAAGAAATAAATGTAAAAATAAGTAACCTGCCATCGTGTAAAAGACCATAGAGGCAGGGACTTTTAAAAGGTTTCACACAGAGTAACAGAGAGCGGATGTCTTTTGTTGGTGGAAACCGCATGTAACTGATAAGCTAACCAATATTTGGTAACGGATGTTTTACTTCTGCTGTAATGGAACTGTCACTTTTACTTATCTGATTGGTAATCTGGTGTTTTCATGTTATTAGACAGAGTAGACCAAAGCTATTATAAGTTGATACAAGAAGTAAAAAACAGATCAATGGTTTCATATCAATTTACCTTTGCTGATCATTGCAAGGACCGTAAACACAACAGCATATCCATGTAGTGAGAGGCAGCATTTCAAAGTTTCCATCAGGTGAAGTGGAAAGTAGCAAAGGGTTGTTCTTCAGCATGTGAGAGACTTTGGTGAGAGTCAAACACGTACATATCAACCCGCCTTCACATAACTCAGCTGCCTTCTCAGAAATGTCAGAAAGGTTTCATAGCTCTCAGCACTCAGAAAAACCACAATTGTTGATGCAGGGGGGAGGCTGCGTTTGTCAGACAGAGATAGCAGCCATTCTGAAAGTGGCGACTCTTTGATCTCATTTGGGGTTTTTTGACGTTTATTTCAATACAACTTTTCACTCCAGACTGAATGGCTGACAGAAAATAAACAAAAAAAAATCTGCAAACTACAGAAACAGACCTACATCTGCAAATGAATTTATAGAGCCCTCACATTTTAGTTTGCACTTTTCAGGTATTTCATGATTTTGTAGATTCATTTGAACCCTCCTTCACATTGTGGATCACTGCTATTTTTTCAAAATCTCTTTTCAAAATGTAACTATGTGTCATACACATTGTTATTTACAGCTCATTTGTTGTTGCCGTCTTGTCTTTTCTTGTTTGATGTCTGACTTCCTTCACCAGATGGTGGTTTGAAGCATCCGTTTCTTAGAAACATGTGACATGCATTTTTTTCTTATTGTTGTACATGTTTTAATACAGTTACCAAATACATAATATCACTTAAAATAAAGGAATTGCCTTAACCAGCTGGGCACTGTAGCTTTTGTACAGAAACACTATCCAGAAAACTTTGTTTATATGTTTGGTATATTTCCAGATGTGTTCTAGAGAGTATCTTTAAGAGGAGGATGGTTTTGTGGGAGAGAGTCAAGGTAAACTACTGTGACCATGTCAATAATAATGAAGGAACATGTCACTCAACATGGATGCTCACTTTGAATCTTTTGTTTACTCAGTGGCAATAAGAGATATATCAGTCTTTTTAACAAAAGGTGAAAATCCCTATCCTAAGTCCCTGTCCTAAATATCATAAGGTTTATTCTATGTATCACAAGTCACTTAAATCCGATTTGTCCAATTCTTTATCGACCTAATAAGAGCTAAAAGAAAAGGATTTCATTAAAAAGTGGTATTCACGGGGTGCTGGATAGTCTATGACTTATTATGTTTTCTTGTTTGTGAACAGACTCCTTAACAGAGGATCAAGGAGGCCAAGGTTTGGATAGTTTATGGTTTTGGTTTCCATTCTAAAATTATCACAAACCAGCTGTATGGCAGGAACAAGAAGCGCCTTGAGGGAAGTGGTGGAGGAATGTGAAACTGTATTGTTTGAAACTGCAAATCTAGAAAGATATCCTTCTTCTTCCTCATGTTGTGGTCCTGTATGACTTTATTCCAGCAACTTCTCATCTTACATCCTCATTATTTTCCCTGTTTCCCATTTATAGTTTCAAAATGAATACAATTCATTTTCAGTTTGAAGTAGAATAGAATGTCTTTATTGTCATTATACAATGTACAACGAAATTATACAGCTTCATCTTAAAGTGCACACACATAAAGCCAGCGGACATCATTGGCAAAAGTTTACAAAAAGAACAATGCTGTTGGAGCTAAGATTATATTAATGTTTACTTAACAGGCTTGTGCTTGTTTTTTTGATTGTCATGTTACTAAGGTAAAGATTGTGGCATACAAGAAGTGTACGCAGCCTGGTGTTACTGACATAAGCGCTAACCACTGTATTGCCTTGCCACACAGATTTAATTCAATTTTCATTTTATAACATACAGTAAAAATGACAGTATAGGCTAGCCTAAGTCAAACATCGAAATGATCTAAAGCTTTTTTTTTTTTTTTAAACGTTTTAAATGTGTAATTTTTACAGTCTATGGTGTAGACCAGGGATGGGCAACGTTGGTCACAGCAAGGGCCACATTCATTTAATTCTCACTGCCAGGGGGCCAAATTGTAGTATACAAAAACGATTACGGTCAATTTTTTCTCAATTTAACTCAACATATACCAGTGATCAAATATTATTATGGACATACTTCTGGTTTTCATGATTTCATGGCATATTTAGTCATGTTTTCTTCATGTTCCCAATTAATGGATATGTAAAAATTGACCTGAGGGCCACGTTGAGGGTTGATGGGGGCCTGCATGTGGCCCCCGGGCCGCCAGTTGCCCACCCCTGGTGTAGACCTACGGCTCAACTATTTCCAAAAGACTTAAATCCATTTGGACATGTCCTCAATCCTAGAGCTATCGAACAATTTTGTAGGCTGGGCCTACGCTTATTTGCCAACACATTGACTCACAATTTTCCTCAAAGACTAGACTTTTAGGAGAAGAACAATGCCAGTCTAGTCACTAGAGCTTGTGTAGTTAGTAGCTATAGGCCTTCACCTGCAGAAACGGAACACCGGTGCCTCACAGTGGCCACAGACTGTCAGTACAAGAGGAAGGAAGTGAAGCAAAGTGAGGGAGAGGTCCGCACCGCCGCCGTGTTCAGTGAAGGAGCCTCGGCCGACGGGTGCTCTCCGTCCGTGTCTCAACAACAGGCCGTTTCCACACTTGTGAATTACAATGAACAGGCCACTGAGCCATTGACCTTCTCGTAACATTCCTGAAAATGCCCTATGCGTGTTGCTTTGAGCTAGAAGATGGCGGAGTCGGATGGCGGGGATTTTGCTTCGCAGTATCCACAGAACAGGTGAGTGAGGCGGCGTGAGGAGGTGACATGTCCCCGGTGAGTGTGACAGGTGACTCCGTGTTGCTGTGCTGCAAAGTTCATGGTCTGCGGGCCTTCAGAGCAGCTCGACCCGGCCGGAGTGCACTGGGGTCGCTTATTAGATTCAGGAAACACCGTGGAGCTGTCCAGGCCTATAGACATCAACACCGCCTGTGCTTTTTGTTTTTAACCTGACCAGCAGAAATAAAGTGTCTGTGTCCCCAAAGAGTAACTCATTTAAATACATAGTAGCGAGTAAACTTTAAACGTAGCCTATTTGTTGACGATTTTCTCATTTGAAGAGTGAAGACAATACCTCGCAAACTTAATGATATTTTTGATGCAATTAACGTAGGGGAACAATAAATCAATAAAATACACTTGGAGTTAATCATTTCACCACTTCAGAGCCACAACGGGCTTGTTGTTTTCCCCCATGAATGTGGAACCTTAAAAATAAACAGAAAAGTAAATATTGGCTGTGTGTCGGAGCTGCAGCCTAAACGCAGTAAATCTGAAATCCATTTTTATTAGATGTCATTAGGCTACCATATTTCTAAATTTAGTTTTTATCTGAACTTAAAATAGGATCACTTTTGATGAGATATTTTGTCATCAGTAGTCAGCCTTCCAAGTGTTTCAAAGCCATTTATAGACTGAAAAGGTACGGACAAAAAAACTAATATGACAGCTGTCACAAGTATTAGTATTTCTTTTTTTATTCATTTCTATTTTGTGAACTCTGTCTTGTATCAGCAGAGTTATACTTTTACTCATAGCTATGCTTTTCTCCTGGTTGCAGATTAACTGTAAAGAATGTAAAGACACTGAATGGTACATTCCCCCCCCCCCCCCCAGTGGCAAACTCGATTAGATGTCTATTAATGTATTTCTGTTAGGATCAGTTCTGTTTTTTTCTAAACAGAAACCGGCTGTTTGGGCAAATATAATGGCTTCTTGCTGTGCACATAATATTAACATAACAACACAAACAAATCTACAAGTTCAGAATGTCAGCATTGTCTGGAGATATGGGAGGTTTTTTTATCTTTGTGAAAAAAGTGTGGGATGCCTTGATTCACCCATTGTGACCAGGCCCTTTTTTCTTCCCAGTATGGCTAACAAGAATAGCACCCTGCGCTGTTCATTCTCGGCCCCAAGCCACAGTGCCATCCTCCTCCAGGGCTTGTCGTTTTTGCGGTCTCGGGGCCAACTCCTTGACGTCGTGCTTGCCATCAACGAGGAGCGCTTCCAGGTTCACAAAGCCGTGCTGGCCGCCTGTAGTGATTACTTCAGGTTAGTCTAAATCACAAGCTGCCTCTCTGCCCATTTGCATTTTAAGTTGGAGGCTCTTATCCAATGCTTTTATACTCAGCAATTTTCACTAAGTGCTCTGGTAGAGCAAGCTGGAGTTCATAGGTAAAGTACTGTACTCAGCTACTACTGCTACTCCGTGAGGAGAGGGGGAAGGTATAAGAGGGAAAAACTAATAGTCATAATCCTAACTCACTTACCCTTTTCTTTATTTTTTGTCTTTAAACAGTTACAAATGATAATAGAAATTTAAGAAGGAGGTATTCCAATTATATGAATTCAGGAAATGTCAACATCCTGAATGACTAAACATACATTAGGAGAATGTACAACTGATTGACTTAAATTGTAGCTGTACATAATTTGTGTGTTGCAATAAGTCAAATCCATTACATTTTAAATCAGCACATCTAGAAAAGTTGGACATAAAATTATGTCACATCATTTATTGACTCATTCTTGTGTTTCAGAGCAATGTTCACCGGAGGCATGAGGGAGTCAAGTCAAGATACCATTGAGCTGAAGGGTCTGTCTGCCCGTGGTCTGAAGCATATCATTGACTTCGCCTACAGTTCAGAGGTCACATTGGACCTTGACTGTATTCAGGATGTCCTTGGAGCTGCTGTCTTTCTCCAGATGGTTCCAGTCGTGGAGCTCTGCGAGGAGTTCCTCAAGTCAGCGATGAGCGTGGAGACCTGCTTGCACATCGGTCAGATGGCCACAACCTTCAGCCTGTCTTCCCTCAAAGAATCGGTGGATGCCTTCACCTTCCGACACTTCCTCCAAATTGCAGAGGAGGAGGATTTTTTGCACATTCCCATGGAGCGCCTTGTCTTCTTCCTGCATAGCAACAAACTCAAAAACTGTAGCGAGATTGACCTCTTTCACGCTGCCATCAAGTGGCTCAAGTATGACGAGTCGCGTCGGGCTCAAGCCAGCAGCGTCCTCTGCCACGTGCGCTTCCCCCTCATGCGCTCCTCGGAGCTGGTGGACAGTGTTCAAACTGTGGACATCATGGTGGAGGACGTGCTGTGTCGCCAGTTTCTCCTCGAGGCCTTCAATTATCAGATTCTTCCCTTCCGGCAGCATGAGATGCAATCTTCTCGTACACTCATACGCTCTGACGTCATGTCACTCATTACCTTTGGCGGGACGCCGTACACTGACAATGACCGCACAGTGAGCACCAAGGTGTACCACCTCCCCGACATCGCCTCCCGACAGTTCAAAGAGCTTACAGAGATGGAGCCGGGCTGCAGCCATGCTTGTGTCTCAGTGCTTGATAACTTTGTGTATGTTGTGGGTGGACAGCACTTGCAGTATCGCAGTGGTGAGGGTGCCGTTGACAGCTGCTACCGCTACGACCCGCATCTCAGCCAGTGGCTGCGCATCCAACCCCTGCAGGAGGCCCGGATCCAGTTTCAGCTCCATGTTCTTCATGGACAGCTGTATGCCACTGGGGGGCGCAATCGGTCTGGCAGTCTGTCATCTGTAGAGCGTTACTGCCCTAAGAAAAATCTGTGGACTTATGTGGAGCCATTAAAACGTAGGATTTGGGGTCATGCAGGGACACCATGTGGAGGGAAACTGTATATATCAGGGGGTTATGGGGTCTCACTGGAAGACAAGAAAACACTCCACAGCTACGACCCAGTTTCAGACCAGTGGGACTTCAGAGCTCCCATGAATGAGCCCAGAGTTTTGCATGCCATGATCAGCACCGGAGGTCGAGTGTATGCTCTGGGCGGTCGCATGGACCATGTGGACCGTTGTTTTGACGTGCTAGCAGTCGAGTATTACATTCCAGAAAATGACCAGTGGACCACCGTCAGCCCAATGAGAGCCGGGCAGTCTGAGGCGGGCTGCTGTTTACTGGACAGGAAGATCTACATCGTAGGGGGCTACAACTGGCATCTTAACAACGTCACAAGCATCGTGCAGGTGTACAACACGGACACAGATGAGTGGGAGAGGGATTTGCACTTCCCAGAATCCTTTGCTGGCATTGCTTGTACACCAATAATAATTCCACAAAACACAACGCAACACTAACCATCCGACCTGTGACTGTGAAGATTTCATTCCATGTGCTCTTTCTGCCGAACCTGAGTCAACACAAAGTGTGAATATTATGTAAGCTACTGTGTGTGTTTGTATACGTGTTTGTGTGTGTGTGTGTGTGTGTTTGTCTGTGTGTGTACTGTATGTGTGAGTGTGCTCATTGATTTGAGGAAACAACTGTAAAAGTAACCAAGCACAATTATTTCCTACCTGTCTCACATTCATTAGCTAGTCCTCGCCAAATGAAGTGTAAAAACACGAGTATTAACTACATTTTTAACACTTTTTTTTCCTGAAAGAACATTATTTAGTCCATAGACGTTTTGTAATGTCACCGGTCAAGGGCTTATGTTACAGACAGCACAAGTCATCTCGGAAATCTCCGTTTTGACTGAAACTCTTGAGTTGTCTTGTGTGTTTGAAAAGGTGTTAACCAACTCTACCTTCTATATTGTGTTAGACATTTTGATTGTACCATTGTGAATGTTTTAGTTTTGTTTGCTTCTTTTTTCCTTTTTTTTTAATGTTTCAGACAATCGAGCTGAAGGAAAATCTTTCTCTTTATGTCTCCTTATTTGAAGTACTTAACAAACCACTTATTAATGCACAGTGATGACTGCACAGATAAACACAAGCACTTGTTGTGCTGTTTAATTTAAAGTAAGATTTGAATGTTGACGGGCTCCTTGTTTTTCACAAGTATAGTGACTGCCAGTGTGTTTTTCTGAATCCAACAGTAGCTCACTAAGTGTTATCTCAGTCAACATAACAAATCAGTGTGGATCTCTTGAGGCAGCTACATGACCTATTCTAGTGGTGAAATGCCATCGTGTGCTGCTGTATGTCAGAGTAGTGCTACATCATGCGTACCACACATGCTTATATTCTTATATGATGGTAATACTGACGGTTTTTTATTATCCGTGGAAAATAGTACTTAATCTGTCTGTTTGCAGTGTTTGAAGCAGGCTCCTGTTTTTATTTTTTTGGGCCATTTCTGCACTTTTCAGAGCAGTATTTGTCAGAACATGATTCTATTTGGGTGTGCATGGAAAAATCAAGCTTTAAGTTCTTGTTTTTTTTCTTTAAGATGCAACCATCTGTGCTGTTGGGGAGTGTCTGTTTTTAAACTGTCACTTGTTTGCCTTAGTGTGTGTTTGTATTGTTGTGACTGTACAAGGAAAAGCACATGCTATCATGTTGAAGTGCAATATAAAGGATATCGCTTTAGTCATACGGGAATGTACAAGATCGTGTATGTGCATCCTTTATTAAAGGTGTGTCATGTTTTTAAAAAAAAAATACCTTTCAGTTGCTTTCCATGGTTTTATTTTTTTTGAGATCAACTTTTTATTGAAATTCTACATAAGATGCTTGGACATATGAGCCTCAATGACAGAAACCTAAGACAGCATCATCAAACAGAAACTATTTACAGACCGTTGATGCCTTGATGAGGAAAAACATACATAACATTTGAAACAAAGACAAAATTACTGAATAAAATTATGATATGCATGTACACACACACATATATATATATATATATATATATATATATATACACACACATATGCACATAAAATAAAACCTACAGACACAGCTCAATAAATAAAACTAAAACAAATAAACAGATAAAAGAATTCAAGTAAACAGTTTCACACAAAGTGTAGGTTTATGTTTTGTTTATAAAATAGTACTGGTTATATTTGTTCAAGAAAAAGTGGATCTGAAAGAGTTGAAATAAGGAAATCCCAAGCCTGTAAAGTAGATGCCCGTGCCTTATGAATTACAGCTAATGATCTTTCAATAAGACAGATGTCTCTAAAATAGTTAAACCATTCCTATATCGATAGAGGTTCAACAGAGAACCAAGAATGTATTATCGTCTTCTTTGCTGCAGTTGAGCCTGCAAAGATAATTTTCCTAAAGGCCAGTCTGGTTTTATCCCTGAGAGCAAAGTCATAATTAAATAACAGTAGGGAGGGCTGATATTTTCAAGACATTTAGTCACCTTAGACCAAAGGGTGGAAACTGAAGGGCATTCCCAGAAAACATGGAGGTATGTACCAACAACATCAAGATTACATTTAGTGCAGTTTGGATTGTCTATAAGCTTCATTTTGAAGCGCCTATATGGTGTTGCATAATATTTATGTACAGATTTAAAGTGAATGAGTTGATGTGCTGGATTTTTTGATGAAAGAAATATATTGATCTAAATAATGTCCCAGTGAAGGTCCCGGTTCCAGGATGTGGTCACCCCCAGAGTTTTGGCACTTTTGGAGATGAAATTGTTATGTATGGTAGACATTAGTCCCGTAGACTTTTTCTGGGGGTTAATCCAAGTGTCCAGTGGATGAGAGGATAAAGGTAAATCCCATGGAACTCCATGGGTACGAATCGCTGTTCTCAATTGTAAATACAAGAACTAAGAAAACCCAGGGAGGGAATATCGGTCCTTAAGCTGTTGAAATGAATGCAGGCCATCTCTGCTGGACAAATCTTTGAGTCTATGGACTCCTAAAACGGCCCAGCTTTTATTGTAGAATGAGCCCGTGGTTTTATTTTGATAGGGTGATGAATATTCACAAGCCAGCTGAAGCACTCATTTGCCCTGTAAAGGCTGAACTGTTTGTCGCCGCAAACACTCAGAGACAAAGTATACGATAAAACCACTGCAGAGTTTTATGCCAGAAGCTGTATTTATTTTCATCTGGACTGCAAATAGTGATTTTTCTTAAATTACTGTTAAATGCTGTACCGATTGCCTTCTTGAACTAGCCATCCTTTTTCAACCCGTAAATTCCTGAAAAGAAGTGGAAAATGCCAGTCACAAATGCCCAAAAGACAAGTTTAAATCTTAAAATCTGCTGTAATTTTTCCATTCATCAGTCCAAAATAGACATATTTCAATTTACAGTCAAATAAAACAGATGAAATAATCACACTTTCACAATCCAACAGCTGGAGCAACTTGATGTTAGTCTTTTTTTACTAGAAACACATGAAATAAACCATTAAATAAAAAATAAAAAATAAAAATATATAGCTCCGGTAGTACATATAATAAGTAATAAGTACATATTTTTTAAATATCAATCCAAGTTGACACTCCCAGTTCTAGCAACGAAACAGAGTAAACTGGCTGTTTTTATGTGTTGTTAGTGTATTGTTTAACTTAAACTAAAAATGTTAAAAAAAACCCCAAAAAAAAACGTTAAAGGTGATGAATGTAACAGGCTTCAAAGGTTTTCTGAACCCTGTCCAACAAGGTTTTCTTTTACTTCTGAAGAATTTTGACTTTTTTCTCAAAATTCAGAGATTAAATTCAGAATTCTAAAAAATGTTACATTTATTTTTTTCGGTGGCCCTAATCCTCTTCCGTATTATAACCACTGGATAGGCTATAGGAAAAATAACATTTTGTTATACTGATTTATGATTTTCTTATCTTTTAGTCGGCACTTTCTGTCACCCAGCGTTACTCAGCAGCAGCAGCAGCAGCAGTCAACACACGGGTTGTCGTGCTGTACGTGATGACGACACCAGAAGGCCCTAGCGTCGTTTGTAACGTAACATGCCATTGAGAAGAAGAGGGAAAGATGGCGTCCTCTAACAATCCTCGCAAATTTAGCGAAAAAATCGCTCTGCACAACCAGAAACAGGCGGAAGAAACCGCTGCGTTTGAAGAAGTGATGAAAGACTTGAACATCACCAGAGCTGCACGGGTAAGACCTGCACAAGCCAGTCTGTTTACATTTTGGTTGCATCGCTTTTTTTTTTTTTTTTTTGGCATGTAATGAACGCTGCGGAGATAAATCTGAACATTTGGATGCTAGGTTGCTAAAGTTAATATAAGATGCATCAATTTTACTCAGCAAATGTATGTTTTCATTCTGCCTGCCAACATCATGCCACCGTCACTCGGATATAAACAAGTTAACATGCTGGTCTGCAGCGATAACTAGGTTAGCAGGCTGCTGGTGAATAATGTGCACCTGTGCTGTCTGTGGATTGAGCTGCTGTCATTTCATTAACAAACAAACAAACAAACAACATGTAAATATTACATCTGAGACATGCTAGATAGTCAACCTCTGGAAACCAAATTGGCTTATTATTTCTGAAAGGGCTTTAGTTAGTATTTGTTATCCAGCTGGATGTTAACCAGCCTTCCCAGATGTGATGCTTTTACCTATTTACCATCCTGTTACCTTCATGTTACCTCTTCTACGTTTTGCATAACAGCTGACTGATTATTGTCACAATGTAACACAAGACCTGTGGAAACTGAAAACAAATACCCCTGCTTTACCTCGATTTTAAAACATCAAACAATTTAATTTTAGTTAATGTAAAATTAACTTCATGATTATTGACTAAATGTTATTGTTTAGTTATCCCCTCTATTGCTGTCGATCAATCTTTCCAACTAGTCAGAGACATTTTCTGATTTGTACATTTATAACTAATATAAATAAAAACAATGCAAACATCTTTTTTTTTTTTTTTTTAGAATTTATTCCAAATGATTCACCTAATTGTAAAATTATGACTGAATATGCATTCCTAAGAGCATTTTGTAAGCATTTCCTGGCAATGTTTTAACTCTGTAACACTAGTTGTGATGATTATGTTATAATATAGAAATAATACAGCGTGTCTGCAGACTTTGGTTTCTCTATAAATGATCAGAAATAAGTTATTAATAGCATTTTCTTATATCAAAAAGGTGAGTGTTTGAAATGTCTTCCAACAATAAAACATTCAGTTTATAATGTTGTAATCAACAGAGTAAAGGAGCGCATTTTAACATTTTACACATTGTATGGATATTTAACTTTAAAAAAACTGACTTTATGAGTCAATTATTTAAATAGTTCCCAAAGAATATTCTGATGATTAATTACCCATTGATTGCCAAATGCTCCTTTCTCTACTGACCACAAATTAAGGTCAGTGTTTTGCTGGGAAACATCTTATTATTAGCCCTAGTGCTCGAAATGATACCCACGTATACTTACCACAGGCCTGGCACTGTAAACCTGACTTTTACTGTCACATATTGCAAAAAAAAAAAAAAACTCACTCTGTCAGTCGTACTTGTCAGATATCTTTGTGGTGTCATCCAAATGTCAACCCAATGCATTTGTTCAGATCATGCTCAGGCTTACTGCAGCTCATTGTTAGTTAAAAGAAAAAGAATGAATGCTTTCATTACCGTGTTGTTGTTCAAACATACATAACTTCTGTGACTGATTTTGTCTCTTGTTTTAAATGGTAATACTGTGACTGCAGCAGTCGTGTGTCAGTCAGGTCTCATTTTTTTCTTTGTTTGGTATGAAGATGTTGTGTGCTTCAATCTGCCTGTCTCATCATGTTTCATCTGTTAATTAAAGGATTCATTACTCTTTCACTCCATCACTGTGGACCGGCAGGTTTCATTCTGTCATCGTCTTTTTTATTGATTCAGATCAATCATTCACTCATGCTTTCATCCAATTTTACTTTGCACAGTTGCAGTTACAGAAGACCCAGTATTTGCAACTAGGGCAGAATCGTGGACAGTACTATGGAGGCTCACTGCCCAATGTCAATCAGATTGGAAATGGCAACATTGACCTGCCTTTTCAGGTGAGCCCTTAGCCTCTCTCGGCTGGTTAAACAATGGTTTGTTCTCGACCTTACCTTTTTTATCTTTAAAAAAAAAAAATGCTAGAATATTATTAGACAAAACCGTTTTTTAGTCCTCTTTACTATTGGTGAAAGCTTGACTCAAAGCAGAGAATTGTAGTAAAAGACATTTTTACAAAATCTGCAGGCTTTGATGCCACTAGAGGTCAAAGGTTGTTTCATGGTTCAGGAGTGAAAGGAAGCTAGAATTGTGTATGACAAGGTTCAACCCTGCAGTGTAATTTGGTTCCTAAATTTAAAAAAATGTATCATTGCTTGTCATGGCTTTCCATCTTTAAAAACATTTGCCAACTCGAGCATCAGTATGGGTGGCCCATGGCTTGACTCATTTTGAGATGAACACATTTGCACCATTAGTTCAAAGACATGATCCTTAGACGTAGTTGTGTTGCGTGTTTAAGCTGTGTTGCTGGCCTCATTCACCTGATGTGTTCACTCCAGAACTCAGTGCTGGATACCAGTAGGACCACCAGGCACCACGGCCTGGTGGAGCGTGTTTACCGCGACCGGAACCGCATCACCTCTCCTCATCGCCGACCACTGTCGGTCGACAAACACGGACGCCAGATATCCTTTTGTTCTTGTTGGATGCGTGCCTAAATATTGGTTGGAAGACTTGACTGCTCGCTCTGTTTTTAATACAGATAATAATGTAGCATTTTTGTATGTTTGAAAAGTGAGACCACAGTTTTCATCTGGAGGCCAAACTAACACTTATAAAGAAACGAGTCTGTAATTGGAAACCTGTACACTAAATCCACCCTTAAACCAAAACAAGGCATTTCTTATATGGCTTTTAAAAATGAATGAAAAGTAATCATCAATTGAGAGACTTTATATTCAAACTGTGTAGATTTACTCGTGTTCTATAATCAAGGCTGAACACTCAGCGAACACTAGAAAGAGGAGACAACTCTTCTTTGTTCAACAGTACAATGCTTGGTATTGGTACTGTCCTCTTGACAAGATTGTTCTTGGTAATATGTGCCGCTATTAAATAACAATGAAGTGTCTTTTAACGTAATTGGATCCCAATAACACTCGTGTGTTTGTGTTTGTGGTCGTTTATTTTGCGTCAGGTCTATGACATAAAACCAGCCAACAGGCATGAAACTTTGGATAAGTTGAGATGTTCTTTTTCATCTCCTCTCCTGTTTTTTTTTTTACCTTAACTGAGTTCACATCGACAGCTGTCCTTATAGCTCAGTTTACCTCTCACCACCGCCAGACACAAGCTGGAGAAGGTAAGCCCCCTCCCCTTTGTCCTTTTGACAAGATGAGATGATCGTTATATTGAACCAAAGAGATCAACTACAAAAAAAACCAAAAAAAAAAACGAATTATAATGAGTCCTTACATCTGTGTTTCCAAACTCACTTAACACATTTGAGCATCTTTTTTCGTCCACAAGATTACAGAGAAAGGTCTGTGACAGATCCTTCAGTGGATGTGTATGCTGTAGAATTGGCTGTCTGCCTGTTTTGGGGAATTTGGCAGCAATTTTGCTGACTTCTCATCTTTCTCACACATTCAGGACAAACTCGGATTCTGCCTTACACCAGAGCGCCATGAATCCGAAGCCCCAGGAGGTGTTTGCAGGGGGATCGCAGGAGCTGCAGCCCAAACGAGGTAACGGAAGATCCAGTTACAAAGACACAGAGCCACTTTCATTTATTAATGCGCCATGTGCTAATGCAGGCGGCAAACCTTAAATGACATAAAAGGGTAGATGTCACGCCGAAAGAAGAGCTGGGCTGTTAATGAAATATTTATGAAGAGAATGGATACTGATCTCTTGCAAAGAACTGCTTCAGCATGCCAGTGCTCTACATCTCTGAATGGAAATGACTCCGGATGATCCAGAGTCAGGGATCAATAATTCACTGATTATCCATGGATTATGTCTTTTTATGTGTGACGCTCTGATACAATGAATCCCAGAGTGGCTGGCACCCACTCAGTCTGTCTGCTGGTCACCTTGCTATTTTTAGACTGCACAGCACTATATCCTGCCTGACTGGCTCGGATATTGATGACTCATTTCTTGCACTGATTTTGAATTGTTGTTTATTTTGTCATAGCAAGCAACTGTGTCTTGCTGTTTCACTAATTAGTACTGCTGCTAACAGTGCCTGGGACGGAGGACTCTGAGTCAAACACAGATGAGGATGGGCAGAAACAGCTGTGGGACGACAAGGAGGTACTGATGGGAAAAGGGAAGGGCTGCAATGTGTACAATTGTCCTTTTACATGTAAATAATTTGAAATGTGCAGCTAATGATTATGTTTTCTCATCAGGATGATTCATCAAAGCCCAACACATGTGATGTCCCGGGAATTAAGTGAGTGGTTTATATGTTTTCCTATACAGTGATATATCACTGGGATATATTATCCTGTCACTTACACAGCCATAAATAAGTCGTGCAGTGGGAGCGCTGACTGAGGACAACTGGTCCAGGTTCAGTTGAAATGTGCTCTGAAGGCACTTCTTCTGCGTTGAACATTTCCGCTATATGTCGGGAAAGGCCGATGCCTGAATGCAGCAGGGTAATGTTGAGGAGAATAGTCAGAGCGGGTGTCCAGGAAGATGACGCTTTTATCCTGCGCCCACTGCACGACTGGTACGATCTGTGTGTAATAAAGCTGCTTCAGGACGCATTGATATAAAGGCAAAAACTGTCATCTTAGCGTACAACCATGTTGCTTCGTCCACTATCATAACCCCCCCCATTCTGACAGGGAATATAATTGTTGTGAGAGCCATGTGGGAAAGAAGAACTGAAAAATGTCAGGGGCAGACTGTCCTAAATGTTTCCAGAAATAGATTTGTTAATGATGTCATTGAATAATGAAATTGAGAAAAACTCTTTTCTGTGTCTTTTTTTAGTATATTCCCATCACCAGACCAGGAGTTGAACCCCTCCCTGCTGCCTGCTGCACACAACACCGGCGGTTCTCTGCCCGATCTGACCAACATACAGTTCCCTCCTCCGCTTTCCACCCCACTGGACCCTGACGACAACGTGGCCTTCCCCTCCCTCACCGCGTCCAACAGCACGGGAAGCTTGACCACTAACCTCACCCACCTGGGTATCAGCGCTGCCAGCCATGGTAATAACTTCTATCTCAAAACAGTCAGACTTTTAAGTTCATGTGCAGTAAATGTGGAAGATTTTGTGAATTACATCAAATTTGCAGCACAAAAGAAAACTCTTTTGCAACGTCCTCTTAACTTGGAGTGAAAATAGATTTTGGTTTGAGGCAACATATGTAAAAGGGAACTTGGTCAGCAGACAGAATACAAAGAAACCTTTCACATATGCTTTTATGTTTCTCTTCCTCAGGGATCACCAACTCCTCTCAGCCCACCATGACTGTAACAGCACAGCGCCGCCAACCACCCGTGGTGCCACTGACCCTCACCTCTGACCTCCATCTCCAACAGTCTCCACAGCAGCTTTCACCCACCCTCTCCTCGCCCATAAATATCACACAGGTAAGACTGCTCTGTTTGAGACTCTCTGGTTGATCGCCATCTTGAAAGACAACTTGACATTTTGGGTGTCAATATTCTATCATAGCCCACCATCAGCTGTCGTCTTCCTTGTGTATTTCACACCGCTGTCACGCACCACTCGTATTATAGGTGGCCTACTAATCGAGAATCATGTCTGATTTTAAAAAGTTGAAAATGGCACTGGTGTACCGGCCAATCAGGGAGATTCCTCTCACGACGCTGATTCAACATGTCGAATCGGCCCAAAAAAAGGCAGACGACGGAGCCGGGCTAACCGCAACCACTAGGGTGACAGCCGCTCACCGACAGTCCAACTAAGACCGCCGGCCGACGATCAGCTTGGTGTGTCAGAGAAAAAAGATGAACAACATAATAGTGAGCTGTGGAGTCACACTTTTGTCGGCACAACATGAAGCAGAGGAATGATTTAAGTGCACCAGCTGACCACCCTTAAAAGCTTCAAATCATGTAGTGCTGATTTCTCATTTTGTCATCTTTCCCCGTCAGCAATGTGAACTCTCTCTCTTTGACCTTTTTTAAACTTTTGGTTTTGGACTTAAATTGTCAGATTTGGGGACTTTCGGCACATTTAAATCCCACTACTCTATCACAGCCCAATTCTAAACAGTTCATGAAATATAGAAAAGGAGACGCAGGTCCTCGTGTGTGTTTTCGCACACTCTTTGCCACCCAGTAAACAGCTTTTTTGTCTTTTTTTAATAATGCCTATTCTCGACTTATCAGTATTAGACCATATTTTTCAACTTGTAATGATTTATTTAGACAGATGACTATAAGGTTAATAAAGACATGCCACATTGACTCTTTTATAACAAACATACATTTTTATTTCATTTGACAAAGATAGTTATTTTCAAACCTTTTTCTGTTGGGGTTTTATAAATAAAAAAACTTCTAAAATTAAGTTTATTCTTGACAGAGATGTTTCTCTTCTCATTTTTTTCCCTGTGGGTCCCAGAGGGGCTCAGCTTTTCTTAGCTACAAGCACGGTGAGCTTCAAGTAAAGTGTATGTGTGTGTCGAGATTGACACCTAACATATGAATAATTTAAAGTCAACGCTCCTGTGAGGAAGTTTCACTATGTATCAGTCAATGTGGACACAGCCATGCATCTTTCCTCTTTTCTCATCGTGTCCTGTACATGAGCACAGAGACATTTTCTGATCTGTACATTTATAACCAATATACATAAAAAAATGCAAACATCTTTTTTTTAGAATTTATTCCAAATGATTCACCTAATTGTAAAATTATGACTGAATATGCATTTCAAAGAGCATTTTGTAAGCATTTCCTGGCAATGTTTTAACTCTGTAACACTAGTTGTGATGATTATGTTATAATATAGAAATAATACAGCGTGTCTGCAGACTTTGGTTTATCTATAAATGATCAGAAATAAGTTATTAATAGCATTTTCCTATATCAAAAAGGTTAGTGTTTGAAATGTCTTCCAACAATAAAACATTCAGAGCACAAAAATCTCTTTCACCCCACTTTCGTTTAACAACCAAACCCACCACCAATCAAAACAAAGGCTGTTTCTGCAGCGTGCTAACAATCACTGTTATTCTGAATGGTCTTGTATGCTTTTGTAGGCCATAAAGAAGCATCAGTATTAGTTTCATAACCAGTTAAAAACTTCTCACTGGAGCTGTGAAGTGGATTATCCTCAGAGTTATCTGAGGATAACCAGAGATGGCCTTCAGGTTTTCTGTCAACCAAAAAAAACAGAATGCTCTCTTTACTCTGTTCTGTAAAAAGTTTGGCTTTATCACTGTAATCCCTGTCCAAGTGACTGGAGAACGTAGTCAACACGTGCCTATTTTCATCACAGTTTGTCTCAACAATATCAGGTGTGGTTTTAACAGTTACATTCAAATAGCTGTCAAGTCAATTCAGAATATACGGCCGCAGTTCAAAACACTAACCTGAGAGTTCATCCATGTCTTCTTGCAGGCTTTGCCAACAGAGCTGCTGACCCTGGAGCAGCAGCTTTCCCAGTACCCCCTGTTCAACCAGCTGACGGCTCAGGCCCAGGCCCAGCTGCTTAGTGACCTCCAGAAGCAGCAGCAGGTTCTGTCGCAGGGCATCCAGCTCATCACTTTGCCAACTTTGGCCTCCCCTGGAACAGCCAGCAGCCCCTCCTCGGACAGCCAGAGCCAGACCACCGCCAGCATCAGCATCAGCTCGGTAAGAAATCCAGGAAGTCTTGTGAGATTTGATGAAATGACTGGGAACCTTTTGTTTCTTATTTAGCCTTAAACAGTTCTACCATTACCCAAAGTATCTAGATCTTTACACTACTTTGCTTTGACACTGATTGGTTCTTTCAGAAGTGAGCTTATTACAAGAAGCATATCTGCACTCTTCCCTGAGCATATCTTTAACACAAAAATATGACTTGTTAGGTTGATATTTTCTGCTGTGGGAGATGCTAGCATGTCCTTATACACTTAGCATATTAGCATTTAGTTTCAAAATGTGTCAGTTTTTGTTTCGTTAAAATGTTTTCCAATGTAATTGAGTGTTGAACAAAATACACATTCTGCCATTCTCTTGCAACATTCATGTGCTCTTCAGATGGTCCCAGTTTTTGAGTTGGGTTTTTTTCCGACTTCAGTGTGTTCACGCGCTTTTCAATTTGAAAAGTAGGAATGTTGTAACAACACCAGCAACATGACTGCTGCGAAGAAGATGTGAGGAAAGTGACTGTTGAGAGAGTTTAACCTCAGTGTTCATCGCTGTTTGCAGTATTTTAGTGACAGCGAGGAGCCAAGGAAACAAAACATCTTTTGCACGCCATGTTAATGACAAATATGACGTCAAGTCAGAATGTCGGTCACCAAATTCTGTCCCGAGTTGACCTGCTGTTGTTCCGACTTGCAGGAACAACAGCAATGCAGGCATTCACGAGCATCACATGAATGCAGCATCAACCACTTAAGCTTTACTTTTTGACCACAGTACGACCATGACTGATTGTCTGCACCATTCAATGCAATATAAGACTTTTTTCAGCAAATATTACTGTCGTGCTTGAACATTTCCAGGATCCAAACCACAAATGACTATACTTTTGTAGCTGACTGAATACTTCCCACACTACTATATAGCCTCCGGATAATATCTAGATATTTAAAGGATTCTCCCGACCTAGCCGTTCACATATACTCCTCACAGCGGGGGACTTTCCCTGTCGGGGGGGGGGGGGGGGGGGGTGGGATTTCCTGAGGTAAGACGTGATGTAAATAAACAACGCAGAAGTAGCAGCCATAGCAACAGAGTCCGCTACACGACGTTATAATGAGAATATTTGCCTTTATATCAATGCTATGTGTAATCCAATGGGATGACAACATCCACAAAAGAGTGGAGAACAACATACTGACGAACAGAAAACATCATGCAGCCGTTTAATTACGTGCACGGAGATCGTAGTGGTCGTGTGCAGACACTTTAGCCGGTCACTGTATATAAACGTCATTCTCTTCCTATTGGCTCAAATTGAAAATCTCCAGAGTATATGCGGCCGCGTTCAGACATCAGCTCCTCTGGATTATCTGATGAAAAAATATTCAGGGTCTGGCAGGATTAACTCCGGATAATATCAGAGTAAAAAATTTGGCTGTGGCGTTCACACATACGGCTCCTCCTGGAAATCTTTGGAGTTTTTCAGGAGATTTCCGTATGTGTGAAAAGGGTTTATGATTGTAGTCAATCATACGATGCAAGGCACATGCACTCTTACATCCCGCCCTCTGAGATTTGTGTGTGACAGGCATGAAGCCCAGTGCTAGCTAACCCTCTTCCCTCCAACAGTACCGCAATCAGACTGGCTCACCAGCCACTCAGTCTCCAACCTCCCCAGTCTCCAATCAAGGCTTCTCCCCTGGCGGCTCGCCTCAAGTAAGGGCCCACCCACCAAGCTATCTGCTGTTTGGGGGAGGGCTTTGCGCCTGGGGGAAAGCTTATTGTAGATGAGTTAGGCTGCTTTTCATTCTCTGTATCAGCAGTTAATCACTCATGTTGTCAGCAGCTGCATTCTTCATGTCTTCATCTCTACTGTTCACTGTGTGCATGACAACATAGCCAGGTTTGTTGATGGACTCGTCAAATGTTAGTCTTGTAGTCAGCCAAAGTCTTCCCACTAACTAAAGAGTAGATCAATTGACAAAAAATTAAGGTTTAGGATTTTTCCTTTCGAGAACTTTGAGAATACAAATTATGGAGCACAGCAGCCCAAAAAATATGTTGTGGTTATTTGCCAATTCACTTGCCATATTTAAGAGTAATCCCCCCCCCAGGGTTATTCTGGGTTTTCATCAGAGATCTACTCCAGTCAGGAGGCACATTCTGCCTCTGTTTACTCTGCAGCCAAATACTCACACACCCGACATATAACTCTCTCCAGTGATATGTCGTAAGGGCTTTATCCTATCCTCAGGAAAACATTTGGAAGCAGAAAACAAAGTCAGTATTTTAACAATAATAATAATCATAATAATACACTTTATGTTTGTTGTGTTTCTCAATGTCCAAGGTTGCTTCATGGCACAAGTCCAAATGCAAAAAGATAAATTTGTCAATGTTCAAAATGTAATAGATTCAGAATCAAATGAACATTAAAATGTGAAGTTTATTGTCAAACAAACAAAAGTTATGCTTAGAGTCGGTGTAGATCCTTGAGGTCTAACAAATACGTCGAATGCTTTGCCTCGTCCACAGAAATTTAGAAAAGCAAATTTCCCTTAAAGTGTAAATCATATTTTTCGGCTTGCAGTCTTCTTCTTCTGTCTTCTTCTCCTTCTTCTTCTCTGCCTCTAGTGTTTGATCGCATGCTGCAGAGCAGAAGAATTGTGGGGAAATAAAAAAAGCACAACACCATTACAAAAACTTTATAGCTCTACTAGATGTCAAATTAGGGCTTGACGATATTGGATTTTTAGCTCTGATATTTGGAGAGAAAAAATCAGATTCCATTATATCGGCCGATATCTTCATTAGATCTATATTCGATCTTTAGAGATAGATAGATATAGACATACACATTTATTGGGTTCATCCCTCATATCGGCTGATATTATCGGCTGGCCGATAAATCGGTCGGGTTCTCGTCAAATTTCCCCAGTAAACCTTTAAAGAGAGATATAGTTAATCTATTGTTTGAGGTAAGAGAGGGGGATCTGAATGGGAGATAATGGAGTTTTCAAGATACAGAACAAATTTAAATCAAACTGATCTTTGGCCTTTCATGCTGTGATAACTTCACCTCATGTTATTCAGACTCCAACACTAAAAAATGCCAGTCACATAGTGTTTGTGCTTTTCTCATAGCAAGAAAATGTTCTGGGGGAATTACTGTATCTGTCAACCTGGACAGCGTAGTATTTTTGATTGCCTATGAAATGAGATTTTACTCACTACCTCTGTGGAAGAATGTGGATACACCGCCCTATAAGGTTCAGAATCAGGCTTCATTTGGATCATGTTTGATAACATTTAGCTGCTAGTAGCTCACACTAAAGCATGATGTGATTTAAATATAATTATGACCAGTAGTCAGAATATTCAGAATAACAGAGTCTGGGTTGAGAAATGCCAGAATTCCCCTTTGAACAACTTGAAGTTGTGTTTGTATCACAGTGAACGGGGCTGCTGCGGTCAACAAAACAATGCACTGTTGTGTCTTTTCCACAGGGATGAAAAACGACCACATCACGTTCATACTTCCACTGCCAATCTCAGTTATTTTTAATGAGATTTTTTTAACGTCATTATAGAAGATTAGGTACATGTACATGATACATTGAATGATGAACAAATAATCCCTTCTTTTCTTTTCCTAGTTTTTAAACAGCTTCCTTTTTTCTGTCACTGAACCGTCACAGCCCTAGTCATGAACATCATTTGCTTTGGCCACTGCTTAGCTCAACACGTCTGTGTTTTTTTTTTTGCTTGAGTTATCTGTTGTTCCATCGCTGAAATATCTAACTTGCCTTCTTGCAATTATTATATAACTTCTTCATATCCCTTGTGTGTGAGCTCTGTTGTGTTCTTCTCTTCCTCCAGCACATTCCTGTGGTAGGCAGCATATTCGGCGACTCCTTCTACGATCAGCAGTTGGCATTGAGGCAGACCAACGCCCTCTCCCACCAGGTGACACAACACGCACAGACATGAAGAAGAAGTGTCAAAAAAAAAGGTAGCCTTCACGTAGTTCCTGCATTAATGTCGGGTTACAATTCTGTCCCTTTTCAGCTGGAACAGTTCAACATGATCGAGAACCCCATCAGCTCCAACAGCCTTTACAACCAATGCTCCACCCTCAACTACACACAGGCGGCCATGATGGGCCTCACCGGGAGCAGCCTGCAGGACGCGCAGCAACTCGGCTACAGCAGCCACGGCAACATCCCCAACATCATCCTCACAGGTAGCTACACCACAAGTCCATCCTACCTCATATCATCTTTTTATACTAGTGCTGTGTTTGACAAAACCGTACTCCATGCAGTGTGTCTGCGTCTCAGTGGGTTCAGGGTTTATGCTTCTGGCCAGTATCACATGCAGTTTTCCTGCAGATAGCGATATCAACGTCCAAAATGTCCGGCGGGGAAATGTGCCAAATGAAAGGCTATATTATGAAAAGGCATATTAAAAGATCGTGTTTCCCACACATTGACTTTACTTGCCGACCATTTTTGCATTTATTCCTTTTTTTTATATGTATAACAATTTGTGTTTCCTAAAAGCTGTTTTGCAGAGAGCTTCACACGTCTGGCAGAGCGGTGCTGTACACTGTTTTTATTTGTGTGTGTTTTATTGAAGATTTTGAAGATATATATGGCAGTCCATATATGGTCAAATGTTACCAGCGATATTAGCTGTAAAAAAAAAGTCTAGCGTGAACTCTGATTGGATTACTTTGTTCAGTATATTTGGCTTTAGCTGCATCGTACACCTTGTTGGAAAAAAACATTTCCATAGTGAGTAATAGTGAGCTTCAGCAGTTTTTCAGGTTAAATATAGTCTCTTTCAATCAGAAGAAAAACAAAAATCACATTTATAGACTATAAGCTTATTTTATAATGAAATCAGTGCAGTACTGGAAGCAGAATTAAACCAATGCTTGTAGGAATTTCAGAGTTTCAACATTGTACTCGTGCTTAAAATAGATATATCCAGTGGGGTCAAAAAGCTGGATCAGGGTGTAAAATGAATGGTATTTTTTGTGCTTATCTCTAAAGATAATAATTCTTTCAATCTAGTTGAACCTGTGTGAAAATGTCCACATGACCCTTGCTGTTCCTCCCCTTGTTTCTCACATGTCTCTCTTTCGATCGTTTCTCTGATGTGTCGTCTCAGTCACAGGCGAGTCCCCGCCGAGCCTCTCCAAAGAGCTCACCAACTCCCTGGCGGGTGTGGGCGATGTCAGCTTTGACGCAGACTCTCAGTTTCCTCTGGACGAGCTCAAGATCGACCCGCTCACCCTAGACGGACTGCACATGCTCAACGACCCTGACATGGTGCTCGCCGACCCCGCCACTGAGGACACGTTCAGGATGGACAGACTGTAACGTGAGAAGCTGAGAACAGGAAGGGGAAGAAGAAAAAAAAAAAACACACTAACTTGTGAATGGAGAAAAACAAAGGGCAGGATGAACCCTCTCCCTTGTTGCATGGCCGTCCAGCTGCCCGACCTCGCCCTCAAGTCCGTAAAGCCCAAAAGACAACAGGGAAAAAGACATCCAGTGGCTTGCAGGGGAATGGCCTCGCTATCGTTTTGAATGAGATTGGTCGCTCAGCGCTTTCGCTAGCCTGCTGTGTTTACAGTGTACCATTACATGCCACATTTATTCCAAAAAAATACGCACATTTGACTTCTTTTTTTTTTTCTCTCTTCATATCCACTTGTTTTGTTGATATTTACTTGTAGCAGGAAGCTGCTAGGACATTGGGCTAAACCGTACCTGTTCTTACGGCTGTGTTGAAAACAGAAAAGAAGATAACAGCCGGTTTGCTTGTACCTTGCAATCAAATGAATCGGTTTTCCATCATGCCGTAACGGCTTTCTATTTCTCACTCAAAGCTTTATTTTTGACAACCAAATGTTATTTTCGTCATGTACTGTATGTTTTGATGCTTTCTGTATTTATATGTTTTATTTATTTATTTGGTTACAGATATTTTATATTCCATTTCATAATTTAAATTTAATGCCAAAATGCTCTCTCTAGGCATAGTGTAAGATTGCACTGATGTACTTTGTGTCTATTTATTAATTACGTACATATTTATATCTATGTGTTTGTTAAGCTACTTGGTTAATGAAGGAGTGCAAAACCTCCCCATAGTTGCTCTTAAGTGTTCAATGTGCCATTCTCTGATGTAGGGCGAAGCGTAAGTTGCCATGCTGCAGCCCGACAGTCCAATCAAAATTTCGCACAGCTCCAGAAAACACTGCATGCTCCAGAAATGGGTTGGTTTTTATGCCACTTGAATTAACTTTTTCTGAGAAAATCATCAGGTATTTCTATTGAACTAGAAAGCAAGACAAATTGGTCCCAATTAATTTTTCTGCTGGCCAAAAAAAAGCATATATCTATCCAGACTGAACATCCTTTCAGTGAAGGAATCGGCCAGTTTTGAAACACTAAAATCTGAAATCTTTTGGAAGTCGTCACTGTGAAATCACCTGATTTTGCCTTACATGAGTATTCTACTGTTCTACTTTAAGTGTCTCGCGTGACAAACGTATTTTCGTAACTTATTGTAACATTTTCCTGTCTTTCAGAGGAACTTTAACTTTTGGTCAGTGATATTTGTGGTTCTGTTGTGTAAGGTTTGACAAATCAATGTACTGTATTTTGTATCGGTACAGTTTATAGCCAAATCGTCAATGTTTTTTAAAAGTGGAGCTTAAAAGGAAAAAAAAAAAAAAATCAAAGGATGGGTTTCAAGTTTTTGAGAAGGAGTGCAATTATGGGGAGGCTTTTTGCTCCGTGACAGGGAAGCTCTAACAAAAAAGCTAAAGACCAGTGGCACACAGGTCGACAACAAAATAACTATTCACAGTATAAAGAACTAATGTTGGATATTTAACAGTACAGAAGCCTTAAGATGGTTGTTATCATAAAAGAATATAGGGATATATGAAGTATATTTGGTACACTGGAGAAGGTACATAAAGAGTATTTCTAGAATTAGTATTGTATGCACACAGCACAGAGATCTACCCTGGTCCGTTCAGTGTAATAAACAAAACCGTCACAAATACAATCAGGGATGTAGAAGAGTCTAAAACTGTTTACGCAACCTTTTTAACTGTAAATGTTTACACAGGGTTCATCTGACAATGTACATATTGATATCAGCTCTCGATACATCCATGAGCCATCTCTTTTTAACCAACACGTGTCAAACAAACGGTGTCAAACTTCAGATTGGATTCTGCAATGGCCTTTTGTCAGAGTTTCCCTGAGAGGTGTGTGTCGCTCTGTGGGGTCATGTTTGGTATATTGTAATGTTCATGTACAGACACGCTAATCATTTATTCACCGAAACGCTCTGTTGGAAAGATCCCACCCCCCCCTCGCCCCCAACCACTCAACCCCCTCCCCACCTGTAAAGGAATCACGTTTGATTTTACTGCATACCTCTACAGTTAGTACGTTGAAGTGATGATTGTCTGCTGTACTGGGCCATCAAAGGTTTTCGCTCGGCTTTTTTTTTTTGTTGTGATTCCTATGCAAATTAGACAAAAAAAAAGCGACCCCTTAAAGGGAAAATCCACCTGTGATGCTTTCAAGAAGTAAAGCTGGATTTCCTCTTCTCAAATGGGAGATAGTGGAGTTTTGAGTACGGTTATTTGGACTACAATATTCTCCTTTTGATTACCCTAGCTACATGTATATTTCTTTATTTTAACGAAGCTTCTCACAGAAAACAAAAGTAGTATTGTTGCTCTGCATTGCAAACCCCCTCTGCAGAGATGGATATGTTTGAGATGAAGCTCTGACTATTGTAAGCTCGTCTAGTGGATACAATGAGTGCAGGACGTTGAGTGTTGCAGTGGTGCTATGACAATCAAAATATGTGAAGTCGAACTCTAAACTTCCAATTCCTGTCCAGAAACATAGATCCAGCTTGTCTTTTACTTTACTCTTAGCCTCCAGCTTCACATGTTTCTTTCTACCTAACTTTTGCCTTAAAAGAAACTCCCTCTTTCTAATCCCGAAGGACCTGATGCTAAACCTGACCTAGATGTTTTAAGATCAGTTTATCACTCTAGATTAGCTGCTGGAAATTTGTGGACTATAGTTGGCTGGAAGAAGAAAAACACTCCAAATTGGGCATAGAAATGCATCTTAACTTGGATTTTTCCTTTAAGTCGCTGAAACAAATGTAAAGAACTCATTCTCTGCATTTCATGTTTCCAGAGGTTTGATTCATAAACAAATGAAGCATTGTGTTTAAGCCAAACGTCACTCCTTTATTTCCAGGTACCAGGTATGTTTATGATTTTTGATCTTTCCTCTCACTCCCCCTCCTGTCATCCCACTGATTACTATAGTCCCTCACACTGACCTTGTACATACGCTATAGCTAAAACTAAAATGCATGACTAAAGATGACAGTTAAAACCTCTAAACGAAGGCCTTCTATAGCTGCGCAGGTTTGATTTGTGTCACATAACGCTATCACAAAGTCTGAAGGGATGCATGTATTAGTTTCTCCTTTGCAACAGTTAACTCAAGTCTCCTATTCAGTAACTCTGTTACCGCCATCTCAGCATAATGCTACTCCACGAATGATAAGAGAATGTATTTTCTGTGGCAGTGTCCTGGATTCTTGCCTGCTGCCAGAATGACCTGATGTTTTCAGAGCTCTTGGTCCCGCCACAGTCGGATCAGACTCTTGTCTCTCTGCTTTTCAGTTTGTCCCCTTTTCTCCTCCCAGGATTCAGACTGTTCCACTCGCTCTGTCTCTCTCTCTCTCTCTCTCTCTCTCTCTCTTTCTCTCTCTCTACTGTAGCATCTCACAGCGTATGAGTGTAAACGGTTGGTTTTGGTACATAAAGAAACACACTGTTAAACCCAGCCCCCTCCTCTCTGTCAGCACGACCGCTTGGCTTTCTGAGGAAAATGAAAGCAGGTTTTGGCTTGCGAGGATTATGGATGGAAACGTGCACTGAGTGTTTGCATATATGGACTTGAAACTTGTGAAGCTTCGGCGTTACGCAGTCGACTGCATGACATGATAGACACATTGAGCTGACTCTTATCCCATGCTATGTACAGGAGTTTGACCTGGCTTTGTTCAAGTGACAACTGGTGTGATCGTCTTATGTTGTTGTTGCCTATCATGTCAGGTGTTGGGCTGGGTAAAGTGTAACTCTGCATTTATGTTGTTTTTTTGTTTTGGTTTTTTTTTAACTTTAACTTTTGTGCAATGTTTAGTCCACTAGTTGCTTCGCACTTTATTTGTGACTTCCTGGCTCTTGAGCAGGGACTGTTCTGCCCAATGTGAATGCTGACTGTTTGACTCCAGATGTATACTCGGGAGATATTTTCATGTCAAAGAAAAAGATGAATTCTCTATTTTCCTTTGTAAACTATATTTTGGCTTGTCTTGTTTTTTTTTTTTTTTTTTATCTGTGAAGATTTTAGGGGATGCAAAACCAGAAAGGGCTTACTCTAGTGCAGCTTGCGCTCTAGTGTTGAAAAGGAACGGCACTTCGAATGTAATTCTTAGTTTGAGTACTTACCCTCTTCACGAAAACTGCCTAAAATCTGAGCGAGTCACAGTTCTTACACTGATACTGGTTTAGCCTTAGGAGTTATCAGTTACACTCGTGAAGCAGTCTGCATCTTGACTACAAATACTGTAACTACAACGAGGACTGAATGGTGCACACTATGCTCCATCTACCATAGAGACTGGCAGCTGAAAGCTTCTACTTTAAGGCAAAACAGAACAAACTTAAGTGGTACATGAAGCACTGTATACTGAAGAAGAATTATTAGTGTAATGACATATGTGCAGAGGGATGAAGTGCTTTTTTAAGTGGTCGCAGGTTTGTGAACATGGTGATTTAGAAAATAGGTCAAGATTTGAATTTGAATTCAGGCAGCTAGAAAAGTATTACAGAAGAGGATAAAGGCTACGTGAAAGTAAAATCTGGGACTTTTTCAGTTTGATTCAAGGTTTAATTAGCAGAAGAGTTTCAGAAACTATTTAGAAAAAGCATCCAAATTCTGAGGTAAATCCCATGAATGGGTTTTTAGAAACATGTTAGGAAACTGAAAGAAATCCAATATCTGCGATTTAAAAACACTTTTCTGAGTTCATAAATTTAAACCCCAAATTCATTTTTATGTAGACTCTCATAAACAGCACGAGTTTGTCTCTTGTGAAATGTGTAAGCAGTAGAATATGCAAAGAATTAACTTCAGGAGAACTAACGAAAGCTGGAATTCAATTTCGCAAACAAATGAGACGAACGAATCGAAATGTATATTTTCGGCATTTTGTAGATTATTTATTTCTTGACTCCTCTGCTTGTTGTGGTCTGAGACAACATTTACGTGGATTACTTGTTCGCACATTGTTTACGCTGTGTTGAAAAGCAATGAAGCTAATTGTTGTTCCAAACTGAACGATCAGATGAGTGACGCTCACACAGCAGGCCGTCCTGTTTTTTAAAAGTTTTATCCTCTATCCCAGGCTGAAAGGAGTCACAGCTCGTCTTTACTGCTTGTTCCCTGAGTGTTTTAGGTCTGACTCAAATCTCCCTTTAATAACACGGGTTTTCTAAACAACTCTTCAGCTCTCTCTGGATAAAAAAAAAAAAACAGTGTAAGTTCCACTATAGTGAGAATAGCATTATATTACTGTTGTCCTGCAAGTCGTAGTAAAAGATCTGTAGCTATTTCTTTGTTGCCATGTGATTCTCCCAATGTGACCATTTTTTTTATAAGATGAAAGAAAATTGTCCATTAAATTGAATGTGGAAGACAGATTCTTTTCTGCACATGGTCTTGATTTGCAAAAATATGCTGGAAAAAAACCCAACAACGTCCGATGTCATTTTTCAACACCGCAGCTTGTTGCTGTGGACATGCATGGTGTTTTAATCCTGTTGTATATTGTCTTTGCTATTGTTTCTATTTTGTAATCTGTATTTCCAAATGCAAAGTTTCAAAGATTATTTTGGATATGTGCATGCTTGTGAAATGTTCAGGATGTTGATTTCCACTAAAAGCTGTTGAGTTTGAAAAAAGTCACGTCTATTACTTAAAATCTAACGTTTGGCCTTTGTTGCAGTGTAGCTATTAAATAACGGTTACTGAACGTAATTCATTTAGCACTTCTCCAGAAATGTAAAGGTGCATTAACATGATAAAAGTCGTTCCAGCTGTTGTTTGATTAGCATTTGACTAGTCCAGGAGATTATTGATGCCTCTGGCATTTTTCAAAGATTCCCCTCAAATTCACAATGTCATTCTTCACAAGGTCTTATTTTGTATCTATGTAAGAAAATAATCAGTATTTTAAACTATCACATTCAGTCTTATAGCCGAAATGTTCACATCACATTTAGCAGATTTAGAATAAATGGCAGAATTCACCAAAATTCACATATATTTATTAGTGAGCGTTACATCTTCACCACAGTATAAATTCTAATGTACATATACATGGGACAAATAATCTGTTACTTATTCACTTAATATCATGATTAGTATTATTATTTTTTTATCATAGACCTTCCTGTTCTGTCAGGAGATTAAAGCGTGTTATCCCCTTTTTGAGTAATTTCAAACACTAGTGATGGACTTTTTAGAACCATCGGCAGGTTGGTGACATTTCTGATCCCAGTGTGTGGATATCTTTCCCAGAATCCCCTAAGCTTGGTTGATGTCATCAGATAGCTATCTGGACCTGCCAGGCTCTGTAGGTGTCAAAGTCCTCAGGAATAGTGTCTGGAGAAGAAACCAAAAGAAGTGAGTCACTTTTTTTTTTTAGCTTAGCAAAACAAAAACAAACAGAGCAGGAAAAAAAATTATTTGCATTCATGTCTTCCTTCCATTCACTTTTTTCATTTATTGTTTGGCTAATTTCTGAAAGTAAAAACTAAGTTCAGACCCCTTAATGAATTATTTGATTTAAACAAAGGAGTAAGATGTACAGGCATGCTGGCCTCTTCCATGTTTTCTTTTCTATTTCGTATGTTTTCTTCATGTATTGCTATTTTTTAAGAGTTGGAGCTTGGGACAAACTCAAATTATGGTGTCCCAATCATTATTCATTTGTGCAAAATATCAAAAAATATCAGTGCTTACTTCATTTTTATTTTCTACTCAGAAGATAATCAAAGGGTTCTGAAATGTTGACAGATGTTGACAAAGTTTTTAAAAACATGATTGGGAGTGCAAACTTGTCCTACCATTACAGCGGTAACGCAGGTTGGCCCAGATGATGTTCTCCTGGGAGAAGCAGAAGACTCCTAGTCGACCTCCTCTCATTGTGGTGTCTATGATGACTCCAGTGTCCGCCACCATCTGTGGACCCTCGTAAAAACGAACTCTGCAAAATCAACAAGAGAGCAGGTGACAAAAGAAAATGATATGGATTTTTAACTTAATTTAGGTAGCAGTCTCAAGAAGTTTGTTTACGCTTTGGTACAGTTCTAATTGTTTGTGCTACGCTGGGCTAAACATCATGAGGAATAAATAAAGGAACTAAAATTTCAAAATCCTGCAAACAACAGTTGCAGAACTCCTTCAAGTTAAACCAGACAGTACCTGATGTATCCATCAGCGGGTCGGTGTTGGAGGAACCAGCGATAAGAAGTCTTGTCCTTCCAGCCAACATTGCGCGAGTCCTTCCAGAGGAGTTTGACCTGGTCACTCGTGTCTCCCGTGTGCCACAGAGCGTTCCTCAGGTTCTCACCTGGACCTGTGTTGGACTTGACGGCCTTTATAAACCACACACAAATAAGATTTAGTCTAATTATCTGGACTAACCTTCAATGTCCTTTAAACCAGTTAGCTTATCATGGCAACAGAAGCTAATATTAGCATTTAGCCACTTTTAAGCTAACATAACTGCTGATGGTGTTAAACGATACAATAGGAAAGAAAGTCATAAATCATAGTTAACAGTAATAACAAACCGTAATGTTAGCAATCAATCAACAGAACGTAATGGAGCTGTCCAGTAAGTTAAATATCACAGTTATCACTTGCTTTTATCAAACCATTACTATATGATTAATAAATCATTATGAAAGGCATTTATTACATCTTAAATTATTCCTTATCAAGAAGTTCAATTGACTCTTAAAACTGAACTGTAAACGATAAATTGAAAGAAAAGGCATGTTTGTGTTTAAAAGGTAAATCTAAATCTGAAGTTTGGGATTTGATGCATGACTTTTTTTTTTCCCCCACTGTGCTACATCTGTAGACTACCTTGAGCTGTATGCCCGGCTCTGCCACAGCTCTGAAAGGGTTTGCCTGCCAGTAGATCTGTTCCACCTGCTTCCACATGACCACGTAGAAACTGGAGCTGTCCTGGTACCCGAAGATAAATCCTGCGTAGTCGTCATCTGTTACCGTATTCACATGAAACGTCCCTTCAAAATCCACTCCGCTGAAAGCAGTGTAACCTGGTGGTAAACACAGGTGGCAGTGGGTCGCTCAAAGATGCCGCTTTTAGGTACAACGTTAAATTACTGGATACCTTGAACCTCATACAAGTCTGATATTTTCTGTGTTGTGGTTGATAGTAATTCTCATTCCACCCATCAAAATATGGAAACATCTCATGATGATCTTTATGACTTTATGACCAATGAATTTTCTTCTAAATAAGTGCAAACATTTAAATGAATCTCCTGTGATTAGCAACATTAGTTTAACCCTTCAGTGTATTCCAGTTTTCAGTTACAACTCTTAAGAGACCACCATTTTAAAAGACTGGGATACTTAAAGTACCTTTCCTTTAAATAGTCATTTTGCCACTTATTGTATTTCTTTACCTTAAGCTTTGCATGTACATGTATGTACAGTTAGCTTGTTATATGGCACTTTCCCCTGGTTTTTCCAAATAAAATTAATTAAAAATAAGTATCTCCCACTTATGGCCAGTCTCCCAAATGTAGAGACTATGTTTAAGAATAGCAGGTACATAATGTTCTCACCAACAGCTAGGCCAGGATCACTGTTCATGGTCTGCACAATCTCTCTTCCCTGCAAAAAGAAAGAGATCGGATTAAGGGAAAGTTAAATGGCCAAAAAAGATTTGCATTGTTTGCAATGACAAATAAAAATGTGAAGCTTAAACAGGAGCCAGCACTTAACCTGGTTCAGCACCACCCAGTTGGGGTCTATCTGTGCGTCTCCCTCTGGGTCTAAAACAACAGTCTGGTACTCCCTGAAGTCAGTGAGGGTGACCTCGGCGTTTTCGGGACAAACATCAATGGTGTCCACGATGGTGTCGTTGTCAAAATCTATCTCACATATATCACCCACACCATTGCCTGAGAGGATAAAAAGACAAACACTTTTTAAGAATTCTACATGTTTCGTTTTTTTTACAAAAGTACTTTAGAAAAATGTGTTTTTCTTTACAAAGCCAGCAAAAGACCCACCATCAGAGTCCTCCTGCAAGGGGTTGGGGATCAGACGGCAGTTATCAGGTCCAGGTGGCAGCAGGTCTGGAATGCCGTCATTATCGTCGTCATCGTCGCACTCGTCTCCCTTACCGTCCTTGTCTGTGTCCAGTTGGGAGCTGTTTATGACGGCTGGACAGTTGTCTCGAGAGTCCTGGTGACCGTCACCGTCACTGGAAGAGACACGCTTTTATTGCCACACGCTGACGTTGGATGCCAAAATGCTCATGGCTAGGAAATCTCACGTGATTGGATCACTCAGGTCACACCTTACCTGTCCTTGTTAGTGTCACAGGGGTCTCCAATCAAGTCGTTGTCCACGTCCGTCTGAGGAAAGATCGATAAAAGTCAGAATACAATTTAAAGTATGTCTGATACACCCTGGAGGACTCTTTTACAACACTGCAGTGAGGAAGAATGTTAATCCATTTTAAGTTACAGTTTTCAGCTAGTACAAATTCTTGAGGTAAGCTGCAGGATTTTGGTCGCAGAAACAGCTTAATTTATGTGTGAATTTGTTTCATTTGAGAGCAGATCAGGATGAGGATGGATTTCTGACCTGCTCAGGGTTTGGAACATACGGACAGCTGTCACAGGCGTCTCCCACTTTGTCTCCATCACGATCTATCTGGTCAGTGTTGGGCACCCTTTTGCAGTTATCCAGGTGATTGGGGATCCCTGAGATTAGAGTGATAAGTTCAAGTAGTCTTAATCATTCATGTTCTTGGTATAAGAGCTTTAAATTAACTGCATGAACAGCATGGGTAAAAGAATTATCTCAAACCACCTCCATGTTTTCAAACATTGGTATCCTTGTTGGTTCTTACAAACAAACAAAAGAGAGCTGCTGCTGTGAAGCATACTGAATCGCTATCACAACTCTTATTAAACATTCTGGGCAAACAGGTTCTGTAAAAATTGCTCTGGTTGGTCAGGACAGGCCCATCCAATTGCGTTGAGAGGCTTTTTTGTCATTTCTCTTTAAATAACCTTGATGAGAAGTTAAGAAGAAACTTAGACCTTCGATTTGAAGCTCATTTACATTTCTCAATAATTGTGGCTACACCAAGCTGAAATATTGGTAGAATGAATTAAAAATGGCAGCTCTTGATTTAATTTAATCCACTTTGAATTTGATAACTAATATCTATATTTTATAAAAAGAAAATCCAATACATACCATCACCATCAATGTCTTCATCACATTCATCACCAAATTTGTCCACATCGGTGTCCTTTTGGTCGTTGTTTTTGACGGCCCTGCAGTTGTCACAAGCATCGCCAAAGTCGTCCTCGTCAATGTTCCTTTGGTCCACATTAGGCACCAACACACAGTTATCCTGTAAAGAAGCTTTTTCAGTCTCTGAACGTGAAGTGGCATTTTAAAACAGACGTTCACTGGACCTTCATAGATTTGTGTCCCTTTACTGTTTTACAAACTCAACCTGTGTGTTGGGGATCCCATCCCCATCTGCATCCTCATCGCAGGCGTCTCCAATTCCATCTCCGTCAGCATCTTCTTGACCAGAGTTAGGCACTGTGAGACAATTATCCTGAAAAGGAGAAATCATTCATCAAAACAAGAACCAAAGTTAAAATATATATATATATATTTATATCTGACGCTTTTCAAACTCCAAACCACATCCTTTAAAAGACTGAAGTTCAACTCTGTTCCAACAAGGTGTCGTTGAAAATGACTTTAAAAAATCCTGCAATGGTAGTATTACTGACCAGTATGAAAACATACTGTACACGTCCTATGAAACCACTTCTACACAAGAGATGTGAATATTCTTTGCGGATGACAGTTCAGTGTCGTTTTTGAAGATTTAATTTAAGTTTTCGATGATAAAAGGAGACTCACCTTGTTGCAGTTTCTCTCGGGGCAGTCTAGTTTCTCATCAGGGACACCATCAATGTCAATGTCAAGCCCGCAGAGGTAGCCATTGCCTGCCCATCCAACTCCACACTGTGAGGATGGAAAGTGTTTTAATTGATCCCACACTGTTAACATTGGCCCTGTTGTGCAGTACAAACAGTATCTGATGATCCTAAGTGATCAGACAGACCATTGATTTCTCTATATCTGACACAAGCTGATGACTGAGATCACTGCATCAATGAACACAAATCTTAAATTAAGGCTGTGAAATGAATATTTAATCAATATAGACTTTTCCTATTGGTCCATGCTAATACACACAACAATAAACTAATACACAACATTTTAAATGAGTGAATAATGAAGATCTTTTCTCTCTTAAGTCATAAATAGTCTAAATTCTTCACTCTTTGTGGCTGCAAAAATTGTGATGTGTACTGTTTTTCACCAAGAAGTACAACATAAAGCAAGTTGAATGTATTCACCTGACACTCGATTGTACCCTCTCGATGGACGATGCACTCAGCGCTGGCATGACAGGGGTTGGGTTGGCCATTTCCACAAGCTCTCTCAGGCTTACAGCCACGCCTCTGATCCCCAACGTAGCCTGTCTTACATGGACCACACCTGAACGATCCCTGTGGCACACAGAGGGGGGAAAAAACATATATTTTGTAAGGACATGCATTACTCTATAGTCCTGCATTAGTATTATTGTAGTATAAAATTTCTGCCTCACCTAATTTTACTCCTGGATAACTTCAATTAAAATTATATCTGGTTTGCCATCTACCTTTAACCTGAATGCAAATAAATATAGACTCATAGTGTGACATGTTTAATTAAAGTTATTGTTTCATAATCATGCTCTCATTGTTGATCAAAATGATCAACAACTGGCGCCCCAAGCCGGTGGTGGTTCAGTGCCTTGCAACTGAAGTACCCTAGCACAAGGGGACTTCAACAGTACTCGGGGAGTAAGCTGGCGCCTCTGCAGCAACCAGCCCTAATACCATACTAGGTCTATACCTGGACTTGAATTGGCACTCCTCAGTTTCCCATCCCAAGTCCCTGCTTGCACCCCCAACATTGCAACATTCATCCAATACTGACATAATGAACACTGACGGTGTCTAATTATTATAATCTTAGCAGAAAATCTTCCTGAAATAAGACATGTAATGAATATTGCTGGAGTTTATACTCACAGGTGTGTTCATACAGACAGAGTTAGCCACACAGCCTCCATCGTTGGGGCCTTCACACTCATTGATATCTTTGCACACCTTGATTGGACAAAAAACACAGTTTGAGAAATCAGTAGATTATACACTATTCCAAACTGAGACTGTAACAAGAAGATGGACAAGAGTGGAGTGCAGTAGAGAGAACGCAGTGCGTGAGACGTTCATGACACAGACCAGTGCACGCGGTGTGACACATTGTATATATAAACCACAGAGAGCGTGAGGAGGTGCTGCTAATGAATGTATAAAGGAGGAAGTGAAAAAATGATTATGTTTAGCTGCAGGAGGAAGAATTTTCTCTCCCTCATTTTTAATATAAGATCAGCAATCTCAAGGTGGGTGAAGTAAAGTGTGGTGTATTTCATCATTTTGATGTCTTGATACATTTCTCTTCTCTTTTCAAACATTTTATTACATAGGTTGCGTAGCAGTGAGTGTAGGTGGTTATCAATAATAAATTAATCAATCTTAATATTCAGAAACAATCAGTTCATCTTTGATGGCAATAAGACAATTTAACATACAATATTGATATACTAATGTTGATTATTCAATGTGTGTATAATAACAACGGTATAGTAGTCTACCATTGCTACTATCATGTCAACTGAACTAAGACAAAATCCTAATGCTCACCTAAATCTAATAAATGAGCCCTTCATTTTGAATATTTGATTATACACACACACGTATTCCCCATGTCAAGCCTGAATAGACACTCAAATTGGTGAATCAACTTGTTTGTACGTGTGTATATTTATTGACCCTGACCTGTTTGTTGGCTTTGGCGTTGGCAAGCCCGACACCCTGGACCTGGGGGCCGGTGTATCCAGCAGGACAGGAACCACAACGGAAACCAGGGGAGGTGTTGATGCAGCGTACGCCCATGTGGCAAGGCATCACCATGCACTGTTGACAACAAAGATCCAGAAACACCAAACGGTAAGACTTTCTATCAAAATTTTAAATGTTATTCTTTGACATTATGATGAATCAAAAGAGACTGTATGAGCTTTAGGCCAACCTGTGGAAGTTCTTTAAATATTGCTTTAGTTATTCATTTCATTTGTTTTCTTTCTTTCTTTTTAAGCAGAACAGTGTAGAGAAATCCTTTAGTTTCATTTTTATGTAGTTTCTTTCTGCGTTTAGCTATCAACCTAAAATGATTGCAACATTTTCCAAACATGTTCCAAATCCTATAAGCAAACTATTTAACCCATACTGTCTGTGCCCTGACTTATTATATTTCCGTGTACCTCGTCTACATCAGTGCAGTGTGTACCGTTCCCCTCCATGCCATCAGGACAGGGTCCACACTTTATACCCTGAGGTGTCTCCATGCACTTCACCCCTGGGTGGCAGGGATTGGGAATGCAGGAGGGACGAGGCTGCATTCCTCCCATCCCTGAGGAGAGAAGAGGTCAAGCATGCTTCATTCCAACATATCAAAGTGTAGATATTAAAGCCAACAATTTGTGCTCCACACAAAATATGCTCCCCTCAAACTGTGGGGAAAATGTCTGTGTCAGCTCTCATATGATTCTGAAGCAAAACGGATTCAAGGTTTTGGCACAGTGAGCTTAAGAGCAACAGGAGCCCCATACTAATCATCTACCTCATCAGCTCTAAATGAGCCATGACATTTCTCGAGCATCCCAGTTTGGAGGCGCTTTTTTAAATTCTTTCTGCATTCATATTTTTGGCACTAGAAACATTAAATCGACATCAACACTTTCAGCAGACTTTTATGGCCTGGAAAATACAATATTCAGCCAATAGCTGTTGTGATTGGCCTCAAAATGACCAATTTTAAAGGTCAATTTAGCTTTTTCTCTCTCAGATCAACCTGTCTCAGCTGTCTGTTTTGTATATCCCTCTGCTGCCCCTTCACTGTTCCCCAGGAGAGAGGAGTACAAACACACATTCAAGTGCAAGTGTCTCTCTTAAACATGCAACATATATCAACATGTAAATAGAACTCAGTCATAATACTATTCATACTGACTGACTGTACTGGCACCAGGTCTAGCTCTTGTGGTATGATGGCTCATGATATCTGATATCATTAGAGCTCATTTGATTATAAATTATTTTATTCTTTCTCTTTATTTTATACTGGGACTTATGCAGGATTTTAGACTGATGAAAACATCTGGATGATCGAAGCTTTGAACTCTATTCAAACAATGAAACTGTTGTGAATAGATTTAATATCGACCATGAATCATTCTGCATGCAAAATATTTCAATGAAGTGCTGAAAAGGGTTTCTGTTTGTCTGGTAAACTCACCACAGGCCTCACACTCCATCACAGTGTTCTTCAGGAATACGATTTCTTTAATCTGCAATATTCAAAAATCAAATAATGAAGTTACTTCTGTTTTCATGAAGCCACCAAACTGAATCTAATCAACTGTCCAGTTTTACTAAACACCTGCCCTACTCCTGAAATGACTGGTGTTAAAGTGTAATTCTTTTTAAAGACATTTATTGAGATCATTGCCCAAAATGAATAATAGTTTTGAAATTGTATTATTGCTTCAATATAGCTTTTACAAGCAGATCCTTCAGGACAGAAGTCTTATATGGGCTGCAAAAGTAAATCCATAACACAGGTTTTTTTTACCTGTTGTTTCAAAAGCTCTTTAATCTCAGCCAGCGCCAGGTTCGTCATTTTAATCTGACTGATAATTTCTCCATCTGAAAAAAAGTAATCACAATCATTCAAGAGGCAACACAACTATGTATTATAAACAGCTGATTTGCCTGTTATTTTTATACAGTCTGCAAGAATACAAGGTGTAAAGCCACATAACAAGCTGAAAGTCCTATTCTTATTTCACTTTGACACTCATTTGGGAAACGTTTTAGTCTCCACACTTATTTAAACCCAATCCTCCCGTCTCCACTTTTTTCTTTGAAGCTCTTCAGTGATGGTATGGTAATGGTAATATAAGTTATGGATACATTTTTGGATGCAAATTGGATGACATGTCTTTGCACCTCATTAGTTTCCTGTTGGCTGAACATCTGGAAGCAGAAGCTCACTTTACATATGGACATGTGGGGGGGTTTAAAGACACGTCCTCCAACATGATCCATCGTACATCAAATACCTGACGTTCCTAAACCACCGCAGGCCTCGTTTGGATCTACTGCCCACGCATTCACTGGAATCAGAGATGTTTTCATTGCGGTCGTAAAATGGATTTTCCAGATATGGAATGATACAGATTTTCTGGGCGATACGTTTCAAAGCTTGTGAGTTACAGGAACTGAACTCTCCGGGCGTTTAGTCGTATCTGGACTTTTTAAGTTAGCCTCTTCCAAACAACTGTTAACAGTTGTCCTTGAAATAAACTAGGTAACTTTAAAGGATAAAATAAAATAAAAGTAATAAAAGTTGAATTAGTAACCTCAAAACACACGGTTACTCATGTTAATAACCTCAATCTCCCTTGTTCTAAAATGACCGCTAGCTTCGCGGCTGATGTCAGAAGGAACAAAGTAGGAGCAGTGAAATTAGTTTTGTCCTCTGATTAAAAAACTGCCATGTGATAAACCAGAAGACACCTTGAAGAAACTTTAATCAACCTAAACATTTGTTAGGGTGAATGGCAGGCTACTAAATTGTCCAAAAAATATGTTTACAGTGAGTTAAGGGTTAGGGTTATGTTCTTTTTTGGCCACAGGGGGGCAGCAGAAACAGGTTGTAAACACAACATAGATAAAGTGTCATTTCATCTCTACCAACTCCAGAGGGAAATATTAAGCTTAATGCTCCAACATGCTAACCAGAGCTACGTGTTGTTTGCTAAACACTCAGCGAGTAGTAAGAAGTTTGAGAGCTTTTTTATTATTTATTTTATGTGAAAAGCAGCTGCGAAAAATAAGACTACAAGAGGAGAGTCTCAGGTTCATGGATAAAGAGCTGAAACTGTCACACTCTAAAGGGGGGGGAGTTTGTAGCAATTCTCTGTATAGCTAATAAAAAAGTACAAGAGTCAAGATTCCCTGAAGGGAAGAAGCTTTATTTTCCAAACAGGATGAGACTTTAAGATATTCAGTTCCTTTTAATTGACCCGTAGACCCATCATCTCCACCCCCTGATCACTTTGACCACTACCCCTTCCCCATGAGGAGCAGTACGAGGGCAGAAACCCCCTGAGCATGAAGCACAGGAAATGTGCTCTTTCCATTAGCAGCAGCCCTGTTTACTGAATGAATTCAACAGCAGAGAGAAGAGATACCTGGAATAAATCACCCTCACTGCTAATAGATTCTTACATCACATCTTACAACTGAGACTTCATGCTGATTGTTTTTCCACATTGTGAGGCAAGAACAGTTGTGACAAAAGATGAAAATCAAACAATGCAATTACTATATCTTGACAGATATGCATCCAAATTCAAGGATGCTTTAACCCTCTATTGATTGTTTGTCATACTCTGTAAACATTTTGCTTTTTTTTTTCCCCTCAAATGTCACTTATACACTAAACTGTCCTGGATTAAAATTGCAACAAAAAAGAGCACAACATATTGTCTAGCTTTTTTAAAATCTAAATAATTTCATGCATATTTGCCTTTTGTAATTTGGGATTATTTTAGGCTTCTCTGGCAAAATCTTGTTTCTCAATTTTATGGTTTCCCATGTGAACAACCAAAGCTCAAATAAAGAATCTAAATCTTGCCTCCATAAAACCTGGTTCTCACCTCTCTGTCCAGCCGCAGCGTGTCCTCCCATGCACAGCACACAGGTCAGCACGACAAACCTCAGCATGGTTCAATCTGAGATGCTCTTGGACTCAGCGCTCCTCCTGAAAACCTCGTTCCAGCAGACGCTCCTCTCCTGCTTTTGGTTTTTATACCCCCCCCCCCCCCCCCACCTCCCCCTCCCTGGCTGACATCCCTGTCCTTTCCCCCAAAAGCTCCTCTGCAAATTTGGGGAAGTCCAAGAAATGGGAAAAGGAGTTTGCATAATACATTAAAGCGTCACCTTTAATAGATGCATTTTAACTCACAGTCATTTTGGGTTCACTGTGCTGGGGCCTTAGATTTTGAATGAAAAGGTTTTTGGTCAGTGTTGGTTTTGTCTGGTTGTTTTTGCTTCATTAAGGTGTTAAGTTGGTATACTTGTAGTCTTGTTCATCCGTTGATACTTTTTTAACTAGTTAAAGTTGTTCAGAAACATGTTCACATTTACTTTAAGGTCAATTCCCTGCTTGCCTCATGAAAAGAAACATCATAGTATTTTTTACTTGATTATTATCTTCTTTATCTTCATACCTTACTGCGGTATGATTTTAGTGTCCATACATTTACGTCCCACGCGGGAGAAGATAAACCTTTAACAGTTGAGCTTTTATTTAGTCTCTGACTTGTTAAGGAAGAAAAAGATGTTTAAAAAGAAAAAAGGCAGAAATGAGGCTTCAGATGCAGTCTGGATTTTACAATGAAAACATATTTACTGCAACATTACAAATGCTTTAGACTGTGTGTGTGTGTGTGTGTGTGTGTGTGTGTGTGTGTGTGTGTGTGTGCGCGCATTTGTGTGCTTCTATATGTGCGTGTGTGTGGAGGGGGGTAATGGATTAAGCAGATGTTGGTCACATTCCAGGCATTTATTGTTTTGGGAGTTTTTGGTCCCGATCACCTTGATAAGCTCTCACCACTCTCTCTCTCTCTCTCTCTCTCTCTCTCTCTCTGTCTCTGAGTGTCTCTCTCTCTCAGCGTCTCTCTCTATCTGTGCACTCGCCTGCATGCTGCCTTTCCCAAAGAAGCGAGGAAGTCATATCCTGGAACAACAAACATCAGCTTGTTTCTGTTGTATGCTGGAGTCCTTGACTCTTAGGCAGATGTGGAATAATTGTATTTGTCTTAAAAATACAAGCAATTCTGTTTCATCAGCAAGTGAAAGTTCGTAAGATTAGTAAATAATTTAGTAATGGTTCAAAAGTTTGTTTAACTTCACATTAGCCATTACAAGCCATTACCATCTTGTGAACAGCAGAGATGCACTGTGGGTAATGCAGGCACCAGATTTTCAGGAGGAAAGAGAATGTGTGGAAATAAGAATATAATTTCTGCAACATCCCATTTTTTTACTTTCCATCATGAGTCTGATAGACAGACTGCAGCAATGATGAACTATGGCGCTCTAAGTGTTAACAATGGTTTAAAACTACAACACGTTGCTGGTATTTATGCAGCACCTGAAGTGATGCTAACTACTGTTTAAACACTTGAAAAGTGTCAGTAAAAATACATTTATTTGGCCTCTCTAGATACTTACAGTATTATTTAGTTTGTATTATTTATTTAAAATATTTATTCGTGATATAATATTTGGAGCATCATGTTCGAGAATAAATGGTTTTCTCATGGTAATAAAAAACATATTTCAAGTCATGACTAAGAAACGAAGTCAAACCAAGGGTGATGAATCAAACATCTGCTTGCAGGGTACAGCTGGACCACAGCTTTAGAGATGGTTTCTGTATTTTAGCTCCAACAAATGTAACCAACAGGTTACATATACCGCCCTGAGCTGCTCTGCTGCTGTGAGGAATGTCCAGGTCAAAGGTGGAGTGAAACAACCTCCTGCTAACTTCATTAGTGATGCTTTATGGCCTGTTCTACAACACATCGTCAGCACAGCAGGGAACGTACAAGTTTCTCAAGGCACGACCTCAGGTTGACCAGAGACCTTTCCCGCCACCTCCAAACAGCTTCACAATTATGTAACAGAGATTTTATCACGACAGACGTACTTCAGAACCAGTGGTGGTGTGCAATAAGCCTTCACTTTTAACATTTATTCTAGAAGATTAGCAAAGTGCATGGCATGAAACGTTAGAAACTAATTCAGGAGAGGAGTGATAGTTGTTGTTGAGGCTTTACACTTTCAAACAAGAGAGTGTGGAAAAGAACTGTCCTTTTGGAAATGCAATATGACAACTGTATCAAACAAGTGAAAGCCTCAATTCATTGTGCAGTCTGTTCTTATTGTTAATATTGAATTTGGAAAAAAAAAGAAGTCTTTGTATGACAGAGACTCACAGCAGATTCACAGATCAACACTTTGTAGTTGTAGTTCTGTCCTTGATATCCGCGTCAGCTCTTTAAACTGCACCAAGATTAAATTAAAATGGTTTCACACAATAATGAACTGGTAGTACTACTTACCTTATAATAATGTTAGTTAAGATTGTGAAAATAACCAGAATATAAGAGTACTGTGTGACATAATGGGCCAGAATTATTTAGTACTGCTGAGATAAACTTTGACAAGAAATGTTTCTCAATCAGTTTTTGCAATTCTTCTTTCAAAAACATTATAAGACGTGTCTATTTGAAAATTTCAATATTCTATACATTCTGGTATAGAACATTTACAGTCACAGCAAAAGCTGTTGATGTGTCGCTCTGTTTTGTACTATTGAAAAGTCGATCAGTAAAGAAAACCACAAAGACACCATGTTTCTCTTGATTTTATTGAAAGACATGATGTTGTCCTCTTCTCAGTGTAAAAGCAGCAATGTTATTTCACTATTTTCTTTTCTTTCGAGTTTGAATTTTTTAATGGAGAGTCAGTTGAATTAAGAAAAAGTTTCTCCTTCTTTCTGAGTGAAATAAGGTTTGATGGAAACACAACTACTGATGTGGATCAGAGGTCACTGTGACACAAACATGGATCACCACACAGTGCTGAGCACAGCTGCAGAAGTTCACAAACACTTAATGAAATAGGTTTCAGGTTGGTTTGAAGTGTGAATCCTTGCCGTAGTATTTACAGAGTTCTTGTGCTATGTAAAAGGCAGAAAGCACCATTTTGCTCTAATAGAAAGGGTTTCATTTGTAAAACATCGAACTGTTCCCTTCCTGGAAATGCAGTTTTTTTACAGTCGTAACACGGTGTCCTACTCTGCTTTCTTTGCCTTCCTCTTACGAGCACCTTCGCTCAGCTCCTCCTTGGTTTTCAGAGGTGATGATGGGGCGGCGGCAGCGTGATGGTGGTCTTCCTCAGATCCACCGAGAGGGGAGCCGAACAGCAGGTGGCAAACCCAGGACTCAATGAGAGCGAAGGGGGAGCCGTGAGAGTGTCGGGCGGTCATCACCACCTGAGGACCAAACAAGAGAAAGCTCTGGTAAAAAACCAAAACCTTTCTCACTAACCTAAAACAATTCCCATGTATACAACACAGCATATAGTTACATGTAAAATAATCTGAAAAGCAACTCTGTCAACAACACTTAACACAGCAGTGATGATCTCACCTTGCTGGTGGCCATGAAGAGGGTGAAGACAAGGATGAGGGTGCTTTTTGACACTGGCAGATATTGAGCCTCCTGCAGGGTGAAGAGGATGGCTCCGTACAGACTGGCTTTGGTTGGGCTGCAAAGAGGAACATTAAAATAATAAAGACATGACATTTTGATTATCTTCACAGAAAGAGAGGGAGATAAAAATCATTGTATTGTTTAATGCATGCATCTCAACAAAACACAACCAAAGAATATAATTTTTTTAATTATTATTAACTTAAAGCTCCTGTTGGGAACTTTTGGTTTGGTTGATTTTGGCGACCCCTGTAGACAAAACAGCTCAAAGAATACGTGTGACATTGTAAGACAGCTGCATTAGCCTGCCTAAGAGCATTTTTTGATGCTTCCACAAGGGGGCACACAAAGTCTAAAAACTTCAACAAACAAACTCAAAAAGAAAACAATTGGCAGTGTTAATTTAAGTGACACAACTCTTATGGTCAGAGTTTTGTCTCTGGGTTATAATTACTATATGCTTTATGGCAGCAGTGATGAGTTGTTTTTTTTATATCAGCAGCTGGAAACACAGACTTACAATGACATGTTCAGGATCTCGTTGGTGTCAGGCCTCCACACGCCGCGCAACAGCTGCTCAAAATTGGAAATGAGAGCTACTCCAGAGCCTGTAAGAATAAAAATAGACAGAGCGGAATATTAGGCAAAAACAAAGTGTGTGTCTCCTATGACTGCATTTTTTCAGCATTTAACCCTACAGGGCCTCAGAAGACTACATGACAACATGTTCCCACGCTTATTTTATACCTTAGATTTTAGTAACATTGAAATGGTTCTTGTAGAAGTGAGTGATTCTCATCTAAACTGCTCTTTTCTGGGTAACTCACTTTATTATGAGGGACTAGCACATGTTCACACTGGTATACAGTGTCAATGAAAATGCAGCATTCATTCATGTTTCAATGTGGACATGTAGTTTCCTGAGGTTGTCACTGAATGAACGCAGCTGTCTAGAGAGAGAACTGCTGCCAGAGTGACAAGCACAGACTTCAACAGAAAGTACATGTAACAAGACAGCTGAACCTGCGATCTCTTACACTCTTGCGGTCCTGTTTTCTGCCACAATAACTCAGTATGTCGTCTCTCCTTATGTTTCAGAGTCAAAAAACAACTCCTACAAGCCCTTCTTCTCTCTAATAATGACACGTATTTCTATAATTGCAACAGGTACAAACACAGAACAATATCTGCGGTGTGGTTTGGTTAGCTTGAGCATCAAAACTACTTAATTAAGAAAAGTATCTTGCACTGGGTCTCGGTTTATGGTTTTTCCATTCTTGCGAACTACTCATTGAAGCTCATAAGTGAGTACAATTTAGAAAAACTGTACTATAAGAATCAAGGTAGTTTACAAATGAGTGTCCAGTTTTGACAACATGAGAGCCACTTTTGCGCATAATCAGGGGGCTGCATAAAATGATGAAAACACACCAGACAGAACATTTTGGTGGATGCACCAGGCAAGCAACTTCTATTTGACAGAATTAAGGACATCTTTGGAATCTATTTTACAAATTGAAGTTGTTGTGAAATTTCAGAAACCCAATGGACTTAATGTTGTGCCACAACTGTTTATACATAATCTCAGCAAATTAATACACTAAATCAATGTGACATATTATTGAATTCACAACACCACCAGCCCTGTGACAGGTGACTGCAAATTTACAAAAGTGAATTGGAAAATGTTGCCGTAACATGATAAGACACTGACCTTTGACGTATCCGACGATGACCATGATGAGGAAGCCGTGGTGGTATGCGTGGTGGGCATGGTGAACACCTGCTGCGATCTTACGAGTGCGGACCACTTCCTTCAGAGCAACTAACACCAGCTTGACTGGTAGAAAAGCCACACACTTATAAAAGAGGTTCAGAGGGCAGTAAAAGATGAGGTACCTGGGGTTACAAGACAAAGACAGAGACAGAGGGTGGAGAATAAAAGATTACAGTTAGAGGGGGTGGTCATGATGTCAGAAATATTTTATAGGTTATGTTAAGAGACTGAGCCATGTTCAATCAAATCAACGGATCAGTTGATGATATGTTGGGGAAAATATGTTCAGAAATTATGCTGAACTGATCCTTTAAAACTGGTGTATTTTCCTTTTTCATCAGGAATACAAAATAAACCACTTTGTTCACTGGAGATATTGGTAAGTCTACACCTGAAATACCAGCCAATACTTTGTAAAAGCTAGCTGGTGGGTAACTTAAAGGTACTCAGATAATCTAAACACAGGTAAAGTCATATACTGTAAATATACTCCAAAAAAGTCCCACAAATAAAGTTCCCTTTTCACTTTTAGATGTTATATAACATTATGGACGTTTAAATGTTATAACTGCATTTCTCCTAGCTAGTTTTGCTTTTTACAAAAGTTGAACTGATTATTAAATAATTATTTATTTAAATAATTACATGTTCTAATGTGCTAATTAATTTACCAGTCAATGGATTCTTTGTTTTGTGCAAATCCTGTCTCAATCACAAGAGCAAAAAAGCATCTTTTTTACGAGGTTGGTTTTGTTGACTCATCATTCCAAACCTTTCGTTTTTATTACTTTAAAATATTAAGAAGAAAAGCTCAAATGAAAGGAAAGAAACCTTCACGTACTTAGAGTCAAAGCAGAAACATGTTTAGCTTCAACATGAACCAACACCATTAATTTAAGAACAAAATGTACGCCCCAGTTGTAGTGAGGTACCTTACTTTACTCAATTATAGCGCCTCAAAACTGTACTTATGTTCTAAAGTTAATGTTGTTAGTTACAGCATTTTGGATTTACTCCATACATCTGTTTGTAAACCTTTCCCCTGTGATGTCTAACTTTGTTTCGAGGATTTTCTCACCACACAGCCGAGGCCAGCAGGATGTGACTGTTGTGTTGGAAATAGTCGATGGGGCTGCTTCCAAGCATGATATCTGCCAGGATGTAACTTCCAAAGCAGTAGAGCATGGCACAGAGCCAGGAGGCCACGGGACTCTTGCGAGAAACCTCCACCGAGCCTGCAACACAGAAAAGGAGGAGGTGAGGGACGGAGGAGCTGAAGGGCATAGACAACATTCATACAGCAGCTATTTCACTCTGACATCATGCTCAGGGTGAGAAGCTAAACTGTTGCGATAATGTCCTTGTGTTGAGTTCTAGGTCGTAAATTGTATAGCCTCAGGGTTTTGTTCTGCTATAAATCCCTCTCTTTCAAATCCATCAGCACCTGAAAGGACAATACCCCCTTAACCATTTAGACAACAGCTAATGTTAGCATCAACCACCCACTAATACTCCATTTTACCGTTAGCATAACCAGCAAGGAACTTATTGAAATCCATATTAGTCAAATATTAGTTTTACAAAATAAAATCAAGATTGCTAAAATTCATTGCTAACATTACGTTAGCTTGAGAAAATGGTTAGTTAATACAGGCTACTTGCTAACTGAGCAATGTTGGCTAGTGCTTGAGTGCTAACATAATCTGTTTCCTGAAGTTAGCTAATTGGTTAAATATTTAGTTTTATTTAGAATTATGGCTAGAAATAGGTGTGGTTGCTTATTGTACAAGAAGTAACAGAATTATACCAAACATTTATTTGACTAAGAACCTGAAAAGAAGTAGCCTACAAGATTTTGACAGAATTTGAGCTCCTCCCCCTGAGCGAGTTCTCAGGGGAAAATGGCTGCTGTCTCGATATGGTGCACTATAATGGAAAGAGCACAGCATAGCACCATGTGTTACACCATGTGTTACACCATGTGTAACACGTGTGTTTATAAGTGAAGTTATTAGGCCTACTGTTGGTGGCGGAGTCTGTGTGAAGCAAAATGTGTTGATGCGTCTATGACTGTAGTAAGTCAAATACTATGAAAAAAACTTTTAAAAATCACATATTCATGACATTTTCTGCCTAAAAATTATTGATTAGAAACGTTTTCAATCATTTTTTCAAAATCGATTAGGCCTACCCAGTTGATTTATTCACAAAAATAAATACAAAAAGTACAGCCTACATAGAAGTAATTGAAACAAAGACTAAATCAAAAGAAACTGGTTGTAAGGAATCATTGATTTATACATTTTCTAAAATTTGAGTTCCTACCCGCCCTAACTGTTATCAGTGACCTTAAAAAGAAAACAGTATCAGTGGAACCCTTATGTGTCTATGTGCTGTATCTTAATCCACACCCAGTTGACCATTTCAGTTCACGCCCTGATAATCCGCCTCTTCAACATAAACTAATATTGACTCAAGACTTCCACAGTGATGCATGAGCTGACAGTTTACCCACTCAACAAGTGACTGAGTCTACAAGCAGAACACACATAGCCGTGTCATTCATAAACTCGTGAAATAGTTAGCATTCATTTTTATTATAAGACAAAAACATCTATCCCATATCTGTATATTGTACCAATACAATTGTAAAGGTCTACACCCAAATATACTACGTAAACATGTGCTGATGAGCAGCCTGTAATACATCAGAATGTTAAATGTGTTTATCAAAAAGTTTATCTAGATCTCATAGCACTAGTGTTTATTTACATAAAAGCCCGCTCTAATGGTTCATATCCGAAGCCTGAATAAAAAGTATTGATTGATTGAAACAGTTTAACTGAAACCTGAAGTACTTAAGAGACGGAGACAGTTAGTTCGCTGTACTCTTCTTGCTCACATCCAAGAAAAGTTAAGACATTTTTTTGTAAACGATCAAGATTGCTGATGCAAAGCACATTCTTAACTTGCTATTGCTAACGTAACAAACCGGATGATAGTTGTGTAGCCTGCAAAAAGTAAGTGTTGGCATACTTAATAATAAGGTTTAAGTGCTGGTTACACAATAAGGGGAGTCAACTTTTTTTTCATGATGTAAAGGAAACCAAGAACAAAGCAGAGGCACTGGTTTCATTGAATTGTTGATCTAACTAGCTAACACTGGGTAAGCCTAACTTTAGCTTTATCCAGATGTTGTCTACGTTAGCCACACTGTAGCTAAAATGGTACAAACCTAGTAGGCCTATCTTACACTAACAGTCTTCTTGTGCTTGAAGTACATTTAAAATCTTCAGGACTTAATTTCAGAAACGACACACGGCATTCCTAACTAGGAATGTTAGAAACTCCCAATCCATGTCGTACTGTAAGTATGTAGCATAGAATACAAAATAAAGAAGTATACGCTTCTTTTATAGAAATGTTTTATATCTTTCACTGCTGAGGTGTTCATGTTATTCAAGAATAAGATATATTTTTGGCACTATAATTTCCTAAAAAGGGTCTGAATTCTGTTTGAGCATGCACATATGAAAAACAACCTGAATGTTTTATATTATATACAAAAAGAACAGTCTCATAGCCCTGGAGGAGACTTTCAGTAAATCAAGACATGAACAGAAACCCGGCTGCTTCACCGCACAAATCTCCAACAACAGGTGGGTGAGGGTGTCGTGGTGGCTGGTGCTCAGTTTGTATGCAATCTGACCCTGAGAAATGTCGCCCTATAAATATATTCTGCTTGACTGCTTCTCAACTGTAAGGCCCGCCTTAACCTTTAACCCCAACACTTGTCTCACCTTCCCCACCCATGTCAACCCCCAAATACTCATTCATGTTCTCCTCTAACATGGACTGCAAACTAACACTCTCCACTCAGACACATGTCAGGAAAGGTGAATACTCAATGATCTTGCAAATGTTGGCTGCAGGTGACATTTGACTGTAAAATATCCACAGATATGATGTATGATAGAGGTTTGTAGTTACAGTCATGAAGTCATCTTTGGTAGCCTTATGTAGCACTTAGCCTGAAGTAGGATATAACACTAAAGTAAACCTGAAAGATGTTTATTTTAAAACAAGCTATGTCACTGTGTTGCCTAACCCTCCTGCTCCTGTTCCTTTTATAGATAATACAACATGTTTTTGAAAAGAAGGTGTGCGCAGCAAAATATTAAAACGGTTTAAAATCCTAAACCCCTTTAGATGATTCAAAACTCAGGGATAGTCATTAATATGTGTATGTATAAATGTATGGATGTGCACACTCATAAGCGAAATCTCACAACCGATATGACTGTTTAAGGACAACTTCAAAGACTTTTTTGGATTAAATACAGGTTGTTGTTTTTTTTGTTTTGTTTTTACAATTAGCCTGTTAAATTAATTGCAGCAGAACCAGAGATACATGATTAACTTGTCAAAAATGTGTGCCTACATCACCCAAAATGCAACTAACAGTTAAGCTGTAGGGTTGTTCTAGAGTAGTTGGGGCAAATCTCAATCTAGTAAATTCACTTCTGTTTTACTCCACAGACCCAGAGGCCAACTTGAGGTCTCCTGTCCAAACTGGTGCCGACTCAAGTGACATCACATAAGGCAGTGTATTAGACTTCATGCAGCTTCCTTTGGAGTCTCAGTGTTCAACAATAATGTTGATCATACTTTTCACGTGCACTTTGAGGTTCACGTTGTAAACTGAGTTAGATCAATGGAAAACATCCAACCACAAATCTTTTCTTTTTCTACCGATTCTGGTTTCAGCTTTGTGGAACACAATCTGGTGGCTTCACCCTGATTTCTTCAAAAACATGTGGAGAGATTTTTTTTTAAAAATAAAATATGTGTGAATCATAACTTTGTGGGAAATAGAAAATATTTCAAATAATTTAAGTGTCTTACACATGTAGCTCATTGTATATAACGAGTGTCTAAAAAACAAATGACAACATATTGAGAGCTTAATTGATAATCTGACATGTAGGTCCCATCTTTTCCTCAGCAAGCAAGTGGAGTAACATGGAAGATGTAAATGGGGTACATTTAGTTTTTCAAATAAACAATAAATGTAGCTTGTATTTGATGTGCACTCCAGGCTCCTTTAAGGCTGTGAAGGAAGATTGTAAATGCTAGATTTTTTAATGAGCTTAAGTTGTGTCCAGTGCTCCACCGCATTGGCTGAACTCTTATAACCAAGTAAACTTTTCTTTGGGGTGGAGTTAACTCAAAAGCTACACACTCCCAGGAACAATAAGGTCAGACTGAGCTGCTTGTTTGACATTGTATTTCATGTCTAACATTCAAGGTAAGTAACACACTCAGCTGCAGCCTAAAAGTGTGCAGCAGAAGGGGTTCAGAGGCCCACTGACACTGTCTATTTCAGGATCTTCTATTTATTGCCTAAGTCGCTGGTATGCAAAGGCTTTCTCTCAGGTTTCACCCTCCTCCAGCTCTCAAAGGAGTCAGATCTTGTAAAATATCAGGCTTTTTACCCAAAGCTGAGTTGTTTAATCCAGTTCAGTGATTTCCAGGGTGAAAATGAGGTCAGACTATACTGCAGCATCAGAGTCCCCTCACACCAAGCAAGCTGAGCTGCAAGTGCTCCTGCTTCCTTTATGTAACAGGTCATGCTTTATAAGGACAGAGATTACAGCAATAGAAAGTCCGTATAGGGATATAAGTCTAACGCAGAGGAGCAACTTCATGTGACAGGCAACTTTGATTATTCACAAGTTTTCAATGAGTAAAGTTTTAAACTTCCATAGTAAGCTATTTGTTTGTGCTTTTTTTTCCTCTCATTGTGTTGATGTAATGAAATGTAGGTTATGTTTTAGCACTTGTCCGATGAATGTCGACCTCAACAAACATCAAAACGCATCATTTTCATCAAGTAGGAACCTTAAACTGATTGAACAACAACGCTCATTTCAAAGCAAAGAAAAAACAAAGTCTCATGTGCACTGACCTGGCTCGTACTTGAGGTAGAGGATGGACACGATGTAATACGCGAGATCAAACACAGGAAACATTCCCATTTTGGAGAAAATGTGGGGAAATTCGCCCAAATTAAGAACTGCCAGCACGTCCATGATGCCCGTCTGGTAAACAACAAATCCCTGTTTTTTATTCCAACTGCGCAGTCTTGATGCGAAAGTCCCCCGAGTCCGGTCCACCGACTCTCCGCCAAAGCCCCCCCGGTATCAACAGTGAAAGACTGTGTGACACTCAAGCCCTCCTATTAATACCACTCATCTCTACAGTCTCAGCATCATCATCATCCTCATCTGCGCTCCGTGCCAGCTGCTCCGCGACAGGGGGGTTAAACATGTCAGCTGCCTGAAATGTCAAAACAAAAGGCTTGTCCTCCTTTGTGCTCTACATCGATGTAACTATTATTATTAAACAAAACGCTGTTTGAGGCTCGACTGCAGTCTGTAGACGCTGCAAAGCCAGGAGATCTCCCATGCTTTATACAAAGAGAAAGATTGCTTTATCATCTGGTACGAAACATCCACAAGAGTCAGATGCTGCATCAAGTCTGCCTCGCAGTCAGATGATTGGCTCTAATCCCAAACAAACAGCTCGCTAACATTGGGATACATTGGCTGTTTACATTCCCCTACATGATGCAGTACCCTAACTTTGTATTAAATACACAGCCATGTAGCCTACGAATAAACAGCAGCGCGATTTATTATATTTTTCCAAGCATTGGATGTAGCCTCTGTATTTTTTTTTTATATATTTCCCTTTAAATCGAGAATAATCAGAGCAACGACCTCCGCCACCACCAGAGGGCTCCAAAGCTATAGGCTACATTTTAAAATGATTTTTAGTTCAAAGTGTCAACTGTTCTAAATTAAGACAATATTACTAAGATAAGTAAAAAATAATTGGTCTTTTTTTAATGCAGTAGGCTAAATGGGTATGTTGGGCATGTTGGGCACACTGGCTCATCCATTTGTTTAGACATAAGGCCATTATTTAATAACTGCATCTATTTTGCTTAATGCTTTTCTAACAATTACATCTTATTTTGCTTGATTTGCCTACTTTCCTCTGTTAGATTAATGACTTGTTTTTTTTTTTTAGGCTATAGACCATTCAAAATATAAAATATATTTACTTTTTATTTTTTGAAATTAATATTTTATAAGACTACATCTTATACTTAGTGACTTTCTGAGCTTCAATTCTACAATTCTTCCGGTATCATAGCGCCACCTACTGTAAAGAGACTGTACTACGTCTCATAATAGGCCTTACAACATCACTTGTTCTCCAACTTTTACAGTTTGCATGACAGTGCCGGCAAGAACAGCTCTGTGCCGTGGTCATCCAAGTGTTAAAACCCCATCTAATTCCCCCACAACAATTTTCCAAACTTTGTACTAAACGTAGACTTTAGTCATTGTTGGAGCCAAATGAGGTGTTTGTTTTGTGTGATGCTATTTTCCTTGTGGTTGTGTGTGTTGACCATCCCCAACGCGGATTTGTTTGTTTTATTTATAGACAGTGGTTCGTCATATTCTCCTTTATTTGATAAGAAGTGTTTAAAAATACATGGATTGAAATATCCAAATGAAATCATCAATGGACTGTGTTAAAGCTTCCACATTCATCCCTCAAGTGACTTTTCTAAAACAATATTGGGTTTGTTAAAATTGGTCACTACAGTCATTTAAAAGCAGAAATCACCCGAGTGCTGCCTGCAGGAGCAGCCTGTCAGTCGAGCAGCAGGGCAGACACAACCCCTGAAACCCGCGGTTGCTATTGGTCACTTTCTTGTAATGCGTGGACGTACACGGAAGCGAGTCTCTGTGACGTGATGTGGACAAAATGATCGGAGACCTATTGATATTTGGGTAAGTTAATTTGTTATTTTCGATCTTCTAGTCATCTAAACACCTTCTCGATTGTGTTACTGTGCTCGGCCTTTAGTTAAGTAGCAGCGTAAACAAGATAGCTCCGTGCTAGTGCCAGCTCCCCAGCTGTTGCTAGCGCTAAAGACAGATTACAATGTTACCTTAATATTCAGCCTGCTGTTAAACTATCCCGTTTTTTTTGTTTGTTCTTTAGGACCTTACTGGTGAATGCAGGAGCTGTGCTGAATTTCAAGCTGTGAGTATTTAAGTTAAGAGTCATTAGAAAAGCGAAATTCTGGAAAAAAAGACAACCTGGACAATGTGTTGTGGGTGTTTTTGCAGCAAAAGGAAGGAGTCTCAAGGATTTGGAGATGAGTCGAGAGCACCGACAACAGGTAAGTTACATGTTTGTGTAGGAAAGAGGAGAAGAAGTTAAAGAACAGTGCGTGTCACAGGTGTCTATAGTTGTGACAGTGTTGCCACACATATTGAAATGTGTGTTATTCAGGTGACAACATCAGAGAGTTTCTGCTCAGCCTGCGGTACTTCCGGATCTTCATCGCCCTGTGGAACATCTTCATGATGTTCTGCATGATCCTGTGAGTAGTTGTCTTTAATGAAGTCTCTATCTTTAATCAGCTTCCCCCCCCCACCCCACCCCAAAACAAAACTTTATTCCTGTTTGTGCTACATTTACTAAAACCTGTAATGCCCAGCTTCGTTAAGAATTTACTCAGGAACTCAGTAATTGTTACCCACTTACTTTTAAAGATTTCTTCTGTCAGAATTAAAAAATGATGAGCCCAGGATTGAGTGCCGGATGGGGAAGGGGAATCAAATGCTCCCTTGGTTCTGGTCCTCGGCTGTGATCTGATGACTGTCTTAAAAATATGGTCGAATCAGCCTTACCCCTAAAAGACTGACATTTGTTTTGGCTCTGGCTGTGTCAAGTCAAACGTCTGCTGAGTGGGTCTTTTTCAGTTGACCTTCTTTCAAGTCAAAGCAACATATGACATTTTTTTTTTTTTTACGGTAGAGTTTTCAGGGTTAAACTCTCTCATTCTGTATTAGTAATTCATTTTATGTTTCGCTTTTGCAAGCCCAATTTTCTTCCTTTATCCTGACCCTTACGCTTCAACTCTGCCTCCGTTTGATTTATTATTACAAGATATATCCCAATGTATTTTAAAAGAAGTTCTGTAAATTGCTGTGAACTTGTTGCTTTTTTTTTAAATTGACTGCATGTCTTCAATACTCCATCCAGATTATTTGGATCATGATCAACACCCGTGGGATGGATGACGTCTATCAGAATGCTGACAACATGGATGACTACTTGTTTATTAGTTGCTCTTTTGGCCCCTTAAAACTGTAATTATGCTCCATTTACCTTAAGATCCCAAAGCGTAAAGCTACTTCTGTTTGAACAGGTATTTAGGAATTACTGGATATATTGTTTCCTACAGAAGTTGTTACTTTTTGACCCTTCTTGTTAGAGCTGTTACTGTATCAGTCCCCCCCACCTCTGATGTACATGTGTTGTCTCCTGTCCTTGTATATGCTTGCAAATCACGGCATGTTACCTCTAGAACAGTGGTTCCCAATATTATATATATATATATGGTTCCAGGGCCCACATATTAAAAAAAATAAATGAATTCATTGATTAAAATCCCAACAGGAATGGCCTACACACACTTGTTTTTACCAAAATGATTTAGTAAAAACTATCTGTGTGTTATCAACATTTTTGGTAGTGCAGATCTAACACCCTTCTGATAACATAACAGACAAAGCTTCTTGCCTCCTCTCTCTCCTGAGATCTCTGACCCCGATCGGGATCAAAGCTCTTGCCTATCAGTTTACAAATTCGACACACACCAGGTTTGAAAATGCTGTCAGAGTTCAAATGGATTCAACAAGATCCTTCAAAATGTCCACTCTCACTTAAAGAAGTCTGGATTTCCTCTGTCAGTGATAAGTGACAAAAACATTTCCCATTTACCCATCATCTGTGATGCATTGCATTGTCAATACAGACCATTTTAATGCAGCCCCTCAGATATAAAACAAATTCCATGTTGCTGAGCTCTGAGGCATGTGCTGTATGTAAATGTATATGCACTGTTATGTAAATGTTTCTTTATTAACAATAAAAAAAAAAGTTTTCTTATCTAATGTCTGCCAATTGACTTCCAATTATATACATGTAAACTGCATACATAATGTCTGTCTCCTATATCAATTATCATTATTTAGGATAAGACATCTGCATGATACTTCTTAATAATACAACTTACCAAGTGTATACAGTACAAAACAAATATTTAGCTGTAGAACAATCAAAGCAAAATAATAGACCCTGTTTTTTTGTTGTTCTTTTGTAATATGGGGCAGTTTTGGAATCAACTGTTGCCTCTAACATTTCAGTGCCACAGAAGAAAAATAGGACAAAAACACATATTGTACTATTCTTCTTGATAAGGCATATAACCACCCTGTTTGTAACCTGAAAAATCAATAAGTGCAATTGCTATGAATACTTTAAGAAAAGGTTTGTGTAACTCTCTAGATGCAAGGTTTTTTTTTTTTCATTGATTTTGAATCTTCCCCATTTCAGTTTTGTAATTTTGTTTTCAGCAAGTGATCATGGTATTGAATCCACTGGCAGGTAGCATATAAATGGCATGTATTCGGAGGGGAATCATCTGAATGGGTGTCAAGTTGTGTCAGAGGGAGAATTTGGATCATGAAACCTGTAAGGGGCAAGTGCTCTGCCTCTTAAGGTTGTGAATTACACGTATTCTGTAGACATTCAATCCTAAACCTTTGCAACTACATTTTGCGACCCCCTTCCCCCCCTTCTGCATATCTCTGCTCAATAATAAAGATCCTCCATTTTGAAATGTTGTGTCAAATATTTTCATTGTACTCTTTTATGTTTTTAAATTCCTTTGTATCACCCTCCGTAAATCCTGTTTTATATTCTGATAGTCGAGTTTATTTGATTGTCACTACATCCACATCTTTATTTGTAACACATTAAGTGGAATAACACTGCGTTACTCATGGGCAGTGTGCTCAGAAGATTCAATATACGTAAAAACACTCCCATATACAGATTTGTCATGACAGCCTATCAGCACGTCTCAAATTAATAATAATAAAAAAACTGTTTCACATTAGTAAAAATACTAAAACATCAAAAAGCGTTTCGCGAGGCTCGAAGAGTTTTAGGGTATAAAACGTGGCCAACTTAATTTTGTAATTTGTAATTTATTTCAATCATAATTTAAAAATCGTAATTTTATCAGCTCCTTGAGATGCATCATCTCATTTTCAAGGGGGTCCTTACATAAAATTTCATATTTCATTTAATTTCATATTTGATTTATTTGCTCAATTCAGTGTATGGTTTTCAACACCATAATACACAACAACAACAAAAAACACTGTTCATGAGCAAACAGAATCAAAATCAAAAGAAAAGGTAAATCCAAAACATAATATCAAACATTTAATTGACGCTAATCGATTAATATAATGGAAAAAAATAAACCCCTCTCAGGAGAGACAGAACTATTGTCCATCTGTAGAACAACATCGCCAACGTGATCAGTCCATTACGTCAAATTCTCCCACCATGCACTGCGCCAGCGCTTCACAAAAAGCCCGATGAGAGTACCGAAACAGGAGAAGGCTACCAGCCGAGGAGGAGGAGGAGGAGGAGGTGGAGGAGGAGAGGAGGAGGAGGAGGGTAGCCGATCCTCTGGAGGCTAGTCCGTGCTCGTCGCCAACACCATAAAACATAACGGAGGCGGATGAAAACACAGATCTGGATGCATCATAAAACATGGTGCTCAAACACACAGAAGAGCTTCCGACTGGCCTGTGAGTGCCGGCAGGTTTCACAACCAAGCGCCTCTTCTGCGGGGAGGGGAGGAGGGGAGAGAGAGAGAGAGAGAGAGCTGACTGAGTCCGTCCGTCCTGACTGACCCGTGACACCGCCAGGCGATGACAGCGGCTACAGCCACTCCGCAGGTGATGAGGGACCGGCTGCTAAAGGCCATCGACGGCCAGAGCAATGTGAGTATACCTGCTTGTTTTCCAAAGGAGGCAGACCGGCAGACAGTAGAGCCCACAAAGGGTTGACAAAGTGGAGGAGGGGGGGTGTGGGGGTTAGTATTGTGTCGGTGTAGGGAGTCATTATTTGCTCGCTAAGTAGCCGGCTAACATCTCCAGTTAGCGAAAGAAACAATCCGCCTTTACTGGCCGCTGGTGGCCACCGTTGTTGGAGTCCAGTTTGCTTTATTTTTGCAACACTAAAATGTCCAGTGCGTTTAAGACTGAGAGGCCTGTGAAACTGATTTAGGTGGGGAGTGTTAATCGACAGGTTGATGTGTTTCAGTGACAGACAGTTATTCCTTTTTGGTTTAGTTAAATCAGGTCATGTCAAATATTAGTCTAGTATCTCGACTCCCACCTTTTTTTTTTTTTGTTATAGTGCTGAGGAATTTGCTATGGCATGTCACAGCACAGTTTAAAACACTGGGAAGATAAGATCCCAAAGAGTCATCATAACCTGACTTTAAGATCTACATATCTAAATATACTGTAGATATGTTATTTACCTTTTTTTTTGGAGCAATGATGAATACACTGCTTTGGTCGAGGTAAGGAACATGATTTAATGACACTTTGTGCTTACTTCTACATATTGTCTGTGTCACTGTTCACACTAACAAAACAAATCCTTTATTTGGGATTATATAGTGGCCTATGGTTAAAACACAGGTGTCATAACAAAATTGTTACCACTTTTAATAACAACACTACAATGTCTTTCTTGGGAAAATCCAGCAAATGAAACAGCAGATTTTTTTTTTTTTTTAACTTCAATCATAAATGAAAATCCAGTGAAAGCATTGCTACACAGCCCTACAATGTTCCATCACTACCAGACCTGTTAGAATGATTTAGCACCGTTTTAACAGCATTAAAGAGAAACTCCTTTTAGTTTAAAAAAACATCTGTTGTGTCCAAGGGGCAACCTCTGGTTCTGAAAAATGAAGCAGAATACGGCATTCTTCAAGTGTCCACTTGAGGCTGGCTCCAAGACCCCCTGAAGTCACATACACACCCCATTCACAAATGCCAGTTTTTACAGCAAACAAATAGCATGTTTTACAGCCTGGTGCAAAAGACGATATAGGTCTGATTAGTTTATGTCCTCGTGGGCACACACTGTATGGGGGGTGATTATTATTATTATTATTTTTTAATGCATCTGTGATTTTTCTGAATGATACAAGTTGTGCATAGTTAAACTTGCAGCAGACCTGATTGACAGGTGGGTGCAATGTAGCTGTTTGTAAGGAGGCTTAAAACCTGCCTCAGCTCTTAGCCTGTCGTTAGGTTGTTGAAAGTGAGGCTGAGATATGATTTTCAGCATGGCGGCTGCAGCCGGTGAGCCCCCTGAAGTAACAGATTAGTGACGTCACTCAGATTGGTCCATTTAATATTTACAGTCTATGGGTGAGACAGCATTTCCCAGATGGTGACCACCATCGATGGGACTCCAAAACACTCTGCAGTAACAAATGGGTGACGTCACTCAGGCTTCGTCCATTAATATTTACAATCCATGGTAATGTCATAACATCATATGGATCAATCGATCAGGCTTGGTCCAAGTGAACAGACCTCTATTTGTGTCTCTTTTCCTCTATCATACATGCAGTTCTGACCTTGTCTTCTTGTGGGAAACAATTACACATTTGCATGCAATCTAACTTTACTCATTCTGTGCCTGAAACCGTGTGAGTACATAGTCTGGTGATATGCAGGTGCACATGTGAGAGTCCATTCAAATCATTTCTCTGTCTACAATTCATGCAAATTTGGCCTGTTAAGTTCTGAATTACCAATTGTAACATCTTAATAAAAACCATTGTACCTGGATGCTGTGGTTGTAATGTAGACATTATACTAAAGGCTCAGGATTTTCAATGTAAATATGTCTTTTCAGCAGATATGCAACATGGTGGTAGTTATGGAGGTTATCTCCTATCTGGAGAAATATCCCATCACCAAAGAAGCACTGGAGGTAGGTTACATTCAGACCTATTAAATGTGAGATTAAGTTAAGATGGACTTAAATTGAATCAACTTCTAGCAGCTCTTTAACACTAATTCTATGTCCTCAAGGAAACTCGACTCGGCAAACTCATCAACGATGTCCGCAAGAAAACCAAGAATGAAGACCTTGCAAAAAGAGCCAAGAAGCTCTTGCGAAACTGGCAGAAGCTTATTGAACCAGGGAAGGGTGAGGTGTTGTCCAAGGGTCACAGTGTTGCATCATGGTCTTCAAATGGTTGCATCGCCACTCCAGCCATTACCACGCCATCAGGTAAAACCGGGGCAGAGTTGAAGAACAGAAACGACTTCAACAACTGTTCCCCCCTTAGGATGGAAAAGTTGAGCAACAAAAAACGCAAGGGAAACCATAAGGAAGGAGAGCTTTTGCCAGCCAAGATATCCAAAAAGACACTTGATGATAAAATGCGAAGCTCCAAACAGCTGCCGACCAATGGACTTAGCAGTAGCTCTGAAATTTCTCAGAAATGTATGCACATCAGCCTTTAGATAGGGATATTCCTGAGCCTTTGGACAACAACAGGTTAAGTAAAATCCCAGTCAATGCTGTAAAACCTCATCCAAGTGCCCCAGGATACAGCAAGCCTCCTAGCACTTCTTCTTTGCTGAAGGCATCAGTCCTGCAGCAGCATGCCAGACAGGAGCAAGCTGCTTCTGGGGGGCAGCATAAACCCAGAAGCCCACGTGGTTTCTTGCACAGTCCTCAAACTTTAAAGCAGGAAGCTGGCTTTACTCAAACTGCACCACAAGCACAGAGGCCTGTGTCAGATGACACCTCTGTGTCAGGGTCTTCCCTTCAGCCTTTAAATATTTGTGTTCCAGGTTCGTGGTCTGCCGATTCAGACTCTAAAAGCAGGGCTCCCCATAAATCTCTTCTTAACTCACCCTTTAGTGATGGTGTCAGTTTGGAGACAATAGTACTGTTAGCAATACAGGGAGAAGGAAAGGACACAATTACAAGCCTAAGGACTGTGTTGTTGTGAAGTCAGATGGACATGCTGTAGAAGATAGCTCTAAACCAGTCAGGTTAAAAGACAGGAGGCTGACTTTTGACCCTGTGACAGGACAGATCAAACCCTCCTTTCTTAAAGAGCCTTGCCAAGAGGAGGAGGTTAGACTGAGCCACAGACCTGAATCCCAGTGGTCGGAAATGCCAAAACCCAATCAGCCCATTCCTCCCAGTTCCTTCCAACAGACGGACTGGAAAGAACTTTCTAGGAGCGAAATCATCCAGTCATACCTTAGCCAGCAAAGCAACATGCTCACGTCATCGGGCACACACACACCTGGTGCACACTTTTTCATGACAGAGTTCATAAAAAAAGAGGAACACCAAAGTAAAGACGCCAAGAAGACACACACGCTTGCACCAGAACTCCCAGCCAAGGATTTACCGGGGGTCAGCAGAGAGGTCATCTATGAAGACCTGAGCAGATTACACACCCAACACTGGTCTGGTGTTAATGGTTGCTTTGACACAAAGGGTCATTGGTATGACTGGACAGAGTGCATATCTTTAGACCCACATGGAGATGAGAGCAGGTTGAACATACTGCCGTACGTCTGTCTGGATTGAAACCAAGATCTGGTTGGAAGTTCTATGCTTTGTATGACTCTGCATATGAAGGCACTTACATATGAGGTGTTTTGCACCTTGGGATAAAAGATGAGACAATGTGCTGACTGCTTCATAGTGTGTGGAGCAGAGGGTGTGTAATCAGTGCTCTTTTATGAGTTTTTGAACAATGTGTGCGGGCAGGAAGAAAAATGGGCTATGCACAATCTGACTATGAAGTTGTCAGTGTTTAGTTACCGTACAGATTGAGTTTCCAAACCTGACATTGTCCGTATGGATGAGGACATATCATTAAACTTCAGAGCTACATTTACTCATCTTGTTGTTAGCCTTGTGAACATGATTCCTGCATCTACCCAGATTCAAATAACAGTGCTGTATTTTTTTCTTCAAGTTGAAGTTTTGTTAGTTTTAATCGAAATCTAACACGTATACCAATGAGGTCTCTGTTGGTATTTGCTCAAAAGTCTTGGAACAAACCTGTCTATCAACAAAAAAAGTTGCTATCATAATAACCATCAGTATTAAGAACTAAGAAATGTTTGAGCCATGAAATTGTTCTGCAAGGCACGTGTTTCAGCAGTATATAACTGTTTCATCCATCAGAAAAACAGACTGATCTGTTTCATAACATAACAAAAAAAAAAAGTGTGTTGTGAGTTTTGAATGTGGTTAAATTGTGAAACTGCCAGATGTGACTGTGCAGCTTGAGGTGAGAGAAAGGCATGTATTAGGCCAAAAAAATACACACTGAGAGAGAAATGTGGCTGCCATGAAAGATATTTATTTACATCTAAATATTAATTTTTAGTTTTAAATTAATAATTTACATATGTTTTCAGACCACGCTGTTTAATTTCTGGTTTCTTCATTCACAATTGTTTTGGTAATACAGCTGCCCTTTTTCTGTTCATACACCAACCTACTTAATCCGGGAAATACTTTCCATAATGAGAAATTGTAATAATGTAAACTAATTTTATTTTAAACTTGCCTTTTCTCTTGTGTATTTAGTTTGTAAAATATCAATTGACATGGCAGAGCAGTAAGTACTGTTAGCTTGCATCTTTGTACTGTAAGGAGGAGCTGGGATATAAATTGACATGCTGGATAAAGTACTTAATATCATTCCTTTAAATATAGTTTGCCTTATGGAAACTCCCCCCTCCCCTAAAGACAGCCTTAGTGAATACAGAAATTTGTTTTTTGTTCAGCTGAATGCAGAAGAGACCATATTTCCTACTTTGCCCTTTTAAGTGGACATGTTGATATGTGTTAATTAAAAAAAATTGAAGGAATTTTGATTGTCCTCTGTGTTCATTACTTTCTCCTTGCAGCTTGATCAGACAAATCCACAGTTCAAGATATAAGCTGGCTCAGTGAAGTAAGCACTTGTCAGAATTTTAATAATTTCCTTGGAGACACTCTGAAAAGCAGTATTTCCATATTGATGGCAAAATTGAACACTTTGAGCAAAACACCCTAATGCAATATCTACAGTTCAAGTAGTTCAACCAAGTTTTACTCTGGGAATTGTACAGCTCAGAAGTAAACATATTTTCATGCACCTGTTGTTCGCGTTTGAAATGTTTTTTTTTTTTTCTGTATTTATTCAAATTAGTACTTAAAGTGGTTTATTTTATCGCAGAAAGTTCAAACTACACAATCTATCATTTTAACGCAGCTTAATGACGTCACATTTTATAAACTTATGTCTATATTATCCTTGTCTTTACATTAATTTAGGACACCCTGTTCTATGAAATTACAATAAATTAACTGAAATTCTAAATTACAATAAACAATGTAGGCTCAATCTAATTGTTTTGTTATAAGTCTACACTAATATAACTTACCAATGAAGTTATTCAAAAGTACACTCAGTTTACTGCACATTGCACATATTGCACAAGTTTACTTTTTCTTTAAATTTTATTTTATTTTATTTACCATTTTGTTTTGTACATTTTGCACAATTTAGAATTTATTACTGTAAATATTATTTATCTAATTTTACCTCATTTTATTTGATCTATTTTACCTTATCTTATTTTATCTTATTTTACCTCATTTTATTTTATCTTATTTTAGCTTATCTTATTTTATCTTATTTTACCTTATTTTATTTTATCTATTTTACCTTATCTTATTTTACCTCATTTTATTTTATCTATTTTACCTTATCTTATTTTACCTTATTTTATTTTATCTATTTTATTTTATTTTATCTATTTTACCTGATTTATTTTATCTTATTTTACCTTATTTTATTTTATCTATTTTACCTTATTTTATTTTATCTATTTTACCTTATCTTATTTTATCTTATTTTACCTTATTTTATTTTATCTATTTTACCTTATCTTATTTTATCTTATCTATTTTACCTTATCTTATTTTATCTTATTTTACCTCATTTTATTTTATCTATTTTACCTTATCTTATTTTATCTTATTTTACCTCATTTTATTTTATCTATTTTACCTTATCTTATTTTACCTTATTTTATTTTATCTATTTTACCTTATCTTATTTTATCTTATTTTACCTCATTTTATTTGATCTATTTTACCTTATCTTATTTTACCTCATTTTATTTGATCTATTTTACCTTATCTTATTTTACCTTATTTTATTTTATCTATTTTACCTTATCTTATTTTACCTTATTTTACCTCATTTTATTTTATCTTATTTTACCTTATTTTGGTTGAATTGCACCGCGGGACGGAGACAAACGCAATTTCGATTCCACTGTATGTCTGGCATATTTAGAAATTGACAATAAAGTTGACTTTGACTTTGAAGAATAAGAATAATCTTTAATAATCTATAATAATCTATAATAAATATTTTTAAAGAATGCATTTGCTACAAAAAAAAAAAGCTGTTCCCGCAAGATACCGCTGAGTAACCATGGTAACACACAGTTCCTGTTTCCACCTGAGAGACGGAAGTTTTTCCCCAAAGCCTGCCGCTGTATTTGTACCCTACACCTCGATGAAGGAGACTTCACTCAGCTACGAGTGTGACTTCTAACGGAGTGCACTCCGTCACGGAGGGGGAGGGTGTGTAGGGGTTGGTTTAAAAAAGGGCCTACGACTTATAGTCCGTGAATGGCTTTTATCTTGAAAGTGTTAACCGGAAGCTACGCGTGTTCTTCTTCGTTGGTGATCTGACGGTTCGAGCAGTAGCTTTTGCAGCCAGATATATATCACCGGCGAGGCGGGGTGACTCGTCACTCCGCGCTGGAAGATGGCTGCGGCGGACCGGCCCCCGGTCAGGGAAGGGATCCGGATATTTTACTGTGTGTGTGCTGGTACACAGTCAGCTCGGGGGGCAACATCGTCAACAAAATCATCCTGAATGGATTCCGTACCGGTCACGGTCTCTCTGTTTCACATCGTCTCCATCGTCGTCTTCCTTCCGCCGTTGTTGCGGGCATGGGGAGTCCCCAAAACGGAGCTGCCGAGCAGGTACTACCGGTGGTCCATCCTGCCCTTAGCTTTCGGGAAATACTTCGCATCCGTGTCTGCTCACTTCAGCATCTGGAAAGTACCTGTTTCATACGCGCACACGGGTGAGTATGTTGTGATATGTGTTGATTTTTTTTGGGCCACCTGGAGCGGTGTGTGTGTCTGTGTGTCTGTGTGTGTGTGTGTGTGTGTGTGTGTGTGAGCCATGGGGGGAACCTGATGATGTGTCTGTACCGTCAGCTGATGCGGCTAGCTTCGTGGCTAACTCTGGACAACCTCGGCGACACAGACATTTAACTACAGCTTTGTGTTCCTGGCGTGACTCGGTGTCATTCGGATGGGAACAGACAAGCTTTCAGAGGACTTAATAACTTTCCCCTCGTCCTCTAACTGCTAACTATCCAGCTTTTTAGGCTACCACAAGATATATAAATAAGTGGCTCTGTTAGCTTGCTAGCCAATTTCATTATCGCAGATGTACTACGGTAGGGGGGAGGGACCATTCCTGAATCTGCTCTGAATGGGAGTTTCCCCCTCTAACTTCACAGCTCCCTAGCTAATTGAGTTTTTTTCCTAATAAGCAACATGAAGTTACCTTCTGTTGAATTTAATAAAGCTAATTGGCTGCCACAGCTGGACGTCATTAGGTACACGGAGCTAAAACTGCTGTCAATGCTAAATTAATTCAATCTTATAATACAGCAGGTCTATATTCAATCAGCCCTTTTTGTGAGGGTTATAATGTGCACCATCCCACTATAATGTTCTGCAGCTCATCTGCACAACAACTAAATCTTACTGAAATGACCGGTTATATTTAAAATAAAGGTTGAATCAACACATAAATAATAAAAAAAAAAAAAAAAATCACTTTCATGATAGTTAGAAATTTGCTGGACTGTTGTTAGACTGCTTAACTTAAAACTGTATACCTGATTGATATGTTAAAAACCTGTGAAGACAAAATATTCTCTCTTTTCACTTATGCCACTCATTGTTAAGTTAAAATGTATTTATTTATTTGCACCAAATGCGTGAGCCGTCACATCCATGTCTGCCTTATTTGAGTTCTTCTGGCATCATAGACACGATATCCTTCACTTTTTTTTATTGCTTTTGCTATAGATTTCATTGGTCTGTAGCTTCAGTGGTCAAAAACATGAGGAACTAGCGTTGTAGTTTCACCCCGCTAACCGCACCAGCTTCCAGTGACGCAAAAATCGTCATTTTGCGTCACTGGAAGCTCCTTTTTCAGACTTAGACATACAAAGATTTGCCGTCTCAGGGGAAAATGAGGGCGGGATGCACGACCATTCAAACATACTACCAGGTTTCTAGAGATACAAAGCTTAATGCAAATGAGTGAAGTATCCCTTTAATGTCTCTCCTTCGCTGTTCTTTAAAATCCAGGCAAAAGCAAAATCTTTAGTGACAAACACATCAGGATATTGTGTTAAAAATCTACAGCAACAGTTTATAACCAAAGCTGATCTCATTCAGTGCATTACTTTCAGCTACGTTTCCCGAACAAACAGGACACTGAGTTTATAACCTTAAATGAAATTGTTGCTTTGACTATTAGGAGTTTGCCTTAACTTTATCTACACAACATAACTAGTTTTAAAATGAACCATTCAACTATTCATTCTTCACATGTTTTAAGCGTGAAAAACATGTAAAGCGTGTACATTCTTCTTCTAATACCAAGAATGACCTCACTACACACTATTAAGTCTTTCTTTCTTGTTAGCATTTTTTGACTCCACAGGTCAACGTTTCATGGTTTTTAAGTTTGAAAATGTGATCTAATTTTATTCAAACCATTGTAATAATCATAGTGCAACCAGCGTTGAGCTATAAGCCAACCAGGATCATGTCTGACGTAGTACAGTGGAGCTCTATAAATAATTGAGTGACACAAGTTGAGTGTTTGACATAGGTGTGTTTTCCTGCCTCTGACGTAGGTTTATGACACATAATATTGCTGCATTGTGTTGAAGCACTAACTTAATCTCTACCTTACACCTGCTGCTGTTTAATGCTGCTGTGTTTGCCCAGGAAACAGTCCCAGTTGACAATGTCCCCTCTCTGTCTTTTTTTAATTTTTTATTCCACAGTCAAAGCCACGATGCCGATATGGGTTGTGCTGTTATCAAGAATAATCATGAAGGAGAAGCAAACCACAAAGGTGAGTGGGTAGGACGCAGCAAAGGAGGCACAAGGCCCACTCTGTTTCAGAGTCAGCAGTGGTGATGTGGCACCGTGCAGGCCCGGGGGTCAGAGAGGGAAGTCTTCACCTGCACTGGCAGGGCCATACTCACTTGTTAAATCTCTGAATTCACACACTACTTTCAATACTGCAGGAGACAGCTAGGTCAGTGTCTAAACATGTCTTAAATTGGATGCGGGGCAGTGTTCAGGTGATTACATTTTTTTTTTTTTAAAGCTGTCCCTCATACATACAGAGGTGGTAGAACATTTTAAGAACAGAGGGCAGTGTTTAAAGAGATCTGATGAAAGCTGACTCTGAACTGTGATGGACAAAACATAAGCTATAAGCACAAACAGTTTAGCAGACATTCATCAACGATAAGAGGGAAAGAGTGGAGAGGATTTTTTACTGATGGACTGCTTGATCCACTGTTATCAGTGTAACAAAGCAAATCCTGCAGTGCATGTCACTACAGGTGTTGTAACTTCTACACGCAAAAACGAAACCTTATGTTAGTTTTGATCATAAATTTAGCAAGAAAAGTGTTTAAAATTATGAATGTTTGTGTCACTGCAGTTTTGCCAAAAGTTAATTTACTAAAATACTAAAACGATGTGCAACTAAAGATTACATTCATTTGGAATCAATGTTTTTATTTATTTTTTTGTCTATTAAACGAACAGTAAAAAAAAAAAAAATCAACAATCTTTATCAGTTTCCAAGACTGCAACATTACTGCTGTACTACAGTTAACTACTTTATTATTCTATAATTAATGAACAATAACTACCGTATTTTCCGCACTATAAGGCGCACCGGATTATAAGGCGCACCTTCAATTAATGGCCTATTTTAGAACTGTTTTCATATATAGGGCGCACCGGATTATAAGGCGCATAGAATAGAACGTGTTTACAACTGAACAAGGCTGGGAGATATTGTGAATATATAAATATAAATACGTATAAAACTATGTTTTATACGTAGTGCATTCACAATAACTCAACGTTGTTCAAACGTTAATGTGCATATTCACAATATCTCCCAGCCTAGTTCAGTTGTAAACACGTAAAGGAAACACAGTCTGATACCGCTAATTCAAACGTTAGTGCATAACTCAACATTGTTCAGTTACGTATAACACGTAAAGCTCACTTTTTCAGTTCATTCCCTGTCCACGAATCCCTCGAATTCTTCTTCTTCAGTGTCCGAATTGAACAGTTGGGCGAGTACGGCATCCAACATGCCCGGCTCCCTCTCGTCATTATCCGAGTCAGTGTCGCTGAGCGCCGTGTACAACCAGTATGGATCAACCAATTAACCAATTGATCCATATATAAGGCGCTCCGGATTATAAGGCGCACTGTCGTTTTTTGAGAAAATTAAAGGCTTTTAAGTGCGCCTTTATAGTGCGGAAAATACGGTACAAGCTACAGCTGAATGAACAATTATAAAGTCTATCTCTCTCTATTGACTGAAAGACTATTCTTCACAAATACCTGGTCATGCCTCCTCAGCTCATCTTGGCCTCTGCTTATTACAGTGACAGCGTTTACTGTAGCTGAACTTAAATACAAATGAATGTACAACAGTCTTGATTCATTGTTACACATTTTCCTTCAAAGATTCAAAACCAAACACCACAGAACACTTTTCATTCTGTATCATGAGAAACAATCTTTAGTAAGCTAAGGTGTAGACAATATTTTCTACATTGCTTAAATGTAGTTCTACATAAAACCAATCTGAGCTTAAGATCTGCTACTTGCTAACATTGAAGTTTAATATTCAGTCTAGGTGGTAGGAGCGTTAAACAGTCAAGGAAACTTCTGAGTCTAACATGAGCTTGTCATGTTTACTTCCAGCGGGCCGTCTGGGTGCACAGACTAAGGGTGAAGGTGTTGATGACGTGTTTCTGTGTTTGAGGAGCAGACTAATATGAATCAGTGATCGTCTCAGCAGCACATTCACTAAATGTCTTACTTGTTCACAGGGGGAGAGGCTTTTCTGAACTCAACACATACAGACACGACAACAACCTGCCACTGGTTATCTTCATTCAGTTAGGATAGACCTTCTGTTTAATTAATCTTCCTTCATGTATTCATTCAGAGAGACGGATGGGGGATTGCGCAGAGTTAAAGCTTTATTATAACCTGAAAGATTCTGGGCTTTTGAGAAAACAGAGGGACACGTCTGCTCTGTTTTATCTTCTGTCGGATCCCATCAGCTGTTCTACATTGAAAAAAAAAACTGGATATTAAAAGTTAAATTGAAGTTGACTATTTAGTAAAGCAGTTGTATTTGATTTCTTTCTACTTTCTAAAAAAAAATAGCCAACTGCAAAAAGCCTCAGTGATGATTTTTCAAAATAAGTCTAGACTCTTCATGTGGGACAAATATTGAGGCCCTTTTCAAAATAAAAGAGGTCTCTCTTAATTGCTAATTGACAAACAACAACTTGCCACTTTACAATACTGAACATGTGATAAAAGTAAAGCAGATCAGAACTTTCTGGATATATCGGTGTATATCCGAACTTTTCATCACAACAAGTTACTTCCTGAAGCTGCTCCGCTTCCTCATATTTTATCCTGTTAAGGTTCAATCATTAACCAGTGACTCAGGAGGCAGTGTTAAAGGCACAGTCCACAGTTTTTTTTAAGTCCACGTTGTAGACCTGTGAGGGAAACATTTTCTCTGTCACTCAGTGAGGTTGATATTTTTTTTTTGGGGTGGTCAGTGCAAAAGGGGGTTTCGTAATGCTGCTGGTCTTTATGTATTGTCTCCTGCTGACTCTGTCCGGTTGCACGCTCTCTGTCACAGATCTACGTGTCGCTCATCCCCATCATTGGTGGAGTGCTGCTGGCTACAGCGACGGAGCTCTCCTTTGATGTCTCAGGACTCATCAGCGCTCTGGCTGCCACGCTCTGCTTCTCTCTGCAGAACATCTTCTCCAAAAAGGTAACTCATTCTCAACACTATCACACACCACTATCTCAAACCAAAATCCTGGTTTCTGGGGTTTGTTGAAAAAAGTCACAGCTCCAACATGACTACAAAACAGTGTGCTTTAATCTCATTGATCTCTGATCTTGTGTATTGTTATTATTATTTATTTATTATTTATTGTTGCTTTATTAATTTTTTTATGATAACAGAAGGCTAACATTTGTATTGTGGTTATAAATACTAGCAATATGAAAGTGAACACTTCATCTTCACAAGATCAAAAATGACTATAATATGTTGTAAGGGACTAGAGTGATTTATTTTGAATCCCCCTTTTCAACTTCAATCAACATTATTATTATTATTATTATTATTATTATTATTATTATTATTATTATGTGGTTTGTTTGAAAATGTTTCAGCCTCTAAAATGTTATTTTTTAGTTGGTATGCAATACCTGCTCCTGCCACAAGATGGCAATGGTATCTATAATTATGGAGCTATGATTGTGGCAAAACTATTTGAATATGCGTACACAGATCCACAAATGTGTAAAAAGATCCACAAATGCGTAAACAAATCTGCAAATATGATGACCAATTTCAAAATATTTACTTATTTATTAATGGCAGTGAACTTTTTCAGCTGTAAATCCTGAAAATACACACAAATGATTGCTTACAACTGAGGCGGACCTCTCCATTGGCTGTCATTTTACACATGACTTTTGCAACACTCCTGCCGTGCAAGATCCACAAATGCATAAACACATATCTTCAAATGTGTGTCTGACGATCTGCAAACACATTAGTGGAGTTGGTGCCCTGAGCGCAGGCTCACAGGCTAGGCTGCCGGTCCGCGGTAGCACCCAGTGACTTCAACACGGACATTACTGAGCTGGATAGCTGCCGTGGGTGCAGTTTTACTGAGGAGGCTACGATGGAGGGTCCATTATAATTTGTGTTTTTGAAATTTGTTTCCTGTACAGTGCAGGCAAAGCGGTACGCAGCCTGACCGCCTGGCAGCCTAGCCTGTGAGCCTTGGCTCAGGGCTGTTTTGTTTTATCAACTGCAATTTTACAACATTTGGTTAAGGTTATGGACGATCATTGAGGTTGGAAACTGTCGGAAAAAAATGCCCCAGGGTTGAAATGAACTCTACCCACACTAACTCTATTCTGGTATCATTTTGAACTTGCTTTTGTTGCTTTTTTTTTTGATTGTCTTCATAAAGTTCAAAGTGAACAGGGAACAGGGTCCAAAACTTTGAATCTCCATCGTATTGGTTGGTGCTGTAGTAACTTTTTAATTTTTTTTTCTCTGCCTTGAATCTTAAAAATGTATCTTCTCCCTGTGAAAGGTGCTGCGGGACACGAGGGTCCACCACTTGAGGCTGCTCAATATCTTGGGCTTCAATGCCGTTTTCTTCATGCTGCCCACTTGGGTCCTGGTCGATCTGTCTGTGTTTCTTGTTAATGGAGACCTGGTGAGTACGAGTGATAGCGATTTAATAACATCACTTTGGAGGTTCTTCAGCAGCAACTGGCTTGTTTGTAACCAATGTCCAAACCTCTCTCTCCTCACAGTCGGAGATCTCAGGCTGGACAAGCACCTTTGTCCTTTTGCTCATCAGCGGCTTCTGCAACTTCGCTCAGAATGTTATTGCTTTCAGCGTACTCAACCTTGTCAGCCCCCTAAGCTACGCCGTTGCCAATGCCACCAAGAGGATCATGGTCATTAGCATCTCCCTGCTAATGCTGCGCAACCCGGTCTCATCCACGAACGTCCTTGGTATGATGACGGCCATCGTGGGGGTCTTCCTCTACAACAAGGTGAGTCACCACGTCCACAGGGATAGATGAAGACATTTAGAGATGAATAAAAACTAAATAATCTTCAGTTTCTCATTTTTAATTCAAACATCTTCATTCATAGAACATCAGTGTTGATAAACGTATGATGAGTATATATCAACAGATAAGATATTTTCAACCAACACCAAGACATGAGTATCACTATCAGCCTACATCAAGTATTCTTATGAAGAAGGAGGATTAAAACAAAACACATCTTTAGTGTGCAAAGTGGTTTTTTTTTTTACATTTTGGTAACTTTGACTGAAAAACATTCTCTACCATCTCTGTATTGGTTTTATTTGTATTCATCACATCATTTTGGAAAGGGATTTGCATTTGCTGTATTTTAGGCAGTATGAGAGGCTGACGATGATACAACAACACTGGAATACTTGTACACGCCACACTTTCCGTTTTTTTATTTGTGAAAAAAATTGAAAATCACGTATCATTTTCCTTCCACTTCACAATTATGCGCCACTTTGTGTTGGTCTATGACATAAATTCCCAATGAGATACATTTATGTTTGTTGTTGTAACGTGACAAAATGTGGAGGGGTATGAATACTTTTGCAAACCACTGTATGTGCTCTGACCGCCCTTTGTTCCACTCACAACTGTCCTTTTCTATTAATAGTAGTCAACTGCTGGCACTATGGCTGCAAACTGCTTTCCATATCATATCCAACATGTGGCTGTTTACCACTCAATGAAATGTAAACAATGAAGTTTTATTCATGTTGAGGAAAAGTTTGAACTTGTTAACGTTCAGTGTGCAGCCAAGGATCAGGGTTAGGGAGTAACTCTCGAAGACAACCAGTCATATAAAATTAATTTCTCCCTTCTCATCTGTCAACAGGCCAAGTATGACGCCAACAAGCAGAAAAAGCTGCTGCCCAGCACCAAGGAGGACCTGATGTCCTTTGACAACCCGGCGCTGGAGAAGACCCAGGCTAACGGCTCAGTGCCTTTCCCCCACGGCTCGGAGCAGCAGCACAACTGGAACAACGTGCTGACCGACCACTTCCAGTACAGCAGGCAGGCCTACACGACAAACTACAGCAGCAACCACCAGTATGTGGTGTGAAGGAGGATTTAGTCCTCGCTCAGGCTCGCTGTCGTAGACATTGCTGTGTAGCTGCCCTCCCTGCAGCGGGTCCTTTTTTTTACCCCGCACACAAGACTGAAGGCAAGTCCTGTTGGTGGTGGGTAGAAAGAATGAGAAGAGCCTCTCATGACAGGCCAGTGACGTGACCTCTCCAACACTCCTCCCTGTCCAAACTTCACTTTCTGGCATTGTTGATATATTACTTTGGTACAGACAGTATGGGAGTGTCCAAGAGGGGGAAAAAAAAAAGTCAAATCACCTGTTTCAGACACTTTGGTGACAGATTCAGCCATTTTCTCCGAACACAGAAAAGTGCCACAGCACCGTAAACGGTAGTTCTGATTAATTTTCACCTTGCTTTCTGGAAATGTCCAAGTTTGTTTCCACAACCTATGATCACTGTTTTGGTACGTTTGTTACCTTTTTTTTTTTTTTAGGAAGGATGTCCGCTGTAATTATCTAGTGCGAGTGTTACCTTGAACCGAACAAGAGTGATGTTACATCGCATGTAGGCAGCTCAGTGGAAAGGGCCCCATTTCAGATCACGACAACTTCATGATTAGGATTGTCATTTTTCTTCATAAGGCACCTGTAATGACGTGAAAGCAATTAACTTGTAACACTTGTTCTCAGTGATTACAATGATAGACCAATGAAACTCTTGAGGCAGACGCCACGTATGGACACTTTTGTGGACAGACGAGCGATTTAGGGGACAGTCACTTATAATCGCCTCAGCTGTGCTCTGTGTTTGGCACTAGTCGGCATGTGTTAGCATGCTACACTAACATGTTGGACATGGTAAATATTAAACATGATGAGGATCAAGCACATCAGGATGCCTCACTGGTACAGCTGTTAACTCAACACAATGATTGCCCTCGTGATACTGAGTTGTTCAACATTACAAATGCCTGATGTGGAAAAATGTCCAGATTTCAAAATAAAAGTACAAAAACCATTAAGTCTGTCTGCAAAAAAGTATGCTGGGGGAACTTGCTGCATACAAAGATAAGTAATCTTTCAGCCACACTTGTCATCAGCAAGTCTTTTTACATGCCACTGTATAAATAATTAGCTATTCTAAAATGCGCTAATACACACAAACACACACACACAACGCCCTGTTGTCTTCAATCTGTTCTGTAAAACGAGTGAGACGATTTCTGTCACCCAGAACAGTCAGTGACCTCTCACAGATCTGTCTATTTCTCCAAACACAACGAATACATTTGATATCATGGAGCTTAAATGTGAAAAGTTAGCATGAAATCAGATTTTAGCCTCAAACATCCGTGCAGTTCAAACTACAGCAGCTGAGTGCTGAGAAGACGTTTCACATTTCTTCGCGACTTTAACCATGTAAATGTAGCTGAGATGTCATAGTATAGAGTTAGAAAATGGTTTAAAATGATTCATAGTTTTCTTTATTATTAATATTTCTGGCAGTCTGAGGCAGAGGGAGTTTTTTTTTCTGTCAGCTGTTTTACTTTTTTTTTTTTTTCGGCCTGAACCAAAGCTGCTCTGTTTGTTTTGTTGGTTTTTTATGTTTTTGTTTTTTTGTTTTTTTTTTAAGTTAGAGGCTCAGTTTCAAAATTGCACATCATGAAACCGAATGCATTACGCAGATTGTGTCTCTCTGTCGAGTGACTTTCAAGATGTTTTATTTCAAACTGTCCCTTTTCGGTGTCAGAAGGTCATTGGTCACGGGTCAGGGGAGACATGCATGATATCAAAGGTTTGGTTTGTGCAATTAAAGATTCAACTGTAAGTTTATGTAGACAAAAAGGAATCCTGGTCATTATTCTTTACAAAAGTTGTGTCTACAAGTTGTGAACTAATAATCATTTATCAGCCTTTTGTTACTACTTGAGAAACTATTGAGGCCCTTTCTTTTTCTCTTTGCAGGATAGCTTTGCTTTCTTTGATGCACAATGAACGTCTCCCCGCAGCAATATGACATCTTGCATTATTTTTGCTTGTAGCCCAATTCAATTTCTGCATATTGATTTTGTTGGATAACGCACCTTTTAATGACGCAGAAGTGCCAGCTGTAGCCTCAGATATATTTTTTGCTGTAGCTGTAGATGTTGGTAAGGAGAGTACAGTTATATTCTAGTTCTTTTATTGTTTTAGATTATTATGTTTACCTGCTTGATGACATTTAGAACAATCTTGAAGTGTTTAGACCAGAAGAAACTGACTGTGACTCTGTCTTGAGACAAAGCTGTCAACAGGTGTGGGGTTTTCTCCTTATTTAAAAATCAAGCAAGCCAGCTCTTACTGCTGAGATGTTTTATTGGCGGTATTTTTGAGACATTTGGAACCCATTGCAGCTCAGTTCTTCTCCAAAAAATAGATAAATCACAATTTCTGCAGGCAGGGCTCCTGTTAGGAAACTTGAAAGAAGAAACACTGGTTTGCAGCAACTTCTATCTGTTTTGATTTGTGTTAATTGATTATTGTCCACTGTAAGGCTTTACATTGCTGCATAAAACAAAAATAGATAAGACAGTACAATGTACTCTGTAATAAAGTGGAGCTTTGAAAATAAAAAAAAGGAGATGATCCAGAAATCCCTTAAATGATCAGTGTCTCCAAGAAGACGTTATTTAAATGCAACATTAATGTTTTCATTATTTTCCCCTTTAATGATTAACATTTTCTACAATCATTTCATGTAAAATGACAAAGTAAAGTTTTGTTCATGATGCCCAAACAGCAGAGCATGATGGTGAACGGTTACAGCAGCACATGTTTGATATAGTTTAATGTGTACCTGCTCTCATCAGCAGCTATGTAAAGTACCTGTGAGTATGATAACTCTCCACACCACAGCAGACACATTCAGTGGCACATTGGCCGGAGAACACAGAGGAGGAGCATCTTACTGCTAAAGCAACAGATGTTTAAATATTGCTGGTTAACTTTTAGATCATCATGACTTTCAGAACCCTTTCAGATCAAGATCAGCTGATAATTAACATTTGAATACAGATTCTAAACAGAATGCAGACAAAGTCTTCATATCAAACTAGTGCAGGAGATGAGTTGAATTCAACATTTCTTGTACCTCTGGATGTGATTTGTTTTTTTTTATAAGCCGTACTGATGTGAGCGACGAGTGGCTGATAAATGTGATTTCATGTGAAGCAGAAGTTTTACATCCAAACAAACGTATGAAGCGGACGTTACACAATTCTTTTCCAGTGTCATTTTGAAATTCAATCTCCACTTAAGATTCCATCTATACTTGGAACAGTCAAAATCAACAATCGCATTTGTCCCAGAGTGCATTGGGAGTAACAACTCATTCATTGCTCATCCTTCCCTGGTTAATCACGCCGTCTCTGTCTTCAGTACATACTTTATTTTCTTCATGATTTTGTTCTTATCCTACGTCATGTTGCCAAAAGCTCATCTTTCTGATGCTGACACACTGCAGCATGGGGCCTTGTTTGCAGGTGAAGCGATGTAAAAATTCATAAACTACAACATGTTGTACTTTATGACTTTCCCTAATGATTGTTTATTTCTGTACGTAGAGTTTAGAACTCTACATTTTGAAAAGGGTTGATTGGGACGATGACTCGCCTGTAAAACTTGTACTTGAGCTGTAAATGACCATAGGACGAGGGGGAGGGATTACTTTGTAAAACTTGTATAATTATTCTTTTTGTGCGTCTTTAATGGATCTCCAGACAGAATTTTTACTTAACTGATGTTTATAGATTTTTATTTATGTGTCAAGGTACAAAGATGTTGTACAGAGGTGCAGCTTTGCACAGTCTCGTGTGCTTATGTTTAGTAAACGCTATTTTTAAATGTCGGGGAAAAATAAATGCATTATGGAATACTGAAAATATTGATTTTTTTTTTTGTGTAATTTAAAAAATGAGGAAGACTTACTGATATAAACACTGTTTGTGTTAACCTTTTGAGTGCAGATAAGATAAAAGCAATATCTGTAAATATTCCACTACTATCATTTATTGTTTGGTTTTATTAAAACTTTCAGCTTTTGAGAAATAAGTCGCCTAAATCCCTGTGGACAATGGGCATGCGACATAACCACAAGGCAGCCGACACCGCGAGAAATGTAAGTTTAATTGGTTGTTGTGTAGTTTCCAGAATGGCTTGGTGTATTTCTGCCCCCCCAAGTGGGCAAAAACAGTTAATGTTACATCAACATTCAGCAAAGGAAGAAGTTTTTAAAGATTTGATGCACTTTTGGTTATTGGGGATTTTCAGGCAGCGAGAGAGCAATCCAGAATCCGCTCACTCTAGTCTGTTAGGTACAGGAGTTGATGATGCAGTGTGACTTTCTTCCAACTTACAAACTTAAACAGAAATCTGCTCAACATCCAGGACACTCATGGAAGAGGATCCTGTGGAGAAACTTCTGAAGGTGGAGTTCAGTCATTATCCACAACCTGCTCATGATGTGTCAGTAACCTGTGTGTGTGTGTGTCCTGCATGGATGCAACTTCATAAACCACAATAGTTACCCAATCACAAGTCGCTCTGCGGAGTAAGACAATTACTTTTTTTCTTTACAATCCCTCATCATTGACTGAAAAAAAAAAAAGTGTCAGAAACTGGGGGGACAGAGAGAGCGGGGAATGACATGCGGGAAAGAAGCCACAGGTCGGATTAGAGCCCCGGCTTCCCGCTTCAAGGACTATTGCCTCCCTACATGGGGCGCACACATTAACCATAGGCTATTTGCGCCCCCAATTTAAATTTTTAATGTAAGGTGGAGGAATTTTAAACTTCTTTCTATACAGTTTGCTAGTTTTAAAATTATTAAGACAAATGAGGTGTCATGGAACAATAGAGAGAGAGAAAAATGCTCATTGACAAATTCTTTTTTAATACTTAATATCCATACTACCTCTGAATTGTTAGGTAATTAAGGAGCTTTAAAATGAGGCCATGTGGAAAGGTTACAGCACAAAAGCATCATGGGATTTCATTGTTTCACGCAAACCTAAAGCTAAAATGTTAAATGTTTTTTTGTAGTGCCGTAAAAGGACAATGAGACCATTTAACTGTAGATGATGTGAAGTGGAGGTACAAGGTAGCAAAAAAAGGCAAATACTCAAATATAATAATCACAAAACACTATCTAAGTTCGGTATTGGAGCAAAAGTATTCGCACGGTTTCCACCAGTCAGGACCACTGTTAGCATCTGTTTCATTTAAGACAACAAACATTCAAAAAGTAACGACGGACGACACCAAAGATCGAGCTGTAGGATTTTTAATGCAAACAGCCATCATCATGATTTAGTTTGACTTTATATCAGTGTTTGATTTGTCTTTTAATGTAGACGTAGCAACTGAAAAGATTCCCATCAGGATGTCTCTGTAGGAGGATGACGGGCTAATACAAACAAATATAACAACACCTGGTTTCTTGTAAAACCAGACTGTGATGATGCTCCTGCACCTCTAATACAAGAAGAGTCATCTGAACTCTGTGTCCACATTACATGAGCTGCAGATCAGATCAATCAGCAGGAGCTTTAATAACCTGCAGCTTTTTCATTCACATTCATGGGGGATTGGCTGATCAGGTGGAAGGAGGAGCTGGGGGTGGGGTAATGAGAAAGGGAAAGTGAAACTTTATAAAGGTGTGGCGGTCAGGAGGAGGCAGGAGCTGATGAGGAGAAGCTGGATGAAGCACACAATAAATGTTCACTCTTTGGTATCAGAGTCTTGTATTTCCTGTTTTCCTGCAGGCTCCGTATGCAAGCTGTTCATTCACCAGAGCAGTCTTTTGCCTCTGTTTAATAAATAATCCACCGGGAGCTTGAAGAGTCCCACTCAGCAGAGTCCACAGAGTCATCACAGTTTGTCCATCTCACTGTCTCCGAGGCAAAGTGTTTGTTTCTACATAAAAGCATCTCATATTGTGAGAAGCTGCAAACATTCATAGATGTTAAACTTGTCCTCTGTGTTT